TGTTAGAGATTTTAATGAATAGATTGAAATAATTAATTAATTGGGACCTTAATTAAAGGATGAAGTTATAATGTAATCATATGGTTTGATATTCAAAAGAACCTTCTGGTCCAGTCAATTTTCTTTAGAGTATTGAAATTAATAATAAATTAAAAGCTTTCAAAAGAAAATTGCCTATCTTATTAGTGAATAGATGTATTGCGATGGTGAAATAGTTTTTAAATAAAACTTATGCAGTTTGAATGGAAATAACGACGATGATTGTCTCTATTGCGTTAGCATAGGACATATTCAATTGTTTCTATAATTCGAAGAATAAGATATGAGTTTTTATGAGGCAGAGTAAGATTCAATGTTTGGAGAATTAGGATTCTTAACAGGGAATTCAAGAACCCTGTCAGCTAAAAGCACATCGATTTCATAATTGTATAAACTTAAAAGAATGGAATTTATTTAGTTATTATAGTAGTTCCCATTAGACTTTCAATACTTCTGCTAACTCAGAGATTAAATCTTATTCGGATAGTACAATTTGATCAATCTCAGTTGTTTCTGCTGTTAATCGAGTAGTCACCTAGCTAACGATTGTCCAAAATCGCATTACTATCCTAATAAGATATTCTTAATTAGCAGAATCATGAAAAATCAACAGGAAAGATAACCATTCAAAAGAAACAATGTTCGAAAAGATAATCTAAATTTAAGAAAGATTTAGAGGGCTTAAGAATAAGTCAAATAAGATTTGTCATTTGTATATGATCAGGAGGAAATTGAATAACTCAGCAAATCCTTTAGTGTTGATTTCATGCAAGATACACAAAGTCAGATCAGTGAATAAGATATCAATCATGAATTCGACATTGTCAATGAAATTGTAAATAGATTAGAACAAAAGAAGAAGCAAGCACTCATAGAAATAGACACAAAATGTTCCTTCAAGAATTACTATCCAAAATACAATGCGGAATATATCATCTAGCATTTTAAAAAAGATAGAAGATTCACTAGAGCATTTACTAGATTTATTTGATTAAAATATTATTACAAAATATGTTTTGCCGCTAACTCACAAGGAGATTATTTACCAAATCAAGGGAACCCATTGAACCACCTTATCTTGAATTACAAAGGGATTTCCTCGAACCTGCTGAGTTTTACTAAGAATTGTCAAAACATGGAGTTTCATTTTATGCAGGAGTTCCTGATTCTTTATTAAAAGACTTCTGTGCTTATGTCTAAGTATCAATCCCATCTATTTATAAGGACAATGCTCCACCAGGATAACACATAATTACTGCAAATGAAGGTACTGCAGTCTCCATGGCTGCTGGATATTATTTGGCTACTAAAAAGATTCCCTGTGTGTATTTACAAAATAGTGGTTTGGGGAATATTGTGAATCCTTACATGTCATTAGCTCATCCAAAAGTTTATGGAATTCCTATGTTGTATTTAATTGGGTGGAGAGGAGAGCCAGGGAAAAAGGATGAGCCCCAACATTTAGTCTAAGGCAAGAGAATGAATGGTATTCTTACTGAAATGGGAATGCAATACGATGTATTACCAGATTATATTGAAGGAGCTGCCGAGGTTCTTGATACAGCCTTCTATTCTATGAAAACTAGGTAATTCTATATTTATATCATAGAAATGGACCTTATGCTTTACTTGTTAAGAGATAATGCTTTACCAATTATAAGTTGAAGAATGTGGCCAAAAATAATTATCAATTAACTAGGGAAGAAGCTTTAACCGAAGTTATTTAAAATAGTCGTCCCCTTGATGTTTGTGTTAGTACAACAGGGTTTCTAAGTAGGGAACTCTTTGAATTAAGACAACGTCTCAATTAAACAGGAGAATAGGACTTTCTAACAGTAGGATCAATGGGACATGCATCAAGTATTGCTCTAGGAATTGCATAAGTCAAGAAGAGTAGACAAGTTTTTTGTTTAGATGGAGATGGAGCCATGTTAATGCATCTGGGTGCAATGGCTCAAATAGGTAATATAGGTCCAAAAAATTATAAACACATTCTATTCAACAATCAAGCTCATGATTCCGTTGGTGCTTAACCTACGAGTAATCCTTAGGTTAATTTTACTCAAATTGCACTTGGATGTGGGTATAAGGATGCTTTCCAAGTTGAAACGAAAGAAGAAATTACCAAAGGGATGGAGAGAGTATAATTATTTGATTCATATTTGATAGTTAAATCGAACTGATGGTCCCATTCTTATGGAGATCTTGATCAAACCAGGAGTCAGAAAAGACTTAGGGAGACCAACAACAACAACATTTGAAAACAAAGAGAAGTTTATGCACTTCTTGACATATTGATTTATTCTATAAAATCTGAGTTATATTTTCTTATTTTTATATATGAAATTATAATCAATTTAGTTAGTTTAAATAAATAATTATAATCAATGTGGAGATTCAATTATGGAATTAAGCACTAATCTCTTGAAGAGTTGATGATTTTCTGATAAAAATTTACCATAAATTTCATTTGCTACATTTTGGCATCTTCCTGCTAAATCCATTTACCCAAGATATTTTTATATTACAGAAATATTGTTTAAAATCTACCCTTTATATATAGAATTGGAACTATTATCAATATGACATTAAAGATTTACTTAATACATTTGTAGGCTAGGCAAAAATAATAATAAGCCGCTTTAAGATCATATATTTGAGAGTGGATCAACCCTAATAAATTATACGTTTCAAGAAATGAAGGATGATCCTCTGAGGTGCCTGTTTATAGTTTTAATTGTAGCACTTTAATGACGAACTCCTTTGATGTTTCATATTTCTTCGATACATAATGACATTCAGCCAAGATAAAGTAGGCCTAATCCAATTTGGTTTCATCGTTTATGTAGGCTTCTCTGAGCAGGGAAATGGCTCCATAAGCTAACTTTGTTGCCAGATCAAAGTTGTCTAGAATTAGGGTGAATAATAATAATACTCATCCAAGAACACATACGGGCCTACAGAAGCAAGGTTCTTGCAATTTCACCCTTCCATTATATCTTTTCGTAATGCAATAAAGCTTAATTCAGGATTTCCCATGATTCGGTAATTTAAAAGTTGAGAAAATATAGTTTGGATAGTTCAAGCATTAGTTTGCCAGCAAAGTCAGGATCAAAAACTTGGTAATTGTCTCGAACTCTTTATAGCCAATGAATGGCAGCTCTATAATCTCCCATAAATTTATAGACTTTAGATTATATCACGGAGACTCTAAGTTAATAAACTATATGTTTCTGATATGGTAATTCATTTTCAATATTATAACTAATTGATTCTGATAATTTTTCATAAATGATATTTAAAGATGCCAATATTTAATTAACACTTGTATTTGGAATGTCTTGTTCAATTTCAGTAAGCTATACGTTAATTTGATCTAAATTTAGAGTTTAATGTTCTTCGTCTGAAATTGTTTATATTGTTTATATAATTTTTGTGTCGATAACTGGCTTGACCATTTCATATAGTAGTTTAGGTTCGAATCCATTGATATTCATTACGTTTTCAAGGTTAGTAGGATGAATCGATAAATATTTGGATCCTGTCAATCCTTAAATTTATTCTTAATTTTGACAATCATATTTAGTAGGTTCCTTGAGAAGTGAATTAGACATCGACTAAAGTGGTGAAATGATCTTGGATGCATTTTCTAACTGAGTATAATAGTGAATTACATTATTACTGCAATGCGAAGATTTGTTACCTTCACTATAAAGTGAAGAAATGTCTAATTCTTTGGGTCTGTTTTTTTAGAGTTGAATGCTCTATGAAATCATCGACATTTCTAAAATTATGTAAATTTAATAATTAGATTAAATATCACATTCAAGCTCCTTTAAAAAATCTAAATCCGTCTCTTCCACCCCACAATCCTTTAACCATGAAATACCAATAAGCAAAAGGGAAGAAATCCTTTTTTAAATAAAACATCAATCGACTTTCATTCGATTAAAATATTGGGAATGTCTCATCCAACTCAGAATTGTATTTGAATTCAGCCAAAAGTAAAGTACTTTGACTAGTAAATATTGGGCATGAGGTGTAGCCTAAGAATTACTTAATTTTATACCTTGATATTCAGGAATGGGCTCTAATCCCTACTTCCATGTTCTGATCAAATTCTTCACTAAAATAGGTGTCTAGGCCATAACAGCTGCAGCAGTCTTGGAAGTAGGCAAGGATGAGCAGTCTCCCAATGACCAAATATTTTTATATTTCATATGCTATAAGGTATTTGGATGCACATTACAAAATCCAGCAGCATCGCCTAATCCACTAGCAGCTATAAATTGTGCTGGCACCTAACATTAAATTGTATCACATACTTAAGGTGGTACTAAGTGCAAGAGGTCGAATGTCACCGACTTCAACTCCTTGGTGTCTTAGTCTTCAAAAATAGCTACGTGATCTTGGACTTCAACCAATCTTTATTTGAAATGACAATTAATTTATTTTCTCTAGCACACATCTGTCAATATTTCAGCATACTTAGGTACACCAAAAATTAGAGCAGCGGTTTTATAGAAATGAATGTCAGACTTAATTCCTCTTTTCCTGAGTCTGTCATGAGACAAATACACTATCTTCTATGGAGCCCCTCCACATTTAATTGGCATTTAAGGTTCAGAAAAGACAAGTTTGCCACCCTCAAATTCATCAACTAACCTATTCATTTTTGAAGCATATTTATAATGATAGATTGAAGCCACTGGAGAATTAGGGTCTTCTAATTACTTTCTTGCTCCTAAAATTGTTTTATTTTAATTATACCTTTAATCTAATCAAAATCTGTTCGTATACCTGTGGCCACTACCAACTAATCATATGTATATTTCTCTCCATCAAATGTCTCTATTTAATTTTATTCAGGATTTATCTTAATAACAGGACTATCTGAAACAATCACATTTTTTGGTAAAACCTTTTCCATCGGTTTGAGAGTTTTGTTGATGTCATACAAACCACCACCTTTTTTTAATATTTATAGCATACCAACCATTGTCCATCCTGGTTAATAAGTGTGCATTTTCATAGGTTCGAAGATTCTAATTTATTATGGAATTGCATGTCCATCTGCTATTAATTGGGCTGCCACATTTAACCCAGCTGTTCCTCCTCCGATAATTGCAATTTAAGAATGAACCTACCTAACCGAAAATGCATATCCTCTGAGATAGTGAATCATTATCATAATTAAAATTATTAATATCTTTTAACACTTTTAATATTTATAGAAAATTAGGAATCTTTTATAATAAAAATTTCTTCTAAATTATTAAAATTTTATAATATATATTTATATTATAATTAAGAATGAATCATTGATCAGTATTAAATTAATACGCAATAAAATAAATTGTATATTAAATAATGAAATTTCAATTCATGAAGGTCTTCTGAATTTCTTCATTAAGTTTGTAGTATTTTTTTGATGAATATCCAATTTGGGAGTGGCTTATCTTAAATATTATGGTTGAACTTAATATGATATTATATTCATACTTTGAGGTGCTTTATATTTATCAAAATTGAGATTAGGGGTTAGTGGAGAGAGCTATTCACTATGAATAGAATTGACCTTAGATTTTGAGATAATAATGCTTTATTTTGGAAGTACTTTTTCTTCAGATTAATTTTGAAAATACTAGTGTCTCAATGCTTGCTGAGCAGTTGGTCTTCGATTTGGAGATAACTGCAATAATTGTTTCAGTAAATCTCTGCCAAGTTCAGAGCAATTTACCTTGTCTATATTGACATATCCGATCATATTCAACTCAAGAATTTCATCCTTTAAAATAGACTAAAAGGGATTTTTGCCTGTGAGCAAGGTATATAGGATTATCCCTATGCCATAAATATCGACCTTTTAATCATAGGGCTGTTTCTTGAGAACCTCAGGACCTACATACCCAGGAGTACCACAAAGGGTGAATAATGGTTTTTACTCGTTATTGACTCTTTCTGCCAAACCCAAATCACTTATAATTAGTTCTTCCAAAGAATCCTTGTTTTTTAACAATATGTTTTCAGGCTTTAAATCACGATGCATATAATTGAGAGTATGCATCAGATTTATTCCCTATAACAATTATTTAATAGCTTGAAATGCTGTTTTTTCTGTTAAAGAATTTTCATTTTCCTTTAGAAATCTCTATAAGTCACCTCCCTTTTACTGTTCGAATACCAAATAAACTGCCTAATCTCCTTCGTAAATTTTCAATAGTTTTGTAAAATGCTCATTTTTCAGAAGTCTGAGAATTTCTATTTCTTGTTTCAAAGCCTTTGGCCCAATTTCTTCATCAAATTAATTCTTTTCAAATACTTTGATTGCATAATCAATTTTGGTGTTCCTATCTTCTGCAAAGTACACCTGCCATAATATAACTTTGATACCTTAGACTGCTAACTATTGGAAATTAATCTGTATAAAAAATAATCCTCATGAAAATTAACTTAAATGCAGAGGTCTTACATTGCGTCTAACCATTTATCGACCTGGCCATACATGAAGAACTTTAGGTTATTTTTTTAAACTATTAATCCTTCTCCAACTATATTATTATGCACCTTCTCTACTACAGCATTAGTGATATCAAGAACTTTGGAACCCTAACGTTTAAATAATTAAATACTTATTTTCTAGACTATTTCATGAGATAAGGTCTGCTAAAGGAGACTTCCAAAAGTTTATAATGACTCTTCTCCTCCTTGTAAATGTGGAATAGTCCTGTTAATGTATTGCTAAGTTCCTTGGACGAATTAGATTGCCACTAAACATCTCCATCATCACAAAATATAGACTTTGTTGACAATTTCGTGTCTTTAATCATGATACTTTCACTTTAATATTAAAATTTATTACATTGAAATCAACAAATTCATGCTTTTTGATCATGTACTTTGCCACTTCACTTAAAGCATTAAGTATGACTTTTTAATACTTAGAAATACTATGATAAAAAAAATAAACAGTTCATATTATCAAAAGGTAAAGCTCATTAATTAGAGAATTTCAATCTTTTGATTTATTAGCTTAAAATAAAATTTTGATACTTTTTAAAAAATATTATAATAAAAATACATAAATATTAGAAAAATCATAAAGAGAACTATCTTTTTAATTATTTCAAAGTGTAACTCAAAAACAAGTTAAACTCATCTGAACTCACCTCCTCAAACTTACGCTCCTTAATCAATTAAGATATATTCATATCTCGTTGTTGAGTCTTAGGATAATTGAAAGATTGAATAATAAAACACTATTCGCTTTTTTTGTTTTGTTGATCAAAAATTCTATCAAACAATCGCTAAAAGAGTTAAATCAATTAAATCATTAAGTTATCTAAGTTAATCAAATATCTTACTACTGGTCTTCTAAGGATTGTGATTCAGCACCTAATTCTTCATAAAGCTATTAAATTTCTCTTAGTTGTTCCAAACCCTCTTCAGTTGTTAATCTCTAAAGGACTTACTAACCATATGAGAATTGATATAACTATTAGATAACTTAATCAATTTAAACATAGGCCTACAAATTAAGTAAATTAGAAGAAATGATAAAATTGTAAATGCACAACAAATCAATCCAATTATGATTATTTATTAAGCAAATTACTACTATATTGTCTCCATCAAAGAATTCATCATTTAGATTAAAGTTGTTTAATCTTGGATATTGTTAAATACAATCAAATAATAGTCCAAACCCTTAATTTATTTAGCAGAAATGAAAACATCGGATTAATAGGCTGAGTTATAAAGACAAAGCTAATTTTGAGTATTATAATTTGACGAACAAGTACTTTCCTTTATGTTATGATTGATAAAATTCAAAACTGCCAACCAATCAGACTTATTAAAACCAGTTGTTTTTTCATCATCAAATGACTCATATTTGGTTGAATTAGCCAAAAGATAATTTTTATAATTTGATAAAATTAACTTTCCATCATAATTTACAATCATCATATTCAAATTACTAGTATTGAAATATGCATTCTATAGATAAATATCAGCTGCGAATAAACCATCTACTTACTTAGTCTTATTGAAAAAAGACTAGGTCATTGTCATTGAATAAACATCGCTATCATTAAAATACTTATATATCTCAGATAATTGCGTATGGTTATTAGGATTCAATTTAAGATTTGCAAAATGTGACTAATACCATGATCTTTACTTAGGCCTAAACGTCTTATATTTGATCCACTGAGGATAATAGAAGGAAAACTAGTTCGGATTGCTGTCTGATACCATAAACAAATCGTTAGGGATAAATTCTCCTGTTAAATCAATAGTTAATATCATTTCATTGAATAAATGGGTCAAATTTCTTAATTAATAGTCCTATGTTGAATTATAGTAAGAGGTATCATCATTTAGAGTTTGATAAATTATGCATGAAAGGGGGTAATCGTGATTGGGATCGAAGAAAGAGGCATTTTAAGGGCATAACTAAGGGCTTTCGAGGGATTGATAATCCGTATTGTATATAATTTAATTTAAAATGTTCAACTTGGTTAGTGTAATTTAAGCTACTATTGATTTATATAAATTACTTCTTGAATAAAAGAATCGAATCTAAAATTCAATTAGATTTGAAGCAGTATTTAGTAGGTTTTGTAATTCATCGATCATTAAAGTTTGGGATGATATATTTAGAATAGATAGCGATTATCCCCTATTTAAAATGTAGGCTATCAGTAGCATACAAAGAGTAAATGTAAATATAATTGCATTTATTAATAAAATTTATGATCTCATCTTAAGATTGCTCCTCATTTTCCTAAAGCACGAACAAAATAATGCCATTTTGAATCAAAAATAAGTGAAATATTTAATATAACAAATTTGTTTATATATAATTAAAATTTGCATATACGAAATACTATCCATTCATGGATGTACTATATAGTTCAAGATGACATAACACGAGACTCAAGATTCATCCCATAATTTTTCTTATGAAGATGAGATAACTAATAAAGATCATTTTTCGCTGTTTCTTTAAATTTTTCTAATCGCTTTTTGTATTCCTCGAATTCAGTTTGTATATATTCTTTTTACTATTGAATTCCTAAATTAGGTTCACTATTATTATTAAAAACTCTTTTCTTGAATTATTAGATGGCCTAATTCTATGATACACTTTCCTCATAAACGGCCATTCTTTTTTTCTCGTCGTTCAACTATTTTACGAATTAAATTTTAGCTTTTAACAACTATGTTTTTCTCGAAGGCTATTTTCTCTCTAGCAGATGTTCTTTAATCAAAACATCATCTTCATTTTGAGGTATTTTTGACTTTATAGTTAATAATTTCCATCCAACTCCATTTGGAACAAGTACCTAATTTTGTTTTAATCTTTGGTATTTCCTTAAGATTTTTTCCATATAAACTTTCAATTTTTCTGGAGGAAACTTATCCTTCATATTAAAGAGCAAACGTGTTTCTTTAACTTCTTAATTTGATCTATTCATTCTCTTGAGCGTTTCCTTATTATTTATAAGACAGAATTTGCAATAGTCAGGCAATTTTGCATCCTATTACATTTATATTAATTCCTCCTTTATTTTAAGGTATCTTTAATCTGTTTGCCATGCTTCTACATTTAATTCGCTTTATTCCTTATAGTTTTTCTTTATGGCCAAGAAATCCAAACCTCTATGCTAATCTACTGTCTTTATTCTTGAGATGTTTGGTATAATTTCTTGGCAAAAAGAACTTGCTTCTGTCAAAATGTGATTAAATTTTCTATTCGATTAGGACCCATCATTTATGAATCTGGATTTGAAAGTTTTTTCATGCTCCTTAAATTTTTATTCCAGTGATTAAAATGCTTTTTTTCTTTTTTTTAATGAAGTTAGATCACGACCCTTTCCCCTAGCATACTTCTCCTTGTTTTCAATAGTCGTCATTATATAGTGTATTTAATTTAACCTTTGCTCAGATTGCTTTATAAAATAATCATCATCCTTGTGTTAGTGAGTTTAAGTTTACTACTTCATTAATGATCGAAATATTATAAAAAAAATATATTAAATATTTAATATCATTGAACTTATGACAGTAATCTAAAGTAGATATTCATCTTACGCCTTAAATTTATTCTTGTTCCCCACTGGTGGATGCTATTATAAGACAATAATAATCAATAAATTAATTAAGATATATTTTTCTAATACTCTAATAAAATAATATATAACTATGGTTTAATTGTGATGAATAAAAGGGAAACTATTAAAATTATGTTCTATTTTAACTCTTTGTATTAAGATGGGCCTAAAATTACAAGCTATAAAACCTTAAGATTTTATGGGAATGCAAAATTGTTATAGTCTGATAATTAGCACTCCTAACCATTATTACCAAGATCCAAATCGTTTTTTAATATTGGATAGATGTTTTTCATGCAAAGCATGCATACGAGAATGTATTAAGATTAATTATTAAATTCATAAGATAATAAACTATTAAAATGATAAAGAAGAGAAATAGATTAATTAAAATGATAAGAGTTATAAAATATAAATTAATATTTTTTAATTTTATTTTGAAATTCATTGTTTCATAATTTTTTCCTTCTATTTCATTTTATAATTTAGTCTAATGTTCCTAATACCTGATCAAGAGTGGCTCTATTCCGAGGTTCAAATTCGATCATTTTTTTTATTAACTCCTGTAATTTATTGCAATATGTAAAACAATTTTCTTTCTTTTCAATTTGTTTTATTAGTTCTTGATAATAAAACCTCTTTTGATTCGTAGTATCATTCAACTAATTTTATAACTCATTAATTTAGCTTTATAACTGATAAATAGAGTCTTATTTCTAATTTGGATCTTAAATTTTTTATTTTAATTATTTTATCTAATCTTCAATTTTTTTTATGGTAGTATTCAATTCTTATACTTTGTTTTACTTGGGAGAAAATTCTTACGTTTGAGAATTTTTATGTTGGAAGTGTTTTTGTTACACAAACCAAATAAATCCCAATTACCAGATATCATAAGTAGGGAAGTATTTGATTTATTCTCCTTCTGGAGGTCTATAAAAGGGAGTACCAACATGATGAGATACTTTTTAAGGATTTTCATTTTCCACCAGAGTTGATCTATCAAAGTCTATCAAAACACAAGTTGCTTGTGTATCCATAATATCGATCATTAATTCTACACGACTTTAAAAGTCAAACATAATATTTTCAGGTTTTAAATCTCTGTGAATTACATCGATGGAATGTAAATAGCTAGTGGCAATTACCATTTGTCTGTATAATTTTAATAAGATCTATTCAATGTGAACTGGTTTAATATCATTTCTCTATTCGCAGAGTTTTTTTGATATTTCTTAGAGGGTCATATCATGTTTCTTCAAAAACAAAAAAATGATATCAGAATATCTTATGTACCCGTATAAATAGGGGAGATGTTTATGATTGAATTCTTCAATAATTTCAATTTCTCTTAATTCATAAAGTTCTTCATTCGCCTGTGATACCTTTATTGCAATTTAATTCTCATTTTAAGATTTGGCAAGGTATTTTGGAGGTTTTATAATAAGGACTTGCGTTACTTTATTCGAAAAGCATTTTCCTTATTTTTCAATTTATAAATTTCTTCGAAGCAATTTAGAGTTTTCTTAAAAAGCTGCCTACTCTAATTTATTGGTCTCAAATATTGATTGTTAAAACATAATAAGGCTAGTGCAATAGATATAATTTGAAATACATCCTAATTATGAGCCTATAATAAAATTGCTGGAATTACATAAGTTTTAAAAGTTTCTAAATAGGATTTCTTCACAATTTTTAGCTGTTGTTCTATCTTATTTACTAATGATAAAAGGCATTCCATTCTAGTAGTCATCTTCAATCACGAAAATCTTATCTATCCTTATATCAGGCGTTGGTAAATCTCTTTTTACTACTTCCAAAATAACTAGCCAATGATAATGGAAATACTTGATATTAGGTTTGCTAAAATAAAATTTAATAGTTTGGTTGGAACAGGTAGTATTTTTTTCAAAGGAGTCAATTTTTAATGGCAACACTCGATTTGAGGAAGGTAACCAATTATCCTACAATTCCCACTTAAAAATTAGCTCTCTTTGCGACTAGTTGCAGCTGTAGAAGATTATTTTATATTAGCAGAATCGATCATAATAAAGACTTTTAATATTTTTCTTTTGGTATTAAAAAATAAAATAGTTTGTAATTCTATCTTGGGTATTTGGTGCTAGAAATTAAATAAATTAGATTATATATTTTTAAATATATTTCATCTTCTCACATTGGAGCCTGTTTTTTTATTTAAAATTCATTAACTGAGCTTTTCATCAATATGGTTGTTGTGTTTATTTTCCAATTTGGATTACGAAGTTTGACAATTGATTTCTGCATAAGTTAAAAATAACCAATGTTTAGTCCCTTTGTTTTTTGGATTTGATTATTTAATCCTTATAGTATTAATATAAATAAATAATTCTTTAAGGATTACAAAAACAACTGATGTTTAATTGGAATAGATAAAAGCTTGGGTCTGAGAATATCATAGAAAATATGGATATAACTGAAAGATAACTTTTTAGTTGATTCTACAAATTTTAATTTAATTTATTGATAAGAAATATTTAGTATTCTGATCATTTAAATAAAACAGAGTAATTGAGGAATATTAATTTATTAAATGTAGAGTGCATAAAAACTTACACAATAAAATTAAGATGCTTTCTCTTAATTCTTTGATAAATATGTATCCAATTCCAGCAAACTCTAAAGCTACAGTGTCAGAGAACTTGCTTAGAAACTGGCCATTTAATATTTTAGTGCTCAACTCCCCTCTAGATATTTAACAGAGAATAATATGAGAAAAAAAAGTAGAAATATCGTTTACAAACAAATGGAAACAGATGCAATTGAAAAGGCTAGAGCATAATTTAAAGCAAAGAAATAGAGAAAGGAATCTCAACAACGAAAGTTACCACCAGTTCCTAAAAAGAAAGACACTTAACCAAGAAGTTTTTCAGTATAACCTCCTATAAAATGTTTATCGGCTCAACCCAAGAGATCAATGCCTTCTACGTATTTCTATTATTTGGGAGACGGGAACAACCATGAATTAATTAAAAAGTTACTAGATGAAAGATAAAATTGGGTTTAGGTGAAAGATATTAGCCTTAAGAATATTAACTTTAAATGGCAAGAAACTGAAAAAGGCTACGAGTATCGCACTTTGGCAGGAAATTTAAAGGACTCTCTCCCTTAAATGCTGAACCATTTTGAGTTTCATGCCGAAATTTCAAATAAATATCACTTGGCATTAAATTTTAAGACACATTGTGAAGTAAGTTGTTTATTAATAATAAACTATAGAGAAACTAATTAAACGTACAAGATTACATCCCAATCAGTTTTGCTATCGAATGCACAAACTAGAATTTAAAAGCTGGCTTATTTTAGTTCTTGACATTCTACAGGTCATAATGTCCTTAAAACCAATTATAAGAGTTGGATAAAACTATAAAATCATACCAATTTAAGTATGGGACTTAAGTGGAAGGTAAGGTTGATGAATACCCTACTTTATTTGCTGGAGAGAATCTCTGGATCTTCAAACCAGCAAACATGAATTAAGGAAGAGGGATTCATGTGGTCAGAAATCTGCAGGAGATAATTGATATTTATAATAGGTATTAGAATGGATACAGAGAGCATCTTTTGGAGGTCAAGAGAAATGAACAAAACGAAATAGTAACGAAGATCGTCTACATTAATACATTGATGACAGAGCAATTTGTGATTCAGAAATATATTGAAAAACCCTTATTGATCAAAGGAAGGAAGTTTGATATACGAACATATGTGATGATAACATCCAATTTAGGATTCTTCTTTTTTAAGTATAAATTTAATTTACTATTTAGAGAAGGGTAACTAAGATTGGCTACCGAAAGCTTTGATGTTAAGTAACAATCAAATTATGTACACTTAACTAATAATGCTGTTCAGTACACACATCCTCAATATGGCAAAACTGAGGAAGGCAACCAATATAATTTTGATTAAGCTTCATAATATTTTAAAATAGATTTTCGGAAAGAAGTTTTAATTTCATTTATTCAAAGGTGATTCAAAAATTGAAATAGATATCCCTTTTGGCTTTTACCAGTGTCAAAGGAAAGCTCAATAAATATAAAAGGAAAAATTGCTTTGAGATTTTTGGTATGGATTTCATTTTAGATGTGGATTTCAAACCATGGCTCATTGAAGTGAACACAAATCCTAGCTTAGAAGTGACTAGTAAATTGTTAGGGACTCTCTTTCCAAGATTGATAGGTAATAATCTTGTAGATAAGTAGATGATGCATTTAAATTAACTGTTGACAGACTTTTCGTTTAATAAAAGACACCATCAAAATATCCATTTCTTCATTATTCAAATGAGGAGAACTTATGGGAATATGTTTGTTAGCTTTGAATTATTTATTATTTATTGTAACGATGATTCGTGTTTATTTTATCCAAACTATTAAACTATTTATTTATTAATAATATACATGAGTGAAGAACAGTAAAACAACTATGCAAATTAATTGCCAACTTTGGTTAATTTGAGATCAAATAGAAATACCTCCTAGATGGATTTAAACTTTATTTAGAGTATAACCTATATGAATATATTATTTAGAAAGTAAAACAATACAATCTGAAAATTGGGAAATGCTGCAAAGAGTTAAGGAAAGTCTAGAGAGCAAGGCCTTTACTAACTTTTTCACAAGTTCTTTAGCTAAATTACCCAATTTTAAGAGTCCTTAGGAATTGGCCAAGGTTTTAGCTGATTAATTTATATAAAATGAAATCAAAAAGGGTAAGAAGAGAGAGGCTAAATCTGCAATCAAAATTTAAGTATCTCAGCCACAAACATCAGATAGTTTACCAGCTTTGAAAACTCCTTAAGTTAAGTTAGAAAAGAATAAATTTAATCAAATACGATCAAAGAGTAGAGATAAACTTAGAGAATTAGAAATTATTAAGGAAAAAGAGAGAGAAAAAGAGTAATTAAATAAAGAGAATAATAAATTGAATGAAAAGATTTTAAAATAAAAAAATAAATTATACTCCAAAGATACTTAGAGGTAAAAAGAATAAGATAAATCATTTGTTGAGCAACCCTCTCCTCCAGTTAAAGTTTCCAAAAATATTAGACAAACTATATCAATTATGAAACTCTAACTTCCAACTCCCATTGAAACCAATCCTTAATAATAACCAACAATGTATTCCTACTTTTTAGGTGGAGGCAATAATTGTGAATTAATAAAACGAGTTTTTGACAATAGACCAGATTGGCATCAAACTGCTAATACAGCAAGAGCCAATTTTAGATGGTAATAATCTAATAATGGATACAAGTATTTTAAATTGAACTGGCATAAATCTCATAAAGAATTACTCAATCATTTTGAATTTCATCCAGAAATTAGTAACAAAAAGAATTTATTAGTGAATATTTCAGCTGCCTGCGAAGTAAAATGAATTTTTAATTAGACTCTTAAAATGAATCCTTTTGATATTATGCCAGTCACTTTTGCTATAGATTTTACAGATGCATCAGTGGAATCCAATATATCTGCCTTCTATAATTTCTATAATAGAAATGCACCAGAATCTAAATAGTTAAATAAATAGGATGCTTAAAACAAACTCAACGAAATAAAAAAGAAACTGAGAATAGCTCCTAGTAGAGAGAAAAAATAGTTGGAATTTCAAATGAGAGATACATTTACAGGTCCTGATTACTTGTGGCTATTGAAACCCACAGGGTTAAATAGAGGAAGAGGAATTCATGTGTTTCAAGATATTGACAATCTAGTAGAATTGCTGATTGATTATTAATATGGTTACCATGAAAAATAAATGGAAACATATAAAGATGAGAATGGCCAAACTCAATAGAAGGTAGTTTAATATTTATTGAAAACTTCATCATTCGTTGTCCAGAAATATATTGAGAAGCCTTTATTAATAAAAAATAGGAAATTTGACATAAGAGTGTGGGTCTTTCTAAATATTGATCTGAGTTGTTATTTTTTTAAGTAAGAATGTTTTATACATATTTATTAGAGAAGGCTATATAAGAATGGCATCTGAAGAATATAGAACGAATGATGTGGATAACATTTACATTCATCTAACAAATAATGCTATTTAATAACATAGTGACAAATATGGATAGTAAGAATTAGGAAATCAATTATCATTTGATTCAGTTTCTGATTATTTCAAATCAAAAATAGATTTTAGAGGATAGCTGGTAGAGAAAATGAAAGAAATGTCATATTTTGCAATGAGAACTGTGGCTTCAAAAATCAATAAGTTAAATCGGAAATTTTGTATGGAGATTTTTGGTTTTGATTTCTTTTTGGATGAACTTTTCAATATTTATTTAATAGAAGTGAACACTAATCCTTGTCTTGAAGAATCTAGTCCTTTGTTGCAAATGCTGATTCCAAGAATGATTGATGATGCTTTTGCTTTAACAGTGGATTAGATATTTCCTATTTAAAGAGATGTTGTGTCGAAATTCCCTGTTAGTAACTACAGTGATACTGAGAATATGTGGTAATTGATTGTGTTATGATGATAGGTAATTAATGGGAGAATTAACTGAAATACAAGGTTGAACTATGAATGATATAATTTTATATTATATATATATTAACTAAAATGGATTCAAACATTGTCACTCTTATTGAGCAATCCAATAAATACAATAGCTCTAAAACGAATTTCTTCAAAACCAAGTTGTTTGTGAGCAACAATCACTCTCCAAATAGGGAATATTCAAAACATGTGGCATAAACAGAAACTGTTTAATACAATAGATATTTATCAAAGGAAGTTCATTCTGGAAGAAATTCAAAAAAGATATCCTTCAACACTTACTTGTTGAACCTAGCGAAGTAAAATATCGATGCGTTTCCAAAAATAAAATGTGATTTTGCAAATATTTAAATGGTCGATCTTCAAGTATTAATCGAATACTATATAGGATAATAGGTTCAGGTTGTTTCCAAAAGAATTATATCAAATGAAAAAAGTCTAAATCATCAATCTAAATTCAAATTTCATTAAGGTACTTCCTGAGGAATTGTTCGACAACTTCCCCTCTATCCTCAATTTCTCAATTAGCAATAATTTAGTAGTGATGCTTCCAAGAAAGATCTCTCGTTGGTAATCACATCTAGAGATATTAGAATTGAGTAAAAACAGACTTTAAAAACTTTACCCATTAATATCCCTAATAAATTTAAGATCTCTCTTTATTCAATCAAATGAGTTCTAATACATTCCAATCGAATTCAAAAATTTGAAGAAATTAAATGAATTAGGTTTGGATTGGTTCAAATACCTAAATCCTCCGATAGACCCCATTGTGAATAGACCATACATAGAAAAACTATTTTTGTCACTTGAGGAAAAGCAACTCAAAGACGTCGAGGATCCCTCTTAAATTAATGTATCAGTATTCTTGATATCAAGTTTAGTGATGAAGAGTATAGCTCCTCTATTGGAATGAATTTTCAAGACTTTCTAGTTTAATTTTCAAATCTTTAGTTAAACATCCTCCCGAACCCTTAAGGAGGAGACAAAGAGTATTCAACTACAATCTTACATAAGGCAGCAGTTGAGTAAGATATAGGAGCTTTGATATCTCTGATATCTTATTATCCTGAAATTGTAGATTGCTAAGATTAAAGACAGAACACAGCATTAGGATTGGCAATCTAAGAAGAAAAGTATTTTAGTGCTAAAGCATTGATATTCAATGGGGCATCTGTAAACACCAATGCAGCAAAATATGGGTCAATTTTGAATCTGGCAATTGTGAAAGGTCAAATTCACTTGATTCTTGATATTCTCACTTAGGGTGCAGATCCAAATCAAATTGATGAAAAAGGGAATACAGCCTTACATTATTGCATGGCATGTTTTGATAAAGATGCTTCAATTTACATGTAGGCTTTTGTGGCTTTACTGAAAAAGAACATCAATCCAAATGCTCTTAATAATGATGGGTGGAGTCCATTGCATATAGCTGTTAAAAGGGGTAACACAGATGCTATTTCAGCAGTCATCCAACACAACAATAAGAAATAATCAAGGTTTGATTTAAATCTTAAAGGTGGAAAGAAACGTCAAACTCCTTTGCATCTTGCTTGTTCTAATTGTCATTTCGAAATAGTTGCTTCACTTTTACAACAGTCTGAAGTCAAATTGTTCAGTAGAAACAAACTTAATCAAATTGCATCCTAATGTTGTTTGCACAATTATAGGATCTATAAGTTAATCAAGAGGTACGAGTATGAGCAATTGTACCGATTGTAAAAAAACTGGTAATTTCAGGATCAGGACGAATATTCAGTAAAAGACAATGATTCCTATACGGATTTGGATGAGAGTATTCAACTGTTTGATGGATTACAACTAAAATAAATTAAGATTAATAGATCAGTGCTGGGTTGTCGAGAAAGAGCAACTGGGTGCAAATTCAGATTCTCTAGTCAACCACCTTAAAAATGAAAATGGAATTAAAATTATATAGATCTTATATAAATCACTCTTGTTTTTAATGGGTTGCAGGCATTCTTAATCCCACATAATTAGCCACCTTCTATATATCTGCTTTATAATCTTTAGGTTTGCCAATGTTTTCAGCATCCATTATTTAATTTTGAGTTTTGATAGCCTTCAAATAAATTTCTAAATTCTGCAAAATTTGTTGATTTTCCCCATGCACTCGTGCTTACACTGTGAATTAGTAATATTTCCTCAATTAATCTCTTGAAAGCTGATTTCCTAAGGACTTGAACAATTGTCTATACAACAACAATGCTGCTAATTTCTCCTAACCCATATATATTTTTAATTTATTTTAAATTAAAATGGACGAAAAGAATACCAATATCAATTTACCTGAGCCTGTAACTAAAAATTTGTTTGATAAGTACTCTACAATTAAAACAACATAATAGATCGCAAGAGAAAAGAGAAATAGGAGGATAAGAATTGATAAAAGTAATATAGAATGCAACATCGGATAAAATAGTCATTGAGATAGCAAAGCATTTAAAGGAGAGATACATTACGCAACAATAATTTCAATATAAAAAAGGAGGATTGCATGGATTATATTCAATTGCTATAGATATGGTGACCAAAAAAGTATTACATTTATCATTACCAAGAATTCGGACACTATCATCAAGAACTGCTTGAATTACATTATTGATCCTATGATTGAATGCATGAGAGACAAGGAAGAAAGAGTCAGATACACAGCTATTGAATATTTGTTTTTGACTTCCAAATTACTAGGTGATGTGGTCTTAAATAAGTTGGAAGATACTTATAAAAACTTAGTTCAAAGTTTCTTAGATCCTGATGAATCCGTAAGAAAAGCGGCATCCTAATTAGACAATTGTTTGAAGAGTTTGGTAATGAGTACTGCACCTGAGAAATAAAATTTTAAAATCCAATCATTTGTTAAAACAATTAGCACTTAGATAGTTTTCAAAAATCAACAAGTGAAATTAAATCTGATTTCATGGATCAACACTTTGAATTCCATTCCTCATATAGAATTATTTGATTACATTGAAGGCTTTTTGGCTGAACTCTTTCTTATGTTAGCAGATACAAGTAACAAGGATCCGTTTACGAATGAAGCTAAAATTGCTGCTAGAAAATAATTAGAAGAATTTCAAAGGGATTTGGAGAGGTATTCTAAAAGATCATCCTTCAGTCAACAATAAGAATTGAAAACTCATAGACAAATCATTGAAATCTTATTAGATTTATGCTAGAATAAGTAGAGTGATGCTCATGTGTTGTCTTAGGTTTTGAATTGGATTATGGAATACTTGAAAATAGTGAGCAATGAATTAGATCAGCCTTAAGTTTAGTTTAATCAATTAGAATTAAGTGGAGGATAAATTATCAAAGGAATTGACTTAATGTCTAATGTCTTTGAATAGAGAAGAGATTCAGTTCTTTAATCAGTTATTATGGAAAAACTCAATAATATTTTGAAAATAATACTCTCCTTATTATCGCTTGATTCCCCTCAGATTGTGAATTAAGCATAACAAATTAATGACTTATTATTGTAAATAATGGACAAAATGAAGGCTTCAGGCAAAGAATTCGTGGACATCATGCCAACCATCTAAGATATGCTTAAAGAAAAAAACAATCACACTGCTGAAAAGGCTTTAATGTGGATGAGACATCTATTGAACACACAAACTGAGAAGTTGAAACCCATGATTGAAAATATATTAGAAAATGTAAAAGAACCATTAATTAAATTAGTTAATTGAAAGATTAAAAGATGCTGAAGCTCAAGTTGTAGAGAATGTTATGGATGTTTTGGCTCGTATATCTCATGAATAGTATTTTGATATGGTTATAGAGAAGATACTGGACATATTCCACAAGAATGTCAACTTATTGAATAGAATGAGTTAGATAATTATTAAGAAACTATGTGAATTTTGGAATGCTGAAGTTGTTTATACACAAATTTGCAATAAACTTTTAGTAAACTATGTCTATGTTGGAGATGATAATCTAGATTTAGCATTTACATAATAATTGGTTTAATCATTAGAACAACTACTGATTACAGAGCCTCGCTTACAAAACATTAGAATGAAGCTTAAAAATTATAAATACGAGAAGAATCAAAAGACAGCTAAATCAACCTATGAATTCTTCATCAGTATCTATAAAACTTTTTGTTATAATGAAGTAAGTGCATTATCGTTATCTCTCTTAATTGAAGAGTATGAACTCACTTATAATATCATCCTAACAATTGCAGAATAAGAAACTAATTTAGAAATCTTAGTATAAATAGCCAGATTAACCCTATTATTGGAATCACCTGTTTTTGCATATTTAAGATTGCAATTATTAGAGTCAGCTAATCATCCCTTTCTTATTCAATCTTTGTAAGGATTGATGATGTTATTGCCTTAATCTCCGATATAAAAATATCTGAAATCGAGGCTAAAAAACGTCGAATTATTTGTTAAGCCCCATTCGGATTTATCATAGTGTAGAGAGTATACTTATATCATATAATAGAATCCAAAATAAATTGGATACTTAATTATTACTATAACTATTTAAAAATAGCAAACAAGAATAACAGGACTTGAAAGACAACTATACCAAATCTCAATTCAAATGAATATATGTTAATTAATTTCATTTTATAACAAAATTTTACTTTGTCTTAAATTAATAATTATTTAGTTTTGAGAGTAAAGTATTAGATATGTAATCTCATATGTTATTAGCTTATATAATTTCAATATATTTATAACAGTTAAGTAAAGAAAAACTTAAAATTAGCATCTTAAAAAGAAGATAATTTATTATTAAACTATTTTCATTAATTTAATTTAACATAATTGTAGAATGATTTATTTTATAGAACTTTAATATAGTTTATATAGAATTTTTATAATAGCCAATAAATCTTTATGTTTTTCGTATAAATATCTGGGAATTTTAATAAAATGATTGTGACAAATTAATTATTTTTTAGTTTATTCTCTATCTCTCTATAATAACCTTGCACACATTCATCATATCATGAAAAACCAAAGATAATTTATAAGGTATAAGTTTGTCATTGTTAAGATTTGAATACATCATCTATAATTTAAATTATGAAAAAATAATAAAAATAAATTATTTTTATACTCTATATCAGAATTTGATATTTAATGTAAAATAAGTATAAATTATTTAAATCAAGTTTATAAAACATCAAAGCAGATTTAATGATAAAATATTATATTTTTTTAGTATCCATGTTATGTGGTAGTAAGATTTTGGTTATTCTTTTCTGACTTAAATGACTAATCTTTTTAAATCTCTTTTTTTCTAATTAATTTTTCATACTATAATTAATTAATATAATTATATTATATAAAAATGGATGTTCAAGTTGAAAATTCAAAGATTGAAGCTATTATTTAATGGTCAAAAGAGTTGTTTAGCATGGAAGGGCAAGTTAAACGATTCACGGCAGGTTGAGAGCAATAATAAATTAGAAATGAATGAAGTCGTATCATTATGCACCAAAGAGAAATATGAATTAAATTTTGTTCAAAATACAAAATCAAAAAGATGGATAGAATTAGATGTAATAATGGTTATCAATAATAAGTTTGGGATCAAATAAAAAGTAGAAGTCTATGCAAATAATGAATTATAAAATATAGATTTGATTGTCTTTACAATATAAATTGGTACTCAATATCCAGTGAAGGATGTGAGAATAGTTGCCAAAACCACTGTAATTCTAGTTATTTAGTTAAGTTCGTTAGGCCTACTTTGGCAGATGGCAGAAACCTGATAGCTGATGTATTGTTGCAGCCTTGGAATTACAAATTATCTTTAGTTTCCATAATTAAATAGATCCCATCATTTTTAGTATTCCACTTAATGTTATGATCATAGGATCGTGTATTATTGAATAGATTTGATAAGATCTATCTTTAAAACATAGGTCAATATTATTTAGGTAGTTCATATTCAATAGATGAATTGAAGGATTTTCCAGATTTAGCCAGATTTCCAACGATTTAAAATAATAGAATGCCTTTTTCTAAAATATTTAAGTGAGGTTAGAATATATATATAAATAATAAGGTTGATTGGATTGAGTGATGCTCATTTTTATTTATTTGAGATGATAGAAGGGAAGGATGATTATGTTAGACTGATATTCAGGGCTCCACTGTAGAGTTGTATCTAACTAAAAAGAAAGAAAGATAATAGCACATAATTATCAATCACATGGAAGAATTATAAAAACAAACAAGAAGAACAATAGATATTTACTCTAAATGAATATGACAAGTTCATCAGATTGTTTTTAAGGAGATTGAATCAATATCAGCATGTGCGCATGACATCAAATTCTTATATGGCATTTGGGGATTAGCAATTGGCTGAGAGATAGAAGATCAACTCAATTATGAAGAATCTAAATTAATTGGAGAATGAAATTGATAAGAAATTTAATCAATAGACAATTAATAAACTGATGGACTTATATCAATAAGTAATATATTGCAGTTGATATGAAACTAGGCAATTGAATTTTATTCATCTGCCAGTGATTACTTGTATGAGATCTACCTGAATAAATTATAGACATTGATACAGAGATAAGATGTATAAGTTATTTTATAATATAAATGATAATTTTATTTTAACTACCTAATTAAAGATGTTTACAGGTGAAAACATTCAATTTCTTTAGTAATTACATTAGTTGAAGGAAATATGCAAGATAGGAGAGGGTAGTTTTGGTAAAGTCTATAAAGCAATTGATTTAACAGACAAATCCATTTGTGCAGTCAAGGTAAATTCAACATAAATTAAGAGGTTATTTCGAAAATCGTTTACAATAGTACTACTCCTGAATAGGATATCTATTTATAATTGAATCATCCCAATATTGTGAGATGCAAAAGAGTATGAGTAAAAAAATATCTATTAAGACTTCAGAAAACAAAAAATACTATTATATAATTATGGAATACATGGAAGGTGGCACTTTAGCCTAGAAAATGAAAGAGAAACAATTGAATGATCAGGAAGCAGCAGTTATCATGAAATCAATTTTGGAAGGAGTGAATTACCTGCATGATAGATCAATTATCCATAGAGACATTAAACCAGAAAACATCATGTTGACAGGAACAAATGTTAAAATTGCTGATTTTGGATTGAGTTTTCGATTCTCATCCAGCGAAGGCAATTTTCATAAATTATTAAATAAAAAATGCGGAACTATTATTTATATGGCACCAGAACAATTTACTGAAAAATATGTAGATTACTTATTCTAACATTTATTTAGTACAGCAAATAAGTCGATGCCTGGAGTTGTGGAATTATACTCTATATGCTTTTAAATGGAGGAATGCATCCCTTCTATAATAAGGATGACACCAAATATGAATTCATTAAGAAGATCCTCAATCCTTCAATTGATATCCCATTAAATATATCTCCTTTGGCTAAAGATCTATTCTTTAAATTGATCAATGTCAACCCAATAGATAGATACAATGTAAGTCAAGCCTTGATGCACCCATGGATTACAAGGAAGTTTCATGAAAAGATTCCACTCACCTATTAATAGTAATTGGACTAGTTCTTAAAAGAATAACAAATTCGATAGGTATGCATGTACAATTTAATATGATAGTAATTTAAGTTATTATTCTTCTTGCAATATATCTATCATAATTCACCAAGAGCCTAAACCTTTTAAGATAGTGTGAAAGAGGGAGGACAAGAGAATTCAATTCTTTAGTAAAATCAAACAAGTGCAAGTCCAACTCAAAATAAGTTTAAGATCTTGTAGATAAATAACAAACATAAAAATTAATGCCACACAACTCCTAGGACAGATTGTTAAGGAAAGTTTCTAGATTTTTCATTAACATAGAAGACTAATTTTAAAAAATCAATGGAGAATATATTGGTATTTGAAAAGGATAAATGCGAAAAAAGTTAGAATTTTTCAGCAAGATCTTTGAAGCAGAGATCAACTCAAATGGTTAACAAATATTTTATACCTACTTCGTTTTAAGAGTCTTTTGGAGTTCCTAATAAAATGAAACTTAAATAGCATAAAAGAGTACTACCTCCATTAAAAACAAAATGATACCATTTATAATTCTTTCACTATTATTTATACTATTTAATGATTTTAATTTCTTCAATTTAGTATACCTAAATAATGATTATTGAATATTCCACACATATTAAAATGAGCAGAATATCCTAATTCAAATCGACCTTAACCAAACTCGAAACGATAATTTATTAGTTAGAAGAAAGCCTAGGAGTTGAGCATAAGCCTTCCCCATTTGCAGAATTTATTTAACTTAATACTAAATAAGAAAATTAATCAAACCAAAAGGTAGAATAATAGGTAGAACCTCAACAGAAATAATAAGAACCTTAGAAATAGTCAAAAGATCATTAGAAATAGCCGGAATAACTTCAAAAAAGGAACAACCTTAAAAAAAAGAAAAGTAACCATAATAAGAGAAAAAACAACAATAAAATTTAACCGTAGTAGGACAAAATGGCAGTTGCTCCAACACTTGTAGATTTTTTATGTATAGATATGAGAGTTGGTGAATTAAAGAGAGTTTGGAAGGTATCTTCATCAATTAATTTTAGCATGAAGAATCAGATAAATGATATTGTGAAGAGATTGATATTGGAGGAGAAGTCAGATAAATTGCTTCAGGATTATAATAATTTGTACCTATTGAAGAAATGACTGGATAAGTTATAGTAATAGTGAATCTTAAACCAAGAAAATTGGCAGGTATTTTACAGCAAATTTTATAATTTTTTATTTAATTTTAGTATACATTTTAATATTGAATAGGATTTATGTCTAATGGTATGGTTTTATGTGCATCCGATGCTTCTCAAACATAAGTAGAATTGATGAGGCCAGCTCCAGGAAGCAAAGTTGGAGAGAGAGTCAAAATTCAAGAACATCCATCTATTTTCAAAGATGGAATGGAAGAAGAACTAAATCCGCTAATGGGATAAAGTTGCTCCTTATTTAATGACAAATGAAATTCTTTAAGCAGTTTTTGTTGGTATTTAAGTCATAAATCAATTAGGTTATCTTTTAGTAACTTCCTAAGGTCCAATTGTTATCAAAACATTAGCTAATTCAAATATATCTTGATAAAAGTTTATATTATAAAAAAGTTTAGATATAAATAATTAATCTAATTATTAGTAATAGAACTTGTTTAGCTACTGTCTGTATTTTCTTATATTCTAATATTTGATCGATATTACTAATTTTTTAGTTTTTGGTAAGTTTATTGATAGACTAACAAATTAATTTTACTTATTGAATAGGTTATTATTTTCGCATACTCCTATATATTATCAAATGAATAGGAATTGTTTTTTCTATTATGGACTTAAATGAAGAAATAATGTAACATTCTACTACAACCAAAAATTAAAGTTTATAAATTCTATCTTGATTTATTACTTTATATTATTGGTTGCATTTCTAAAATAATTTATAATCATACATAAATTGGATACGTTTTTTCTTTCAAAGATAAAATTCATTAAATAACAATTAATTTTTCTTTTTCTCTTTGTTGAAATAATGTGCATTATAAATATATTGCAAAATCTTTGTATCTCAATTTACTTTTAAAAAGAATAATCCAAACGTCTCTAATTATTTAATAGTCTATGATCATTATTTTTTGTTTTTGATTCACAAATAGATCAATTAGGTAGGAGAATTTTATTATCGCTTATACTTTTTTATTTTATTGATTATTAATGCTGAATAAATAATTAATATATTCAAGTATCTTTTATTAATAAATATTGATCTAAGCTAGTGATAGTTAAATATCGTTATTGAAAATAACCAATAAAGAATTGATGATTAAAACTGCGTGTTTTAAAATTCGATATATATTCATAAATTTTATTTCCATATAAAAATTTTTTGAATATTCATTATCACTTTAATTTGATGGCTTCTAATTCTTGTTAGACTTGGTCAAATGCCTTAATTGGCTTATATTTAGGTGACAATCCTGTTTTGGCAAATTTATCCAATGGTTGGAGAGTGACATCAGAATTAATATGTGAAAACAGAGTTGAGGAGACTCTCCATGTACTTTTTCCAGCCTTCTTATTTTCTTCATATTTTTTTTTGGCTTCTTCTGTGTAAATGACCTGAGGAGATATTGTAAAAAAATACTTCATGATATCCACAAGTCACATAGCCACCAGTAAGCAAATCAAATTGAGCACCAGCTTAGAGGAGCAAGTGGCCTTCTGGGACAGCAACTGAGATTCTCTCTCCATTTCTTAACCAAACATACAAGCCAGGATAGCGACTCTTACCATGAATGGTGAGGAAATTCAAATCGTAATGAAATCCTGCAAAAATGGTACCTGGCTTGTGTCTATCCAAATCGGAACCAGTTGGAGCAAGTAAATGAGGTCCATTTTACATTCTACTTGTAAACGAGTCGGCTGGAATGCTCATACCTATAGCAGCCATCTCAGCGACTGTCAAGCATCCATTGATCATCATCTTGCCCCATTATTCCATGCGTTCTCCAAACTAAGGAACATCTTTGGGTCTGAATCTTGGGGGTTGGAAACTATGATAATATAAGTGAAAGTATAATACTCTTCATCCTTGGGTCTTTTGCCTGAGTCATCGATGGGCCAAAAGAATCTCCACTTGGCATCCTGGGAATAGGGATGAAAAAATTACATAGGGAGCTGGTTATGGAGTCAAAGCCTCATTTTCTTTGGTGTATTATTTGACAACATTTTTGTGTGTTCTTGCCTTTTCGACGAACTCTGGTGTAGCTCCAACTTAATATGCGTAGTTCGGGAAGATATCTTCGACCTTGAATTAAAAGCATGTGAATACTTGTTCATTGTTATAGAATTTGGCAGCTCTTGATTCAAAATACTTTTCCATCATATCCAAAAAGTCGACATTATGACGATCGTTAACTCTTGGATCCTTGATGCAAATGGCTCCGTAATTGTGGAGAGCTTCTGCTACCTGGGCACATTGGGCAGAGGTGTCCCCCTTTTTGGTAAGGAAGGCTGTAACATCGACCACAGGTACAGATTTAGCAAATCTATAGACAAATCTTGTTGTAAACATTTTAATAAATTAATAATATGTCATTCAATTAAGGAGAGAGTACTATTTATAGTTGGATATTTGATCAGTAATATTCTCTTGGCTATAAAATGTATGTGATATTCTCTTTTTGAATTGTGCTTCTTTGTCTTTAAGCGTATAAATTAAACAAAATTAAATCTTAAAAATAATGAAGAACATTGATCCGAATGTGGTTTTTGTAAAGAAGGAAAAATGGGATTACGAACAGTTGGAAGTACTCATTACAATCCTACATAGCCAATTCCCTGTAAACAAATTGAAGTACCCAATTATGTGACTATTTCAACTGTTGCTTAGGCCGCACTCAAATTGCCTACTGTTTACATTCACACCAATATAGTGTACCCTGATGAAAACGAGTACTCTTGCGATGAAGAAGATTTGGAAGCTGGCATTGACCCCAAAGTAATGCAGCAATTGGATCTTAGGCGTCATCTGAATACTAATCGTAATTATTCTAAACAATATTCGTTACTCAATACATTGGAATATGATGAAACCTATTATAATAAAAAAGTTGAAAGACTATAGAGGCCACTTTTGAGAGTCTTCATGCGTGCTCAAGAGAATGAGTAAATTTATTATAGCAATTTTAGTTATCGAATGAATGTGGCTTTTAGACCTAGCAAGGCCTATAAGTAAAAACGATAGAAGCACATGGATATACAAAGTATTGATGTTGCAAGGGAAATCCTATTGAATGAGAACTTGATTGCACTTAATTTGCTGAGACAAGTAAAATAGAGAGAGTTGCTGAAATTGCAGTTAATCAAAGAAGAGGAGTTTAACTTTGTAAATACATTCAATAATTGCAATGATTTATTTGGCAACTTAAAGGAGCTGAAGTGTTTTTACAAATCAGAAGACCTATTGGAATAATAGAGAGACAACAGAAACAAGGTATTTTGAATCATGTTCCAACAACGAGTGTTCCTATCAGTTTTGTCCGATGTCCTTATCACCAGATCTCATTGACTTTATGGATGAACAATATCAACTAACAAAGGATAAGGGCGTGATTTGGCCTAAGAATCCAACGATGCTATCGAGTTGGGATGTCGATACATACACCAAGTTGGGTGTTCATCAACTGAACAAATCACTCATTTACACAACCAACAATAGAACCTTAATGATTGCTGATAGAACGAAGAAGAATAAAAAAAAGGTTAAACTGATGCTAGTTGATCGGAATAGAGCCTCGATCTTTGATGGAGTTAGAGCAAACTTTGATCACTTTTATGCTCATTATCAAAAGATCAATCAAAAACAGGAATCCTTAATTGATTAACAAAGGAAGGAATGTTAGAAGATTAGATTTGAGAAATAGAAGAAGGAACATCAACTCAAAGTATTATAGAAGAAAGAAGAATTAAGACAATCTCTGAGGTTCAAGATGAGAATACTTTAGGATTTGGATCATCCTATCTGCACTATTAGAATCAAACATTCTGATGAATTAAAGTTTTAATTAGTTAAAGACATTCACTACAACTCTTAAGTTATATTGGTGTGAAATAGCTTCAATAGAAATGAAAATAATTGTGATTGTATATTTTTTACTTTACTTTGTAATATTTCATAAGAGAGAGTTTCTTAATTTAAATAAGATTTAAATTATTTATTATGGCAGAAGTCGAGTAATTATCAGAAGAACTCACAACCTTAAAGAGAGTTGTTTAAACATCATTACATAGAGGATTGTTGGCTAAGGGAGTCCACGAAGTGTGCAAAGCCATTGAAAGCAAACAAGTATGAATACTCTTCATTCTAGGCAAAATTCGTGGTTTTGGCTGATGATTGCACTGAAGACACATACAAGAAATTGATTGTTGCTTTGGCTAAATAATTCTAAATCCCTGTTTGGAAAGTAGAAAAAGGAGCTTTGTTGGGAGAATGGATTGGTATTTCTAAATTCCTTACTAAAACTAAAAAGATCAAATCAAGAAAGTGTTCATCTGTTGCACTCAAACATTTTGCAATTGAAGTTAGTGAAAATGAAAAACAATTCGTCGAAGATAAAATTAAGGGATTGTGAAGTTATTATAACATATCGTACATTTAAATACATTAATCATTCAACATATAATGCCAACTCTAGTCACTTATTTGTCAAACAAACTTTTAATTTGAATGTGTGATTTCACTTTTAGATATTAATAAAATTTATATGATATCAGAATAACTCAAATCAGGACCATCCACTAAGCAACTCAATAGTGAAGATACTCTCAGAGTTGGAGAGTGCACAGTTCATAAAAGACAACTAGAAGCCTTCTGCACTTCTTGTCATGTGTATTCCCATTGTATTTATCTAGTCTTATTTGTCCGACTTGTTTGATGTTTGGAGATCACAAAGGACATCTGGTTGATTAGATGGACAAAGCTACCAAAGTTATTCGATCATCTATGGATCAGGCTGCGAAAGATGGTAATTGCTCTCTTTAGTATATTCAAAATAGGAATCTTGAGATTAGAAAAAACAGAAACTGTTCTTGTAGACATTAGACATACAAAACTAACATTCGAGGAATCAAAACAAAAAGTGTTAAAGGAAGTTGAATAAACTTTTGCCCTCATTTTCAAATTGATTAAGTAAAGAAAGGATGAAGTTATCAATTTGATTAATCAACATTATGAAATCTAAGTTAATAACATTGATACCTAAGAATAAATTTGGATGGACAAATAATCAAGAGCATATGATGTTATCAAATTAGCTAAATCTACTAATGATTATCAATTATTGGAAAAGGCAACCTATATTTTAGAAAGTAGTTCGTATTCATTATTTGAGGTTTGGAAATTCTAAGACAAACGCCAACATATAAAAATGTTTACATTGTCAATTCTATTGATACAACATTTAATTTAAATAACATCTCATTAAATTTATCAGAATTTTAGAAAGGACTGCAAAATTGGATCAAATTAGGTGATTCCGTGTTAATTCAATTTAAATGTTGATCAAATCGTTAAATTTACAACATTTATATTTCAATATCTTTCATTATATATTCTAAAAACTAATTAAACAATAATTCCTTCTCTACATATACATACATATATATGAGATATTATATCAAAAAAATATTGAAATTATGGAGTTTAAATATCTATATAAAACTCGATATACATATAAATATACATCAAGTCTGAGCAATTTAATATTTTAATTGAATTGAAATTCATAAGCCTGCAAAAAACAGTAATGTTGGTATAGGAAATACTAGTAAACATAAGTTTGGGTTGACATGTTGAAATGACCATAATAGACCTCCCAAAAGGAATTGTCTAATATTGATAGATTGATAATAATATCCAAATATATAGGCAACTACACAACTTGTTAATAGAATAATCAAGTATATTAAATGAGAAAACGTGAGTAAACTTTTTCTTTGCACTGCTGAATGAAGGACAACTCCGAATAGAAGTGAGTTAAAAAACCTGAAAATCAAACCTTCAACTTGTGGAATTACCGAGACTTAATTGTAATATTTTGATTGATACTTATTAAAATTGAAATCAAAGCCTGTTCATACTTTAATTTTGTATGAACTACTTTGTTCTCGACCGAATATTCCCCTGACAATATTTCTGCCTGAATTATTTCCCCCATCTATTTATCAAAATCCCCCATTTTGAATGGAATGGAAACATGAGGCTTAATCTGGTTTTGTTGATACTCACTGTTGTCCTCGTAAATAATAGATATATTCTAATTATTGGCTCTCTTTTATTGATCAATATGCGAGATTAATTTGGAATTACAACTTGCATCCTGTGGTCTCCCCTTCTCCAACAATATTGTATTCTTCAACGTAACTCCTAATTGAGTCAATAAGCTCTTCTCAGTTTTCTGTATGATAGCATATTGGCTTTCTCCAGTAACATAGTCAAAGATTTATACGGCCTCAATGACCGGTTGTACATATTCTGCCGAGGTGGCCGTCGCTCCTTCCCTCGCATGATGTATAATAACTGCAGGGTTTGCTTGATGTTTTTCTTGTTAATGACCATCCTTAGTTTTGAAACCCTCCTTAATCCATAAAAAAGAGATTATTCCTATCAGCATCCATGGGAATTCCGTAATAAGTGTTCCTAATATAAACAATTTGGCACTATCATGTATCGATTCTCCCAGTTCGTCAACTTAAAAGAGAAGAGCAAATGTAGAAGAACTTAAAAGTAATATTATGTCAAGAAGCATATTTTATTAATGTATTAATTAAAGATCATAGAGTAACTCTGCGATGATAACTAAATTACAACAGCCAGAAAGTCAAGAATCTCAAGTATTTACAAATAATACACAACCAATCAAGATTTTAAAATCATACGATCTATTTTATCATAAACAATTGTATATTACTATGAAAATAGGAACTCGTACGAAAACAGTACTAGTTCAAATTTAGAAGATTGATTCACCATATTACAAACTTCAAAACTAATTTATATCTTAATCAAATTGTTTCTCTTTGCTTTTTTGAATAAGTACTCTAAGATAACTTTGTAAGTTTCAGATAAAATTCTTTATAAAATAATTGATTAATTCAGTTTGAATTTTTAGGAAAATACTGTTTCTAAGCTTTTTATTCGATCTTTGAATTTTGAGCGAGATACATGCATTTCATAAAGAAGGGAGGGATCATGAATGGTAAAGAGACATAAATATATTTTAGAAAATATTTAAAATTCGATATTTTATAAGTTCTCTTTTTATTTTCAATTTATTCTCAAAAATCATTTCGTATTATGTGTTCTGCCATTATATTAATGAGAAATACAATATATATTAGTCTAATTTCAATATTTTAAAAGATTACTTTGAATATTTATAAACTCTGTAAACTTGTTTAAAATATATCAGTATAATTATAATATTGGCTATATTGTAATTGATTCTTTTACTATTCAATATAGCTATGAGGGCAATATATAATATAATACTTGAGAGCTTTTCCTTATATTTTTTTAATCAATCATTAAATACATTATAGGAAATTTTATTTTTCTGAACTAATAACAATTTATTATTTTATTTATGAATAAACAAAAGCAACTAACAATCTCTTCTGATTGGATTAATGAAATTAAATAAGCATCAGATCCCCTCAGTCATTCCTAAATGTATATCAAACATTTAAGTGATGGTATTTATATATGATTATCACTTTGAATTAAGAGTACTATTATCGCACAATAAAACATTGAAAATTAGATTGGAGATATATGAGAAAGAACCAATAACATATTCATAAATCACTAAAGCCATTGCATCAAATAAAGCAAATGATAAATTAAATGATTAAAATACACAATAAAAGTCAAATTAACAGTTAGTTTTTAATATTATAAATAGCAAATCTAATTAAGGAATTAGTAATTTAGAAGAGAGTTTGGGTCCAGCAATAGAATAAATAAAGGAATTATAGAAGGTTATTGAAGAATTAAAAAAATAAAATATAGAGTTGCATGAGCAAATGAAATAAAAGTTATCAACAATGAAATAAGCTAAAATAATAATACCCCATAAATTTGAAGGCCATGATTATGTAGGCGATCAATTGTTGATTGGCAAATCTACATTAGTTAATGTTAAGAAAATATCCTATGAGCCTTTTCATAAATCCTCTTTGAATTAATAAAACTCATCAAAAGATAAGTATAGAGCATTTCAAATGTATTTAGATAAATATAAAATTTGATCAATCAGAAGAAGTACTTAGAATAAGAAATCCTTCATTTCAAGGAAACGGGGATAATTAGAAAGCCCAAACTTGAAGGCCAAGATTTGGAAAGTATCATCAAGAGATATGAGAAAAACAAGTCTATGGTTGCTGCTCAAGAGAGATTCAACAAGTAAATAAGATAGCAGGAAGACTTGAAAGACTAGTATTTGTAAGCATTGATAGAGGAAACCTTTCTATTGTAATAACAATTAAGATTGATGACTCAATCAAAGTCTTGATTATATCAACATTAATCTAAATTGAAATTAATTATTAATAGCAATGATCAAATATTCATTTTTATAGTTTTTAACTAAATTCCTCTAAATCGAAAATGGCCTCTTTTAAAAGTGCAATGCTTAATATAGAGGATTTTTGAGCAAACTCACTTAATTGTCCATTATAATCAGTGAAATCTGGTAAAGAATAACTAGAATATAAATATTAATATCTTACTATTCCTTTAGATGTTGTTTGATGGGAGCAAGATAGGCATAAAATATTTCTTTCTTGATATCCTGTTTATGAATTTTGAGCAATGCCTTCAGATAATATCCAAGCAAGAATACAAATTCAGATCCATTGTGAATGGAGAATCCATCTTAGGCATTGAACCGATCAGTCAATTGAATATATTTTCCACTGTATTCACTTGCAATAGGATCCAGAGTGCTTAAGCCAAGTGAGTTTAGACTCATCAAATTGGATTCAATCAATGCTAAATGGTGTATGACATGATTTTTTTAAAACAATTCTGGAGCCAAAGCAATAGCAATACAAGAATTGGGTCTTAATTGATATTCAGATCTAGGTTTTGAACATCTAAAGATGTCTCTATAGATTCCTTTCCTCCTTACATGTTTCTCAATCACCTAATATTCACTGTAATAGGAGGGATCAACAGGAATGTAATAGCTCTTTTCAAAATGCTGGCAAATAAAATCCGACCATGCTCTCCAAGTGACCGTCCTATTCATTAATTTAATTCCTGGATAAGTAAATTTGTTCTATTGATGCATCTTCCCAATGAAATCGAGACATGCTTTTAACAATGCAGTACACTCAATAGGGGCACCATCTCTGGATGCAGCAGGATATCCTTTATTTAGTGTGCCTGATCCCATTTTGTCCATCCAAGTCAAACAATTCTTGTAGTTGCCTCCCATAATGAAACCAGTTTCTGAATCCAGTTTAAGCTCCACAACCAGACCCTATAATAAATACTAATGAATTACTTCTTTGTCAGTGTCATCATTTACATATATCTCCTTAAATTTGATGCCTGTTGCATGAGATTGGAAAATGCATTGAATTTATTCTTGCAATAAACTAATGATCGAGAAATCATCAGTATACGTTACATAATCACGGATGGCCTTGATCCACCAAAAGCATGTGTCCCTGGTGTTATATCTGAGTGGTTTTAATGAATTAGGAATGAGGCCATGTTGCATTAGGTTACCATACTTAAAAATCAAGGCTTTGGCTTCGACAACCTTATCTAAAAATAACATATGAATTTTTACTTGTCAAAATCAAAATACCCTTGAAACTCATAAAGGTTTCTCTGCCTTTAATGAAATCGTAGTTGGTAAAATAAGAGGATAAGATATCAATTTATTTAAAGAAAATCTCTCTGTGTTGAGTATATTTGTCTTCAATGCTCTGCACAATATGCTTTATGCATTTAATGAAGTAATGGGGTTTAAAGACTGAAGGCAGTTATTTGATTATTGTTAGAATTGGTACCAAACAAGAATGATTATCGCATAAATAATCGATAAGCCAATCACCTTCTCGAATGTGTTGTATGAATGGGTCTTTGAGAGTTTCAATCTTATTGATAAACCTCAATACTCCATACAATCCTGAATAGCAGAGTACACCACATCCTGGTACTTCATAATGATTTATCAAAGGTTGATATAGAAGATTCATATCGTCATCACAATTAAAGGGAGTCAACAGGAACTCGTTTAGTTTTTGTATTTCTAAAATAGGTTCACATTACAAAATGATAACACAAGAGGTGGGAGCATTGATGGATAAAATATCATCGTTGATTTTAGCATAGGAAGTGGTGACATCTATGTAATGCTCTTTGACTTTGATCTCGTCATCGAGATTCTGAGTTTCTTTTCCGCTGTATTGGAATGAGTATTGATACAATATACTTGATATCTTGGAATACAGTTTAATTTTACGAATGATGGGTCTCAAACAAATAACAATTGTTTCATTCTATAAATGATCCTCTTGACATCTGGTGATAATCATGACTTACTCATGAATAGACTCCATATAGGTGTGTGATATTTAATTTTAGGTAAGTTACCGAATGAAAGTCAATGATGAGTAAGCTTTGATGGGTTTAATTTCAATTATATTATTCATATGATTCGTTTATTGATTTTCATCTACTGTCCATACATCATCGATAATGTATTTATATTCATAAACACCTGGTGATAATTCTATCTGACAAGTAAAATATTTAGGGTTTTCTTGATCATTTTAAAGGAAATATTCTTATTACCAATTATCAAATGAACCTTTTAATTTAACTACTTTTGGAAGTGCTGCTCCTTGATTTGAACTACTTGAAATTGGAGGAGTGTGTTTCCACATGAAAGTGATAGGTCGTTTTTCTATATCGTATAGTTATTAATTGATTTGAGGGTAATAACGATTTTCATAGACACAACTAATGTGCTTATCATAGAACTCATCGACTAATTTGGTAGTTCCTTTGAATTAGCTACTGAAGGATAAGGCTGATACTAAGGACATGAGATAGCCTGGTCCTTGAGATGAAACAATTGGTGGTTAATTGTCGTGAGTTTAATCATAAATTAATCTGTAGGGTCCTGAGATTTGAGGGATGAAAGCACAAGTTTATAATTTATGAACTATGGCGGATGCGTTCCTACAATAAAATAATTCGTCCACTTATCCATTCAATCCTAATTTACTCATATACTTAATTTACTATTTGTATGAGCAACCAAACAATTCAGCAAACACCAATAATTTAGGATTCTCCATTCTAGCATGTTTCAGTAAGTATTAGCTAACTGTCAGAGGAGTGCCATGACAATTGTCCAATCGAATGCCATGAAAATAACGAGCCATCTGACAGATGTACTGTTTCATTCGATTCAGCAATAGTGGAGTGTCTCGTTTGTTGCCATAGCGTAGTTTAATTACATTCCATTTGTTGACAGTGTGTCTGAGATAATGGAAGTTTTGGCTGGTTACGAAGTCTTCTTCGGGATCAATGTTATCCACATAACCATTATAGGCAGCATACCAACTCTTCAATTTGTAGAAGTACTTCTAAACACACCCATACTTTTAATAATGCGCTTAATTATTAGCTATAGATTCTGCTTCATATTACTTGGCCCTTTTGAATTATTTTTCATTAATACATTTTAAAGCCTTCAGAATTTGACTGACAGTCAATTGATGAGTTCCTAATTCCTGCTAAAACCTCCTGAAATTAAAGGATACTCCATATCTGGACACTCCAAAATTTGACAAATACATTTCGATCAACTTTATATTTTTCTCCTGATTGGATTCCATGAATATATTATCATCATCATCATCATCATCATCACTATTTGCATTCTCATTCTCCACTTGAAACTCCATCCAATCTATCTTTCGCAAATCAATCTAGAAGTACTCCTCAATTCTAAATGCCTTTATCACTTTTTCGATATCCTCATATTTCTATACCTATTCTAAAGCGAAATCCAATTCAAGAGCCGATGTTAGTTGCGGAACAGTTCTTTCGTTGTACACGCATTCTTCATCATCCAACCATTGACTCTCCTTCGCAGTGTGATTCAACACTACATCGATGAAAAAGATCTTTTTAGACGATTAGATAAAATTATGTAGTTCCTCGAAATCTCGAAAGTATTTTATACTCAAATGATCCTTAATCGCATATAGGCTATGAGATACTTCCTGTATGGGACACAAATGAAATGCTTAAAACCCTTCCAAATCCCATCTCTTTACTAAATTTGGTAAGACTGTCTAAATGGTCAAATCTTTGAGATTAAACATTAATTGATTCCACACTAAAAAAATGGAAAGGCTATCCCATTTCCTGAATCTTTCTATCATCTAGATTCTAACCAGATTATTCTGAGGAAACTTGGGCCTAATTGCCGACATTTGATCTCAAACACATAGTCTCCATCATTCGATATATTATATCGATAGGGCTCGTAGACGGAGTAGAAGGGCATCGGCAATAAGGCTTCTTCATCTCCTCTTAGAATTTTCTTATAGCCTTTCTATGGTTTCCTTGGAGAACCTTTCTTCGAGGGAGAACGAGTCGAATGTTGAATATTTGTGATGAGTACTGGAGTGGATGAGAAGATGTTTCTCGAGCACAGAACGACCCTCAATAAAGTGTCGTAGGGCAAAGTCAAGCAGTTATTAAGAGCAATTGAGCCATTTTATGACGTATAAACAGTATACATTCGTATTAATTAATTTTTATAATGGAATTATCATACCTTCTATTTAAAACCATGTTTAAGATTAGCAAATAAATTTTAGATCAAAATTGAGTCCATTTTAAAAAGTTTATATTTATAGAATTTAATTTCTCCCTCTCTCTCTTCTCGTCCCTCCATCCAGTCATGTGAGCAAAAGGAGAATTCTTTTGCCGATATTATATTTGATTTGGTAATTCCTAATAAAAACAAATTACAAAAAATGATAACTTAAATAATTAATATATTGAAAAATGTCATTCTTCTAGTCTCAGGAATACGAAGATTAGGATGAACACGAATAATTGCGAAATGTGGTAATGCGCGTGATATTCATAATTAGAAATCCCCAAATCAGTTGCAATTAAAATCTCGATTGTATGATCGAGGAGGTTAGCAGAAAAGGCCAGTCACTCGAACCCAACAATAAGTAATTCAATCTCCCTATTTGTAGTTAGTGCCCAAACTGGTTGCTCAATAAAGCAAGCAAAAACTGGACCCACTGAGAATGACCATGGGGACAACCTTCAAATAAAATGTAGATGAGCTCTACAGAACCAAATACCTCGTAGACAAATTATCGGGTAAGTTCTAAATCGATTAAAAATACTTGGCCATCATGCCAGAAGAGGAGCGTAACTACTTAATGCGAAAAACTGGCATGAGTTCACTAGGATCTCGTTTCAAACTCAAACCTCTTGATTCAGATCCACGTATTTAAAGTCCATTTAAGGAAACATTGGCACACGATGAAGAGTTTGGGGTTACTGAGAAGGAAACCAAATCCAAGTTAGACAAATACATAGACCTTATTCTGAGTAATACAACAAGTGTGGATGAATATATTTATCTTGTAAGAGAAGAAGAAGATGGCTAAGATGATCCTTACATGTTGGCAGTTGTGGATTATAAAACCATTAAAGGTGATGATAAGAAAACTGAAATTAAAGAATATTACACCATTTCAAGAAAAGGATTATGTCATTACATTAATGGCAAGCCCACCGAATTCATACCACTTAGAAACTGGCTCAGAGAAAGACAGACCTATCATCAAATTAAATCATTGAAATTCTTTACCAAATTCAGAAAATGGAAAACCCTTAAGATGTGGAAGAGCAATGTGATCAAACACAAAACCAAAACAATTTAGAATGCTCTTTTGGACAAATATTTCTTATTGAACCCCATCATGAGAGAAACTCTACTTACAGTTAGAAAAAATACCTATGAAATGATGGAGTCTTGTCGTTTCATCGGATTTGAAACATCTCATTAATTGACCATGAATGATAGCACATTTACTTTAGAATAGTTCAAATAATTATAGGATCAATATAGGAATAAAGTGAGTCTCAAAATTAGATCATATTCTCAAGCATGTAGAAAAGTTGTGTAAAGTGGATATGATAAATCATTGGATATTCTAAGAAAGTAGAACTATGTACCTTAAAATGATGAATAATTCGGTGGAAATGCTCCAAGAGATACCGGAACGAATGTGTTCAGAACAAGAGAAATTGCATATGAAACCCTATAATTCCCAGATAGCATGACATATGAGAAAAGATCATAGTTAAGGAAAGAATGTTCGAAATTCTTGCGCTTTTCATATCTAGTTGATTTTTTAGCAATGGAAAGTCTGAGCAACATTTATACACTCTCAGTGAGAGACTTGATATCCAAGTTAAAATCCTTAGAATCAATTGATGATTTCAATGTCACATTTGAAGCAAGCAACAAACCCCCAATCAGATTTGATGAACCTCTCTTTGTGATTAAGTTAGATTGCACCTTCGATTAAATACCTTCAGAAGATATGTAAACTGAAGACATCCCAGAATTCATACCTCAACCTTTTGGTAATAGCACTGTCGATGATTTTCATATACTATATCATGCTCATTTACAAGAAGAAAAGACAGAAGAGCAAAAGCAAGCAGAAAAACCATAAGGAGGTAAGAAGGGCAAGGTTGATGATGATAGTGAAGAAGATGAGACTGACGGAGGAACTTATGATGAAAATAAAATTTATAAAAGAATAGTGATTCCCAATATTTCTAAGCATTGGATTTTTAAAAAACCATAACTGAATACATTTCATGCTGATATTGTAAAGTGTATAGGAGAGGGATTGAATGCAATTTAAGCGTTTGAGAGATGGAGCAGACACAACGATATGACTTAATACGTTGCTGTGTTGGAAGAATGGGATGATATGGTTGGTGAAGAGTGGGGACATCCAGAATCTAACTATTTGAATCCTTCAGATTGGTTGGATTCAGCACCACTTGAAACATTTACAGGAGTTGTTAAGAATATTCTAGAAAAAGCATTCGAAAGAGCTGATAAATACATTGAGAAGTATTTTAACAAACATTTATTGACTTATTGGGAAGACAAATAGATTAATATAGATATTTTCAAAGATGAGAAATTGGCACATCCTGGAGACACATTTTAGTACACGATTGCAGTACTCAATATGCAGAAGGAATAATTTTAGAAGGACATTCCTATTGAAAGTATGCAAGGATTGTTTAAGATTGATTCTGTTGAATTAAAAAAGAAGTTGGAACCTCTACCAGCTGAATTATTGAAGTAATTTGATGCGTTTATATAACCAATGTTAAGAAATAGGTGCAAAGAATTAAAGGAATGGTTATAATCATCAACAGCTGCTTTGAAAGGAGCTACTACAAATATTGATGAATTTGTTAAGCAAAGTAATTCATTGAAATTGATTCAAAAATAATTAAATAAAATCAAATCTAAGATTTCACTTGTTGGTCACATATATAATATATCTTGATGAATATAAGATAGAGGTGAAGAAAGAAGACAAACAAGCATATGTAGTTGATATCATTTAAGCATAAAATCTATTGGAATAAGCTATTCATCATGCAGAAGAAGGAGCAGAATCTAAACTTGATAGATTTGCAAGAGATGTCCAACATATCCTTATTCCTCAATTGGAGAAGTAGATTGGTGCTTTAGATGGAATTATCTAAGATAAAAAATATATTGATGCTGGATTGAGTTTAGAGTAAGCCATTAAAGAGTTAGGAGAATGCGATGAATAATGTAAGAAACTAGAAGCAGATGCTAAGAAATACAGACATTATGAAAGCACTTTAGGATTACCTACTTCTTAATTCTAGAGTTTAGAGGATTTAAGGAATGATTTGAATCTCAGGTATTCAATGTGGAAGTCTACAAAGGAGTGGATTGAATTAACTTAATCATGGATTGATGGAAAATTTATAGATATCAACACAGATGAAATTAAGGCCAAAGGAGAATATTATACCAAGATTGTCAATAGATGTTCTAAGGGATTACCAGCAAATCAAGTTTTAGACGAATTGAAAGATAAGGTATTTTCATTCAAAGATACTATGCCTGTAGTATTGGCATTAAGAAATAAAAATTTAAAAGATTATCATTGGGTGCAAATCAAATAGGAGATTCTGAAATAAGACTTTGAGATCACTGAAACATTTACATTAAGAAATTTAATGGACATGAAGGTTGGAATCTATTAAGAACAGATATAAGAAGTTGCTACTTAGGCTACCTAGGAAGCTGTATTGGATGCCTAATTTAATGATATTGAGTAAAAGTGGAAGGCTCTTGAATTTACATGTGTTAACTATAAGCCTGAAAACCTAAGGAACAAAGGAAGTTTATGTGCTCACTGAAATAGACGAATTATAAGCTGCCTTAGATGATTTCTTGGCAAGTTTAAATAATATATTGGGTAGTAGATACTTGAAGATTGTTGAGAAAGAGAGCTGAAAAATTATAAAAGGATGTGTTGATTGCATAAGAAACTTTGGATGATTGGTTATAAGTTTAGAAAAATTGGATTTATTTGGAAAATATTTTTGCCAGTCAGGACATAAAAACCAAATTGAAGGGAAGAAAATGCTTTGTTTGAAAACGTTGATAAATAATTTAAGGCCATTATGAAAAAGACTAATTCATAGAAATAAGTTCATAGAGCAAGTGGATTACTTGATAAATTCAGAGAATATAAAGAAACATTAAATAGAATTCAAAAGGCATTAGAATCCTATTTAGAAGAAAAGAGAATGGCATTCCCAAGATTTTATTTCCTATCAAACGATGAACTTTTGGAGATTTTAGCTAAATCATAAGATTTTGATGCAATTCAAAGAAATTTAAAGAAATGTTTTGAAGCCATTTATAGACTTGAATAACCTGAAGAAGGTGCTAGATCAGTAAATGGAATGATTTCACCAGAAGGAGAGAAGATTCCATTTGTAAAGGGTGTTTCAACAAAAGAAGAAGTTGAATTGTGGTTGATGAAAGTTTTAAGATTAGATGATTGAATCCTTAAAGAAGAGAATGAAACAAGGAAAAGTAGAGAGTGAAACCTAAGAAAGAAATCACTGGTTACTAAATTAACCAGCTCAAGTAGTTGCCACAATTTCGAATCTAATCTGGACATATGATACTGAATAAGCTATTAATAGTATGACAGATGATTCTACTGCTTTATCAAAACACTATAATCTGTTATATGAGTCATTGAATGGATTGACTGCCTTAGTTAGAGGTACATTGACTCCACTTCAACACAAAGTCATAGTGGCATTGATTACTTAGGATGTTCATGCTAGAGATATTGTGGATGCTTTAACTGATGAAAATGTTAGTTCAATCAGTGAATTCTCATGGTAATAATAATTAAGATATTATATGGATGAAAATGATCTAATAATAGTGAGATAAGTTAATGCTAAATTAAATTATGGATACGAATATTTAGGAGCTACAACAAGATTGGTTATTACTAATTTGACAGACAGATGTTGGATGACAATTACTGGAGCATTGAATATTAAATTAGGAGCAGCTCCAGCTGGACCAGCAGGAACAGGAAAGACAGAATCAAGCGAAGGACTTGGCCAAAGCTTTGGGAATGTTTTGTGTTGTGTTCAATTGTTCAGATTAAAATTGAATATAAGATGATGGGACGATTATTCAGTGGTTTAGTTTAATAAGGAGCTTGGGCATGTTTGGATGAATTCAATCGTATTGATATTGAAGTGTTAAGTGTCATTGCTCAACAATTATTAACTGTAAGATAGGCATTAATCAGAAGAGATTAATAATTTATATTTGTGAATCCAGATAAACCAATCAATTTAAAGGAAGAAGTGGGAGTATTCATTACAATGAATCCAGGATATGCTGGTAGAACTGAATTACCAGACAATCTAAAGGTCTTATTTAGACCAGTATCTATGATGATTCCTGATTATAAATTAATTGCTGAAATCATGCTTTAAGCAGAAGGTTTTGAAGATGCCAAGTCTTTGTCATAAAAGATGACTCAATTATATCAGTTGAGTTCCCAACAGTTGAGTTAACAGGATCATTATGATTTTGGTATGAGAGCAGTCAAATCTGTGTTGGTCATGGCAGGAGCATTAAAAAGAGCAGATATCAATTAACCTGAGGATGCCGTTCTAATCAGAGCCATGAGAGACAGTAATGTACCAAAGTTCTTAAAAGATGATCTACCCTTATTTTCAGCTTTGATTAGCGACTTGTTCCCAACTGCCATTATTAAGGAAGTAGATTATGGAGACTTGCAAAAGTAAATAGAAATATCATTGGATAAAATGAAATTGTAAAGAGTGCCAAATTTGATTACCAAAACCATTTAGCTTTTTGAAACATTCAATGTAAGATTTGGTGTGATGTTGGTGGGTAATACAAACTCTGGAAAAACTTCATGTTATAAATGTTTAGAAATGACTATGAGTGACTTAAGGAGACTTAACCATTAGGATTAAAGATATTAATTAGTTACATTCTTATGTTCTAAATCGCTAAGTGTATTTCCATGGGAGAATTATATGGTGAAGTGAATGTATTTACTTAAGAATGGCAAGATGGTTTGGCATCTTAAATCATGAGAGAAGCTGCTGCTGATGAAACCAATGAGAAGAAATGGGTAGTGTTTGATGGACCCGTTGATGCCTTGTGGATTGAAAATATGAATACAGTGTTAGATGACAATATGATGCTTTGTTTGGCTAATGGTCAACGTATTAAATTAAGAACCTAGATGAGAATGTTATTTGAAGTGCAAGACTTAAGAGTAGCATCTCCAGCCACAGTCAGTAGATGTGGTATGGTTTATTTGACACAAGAAGATTTGGGATGGCTACCTTATGTATAATCTTGGGTTGAAACTGAATTCGGTCCCAAAGAGATTCAACTTAATGGAAATATACAAAACGTAGAAATTCTGTAAAAAAATGAAAGGACATATTTGTAATCCTTATTTGAAGAATATGTCAACGATGTCATCAACAAAATCAGAAAGACATTTAAGGAAACTATTGGAACTAATGACACTCAGTAAGTAGTTTCTTTATGTAATCTATTGGAAGCCTTTATCAGTGATAAATATGGATTCAAAGCTACAATGACTGCAGACTCAAGAAAACGTTTTATTTTGTATGCTTTCACATTTGGATGTATTTGGTCAGTTGGAGCTTCTATTGATGACAAACATCATGAAGACATGAGTGATTTCTTCCGTGATCGCTTTTAGAGTATCATATTCCCAAATGTTGACCAAGTGTACTCATATTACTTAGATACTTCTAATGAATTATCTTTCAAGCATTGGAATGATAAAATTGAAGAATTCACATATGATCCCACTGAACAGTTTTTTAATATGCTCGTACCAACAGTAGATACTGTTCGATATTCTTACATCATTGAACAGTTGTTATCTATTAATAAGAGAGTGTATTTGACTGGTCCCACAGGAACTGGCAAGAGTCAAGTCTTGGCTAAATTATTAGTTTAAATATAAGAACCCAGATCGATAGATCCAGTGTATATAATATTTTCAGCTCAAACTACATCCATGGTTACATAAATGACTATTGAGAATAAACTAGAGAAAACCAGAAAAGCATTGTTGACAGCTAAACCAGGTCGCTAGACTTGCATATTTATTGATGATGTGAATATGCCATAATTGGAAGAGTATGGAGCTTAACCACCTATTGAATTGCTTAGATTATTAGTAGATAAGGGATTCCTGTACGATAGAAAAGAGCGATTTTAGAAGTTTATAGAGAATGTTACATTACTATGTTGCAGTGCTCCTCCTGGGGGTGGTCGTAATCCACTTACACCCAGATTCACAAGGCATTTTAATATGCTCTCATTGCCTCAACCTGCATAATCTACTCTATTCAAAATCTTCTTTAGCATCCTCAATGGATTCTTTGGATAAGGATTTACTGATCCTGTTAAAAAAATGTCAGATACTATCACAAATGCAACTATCGAAGTTTACATTAGAATCATTAAGGAGAAACTACCTATCCCATCCAAATTTCATTATACTTTTAATTTAAGAGATGTCAGCAAAGTATTTTAAGGTGTATTGATGGTCAAGCCTGGATTAGTTAGAGAAGTGGATTAAGTAACACGTTTATGGGTTCATGAAGTCAGTAGAGTATTTTATGATAGATTGATTAATGATATTGATAGAGATTGGTTCAAAGAATTAGTTGGAGATCTTTTGGGCCGATAATTCAAATCTAGAATGACTAAAGATGATGTTTATGGAGCCAATAAAGTGCTTTATGGCGATATCCTAAAAATTGATTCAGATAATAAAGAATATGAAGAAATCAAAGATGTTGCAAAATTAGTTAAGATTTTAGAGGATAAATTAGATGATTATAATACTGAGTGCAATTCGAAGACAAGATTAGTATTCTTTGGAGATGCAATCGATCACATTTTGAGAATCTCTAGAATCCTCAGGTAACCAAGAGGAAATGCAATGTTGATTTGGTGTTGGAGGGTCAGGAAAACAATCGTTAACTAGACTGTCAGCCTTTATGTAGAATCAATAAATCTAGTCATTAGAAATAACGAAGAACTTTTCAGTTGATAACTTTTAGGATTTCTTAAAGAAAATATTCCAAATATCTGGGTTATAGGAAAAGCCCTTATGTTTCTTATTTACTGATTCTTAGATTGTGTATGAAAGTTTCCTTGAAGATATTAACAATATTTTGAATTCAGGAGAAGTGCCAAATATTTGGAAACCTGAAGAAAAGTAACCATTGCTTGAAGAAGTCAAGAAAATCAATGCAAGATTGAAGAGACCTGAAGATCCTGATACTCTTTACAAAACCTTTGTGGAAAGTGTTCGAAATCAATTGCATATTGTGTTGTGCATGTCTCCTGTTGGTGATGCACTTAGAGTTAGATGTCGTAAATTCCCTGCCATGGTGGATTGTTGTACTCTAGATTGGTTTTCAAGTTGGCCAGCAGAAGCTTTGGTTTCAGTGGCTACTAAAATTTTGGAATAAGAGACCGATTTCCCTTAAACCGATATTCCATAGAAACAATTGATTGATAGTTTGGCTTAGATGTGTATGGAAATTCATATATCAGCTAAAGATTGTGCAGATAAATTTGAAGCTGCACTTAAACGAAAGGTTTACACTACTCCTAAAAGTTATTTAGATCTGATCGGATTGTATTTAAGTAGTCTGAAAAGAAAAAGAGAAGAATTGCAATTAAAATAAAAGAGACTGTCAGGTGGTTTAGTTAAGTTAAAGATGGCTAATGAACAAGTTGCAGGTTTACAAGTGACTCTGACTGATCTCAAACCTTAATTGGAGGAGTCTTCAATAAAGGTGTAGGAGGCTCTTGAAAAAGTCAATTAAGATTCCTATCTTGCAAGTCAATAGGAGTAATTGGTTAAAGCTGAAACTGAAGAAGTGAATAAGAAGGCTTAAGATGTAAAGATAATAGCTGATGATGCTCAAGCTGATTTAGATGTTGTCATGCCTGAATTAGAAAAGGCTTTGAAGGCAGTTGAACAGATGGATGAGAATGAAATTAAAATCGTTAGAACTTATAACAATCCTCCTTAAGCAGTCGTCATGGTTCTTGAGGCTGTCTTAACCTTATTAGGTTTAAATACAAGTTGGGACTCTGCCAAAAAGGCTATGATTGATGTCGGTTCATTTGTAAGTTCATTGAAGAACTATCCAAGAGATAATATTCCAGATAAGATACTCAATAATTTGAAAAAAATCATTTCGAGGGAAGACTTCGTACCTGATCTAATCAGAACTAAAGCTAAACCAGCTGCAGATATGGCAACTTGGTGTTTGGCTATGAATACATACTCTATTGTAAGCAAGAAAGTAGAACCAAAGAAGAGGAAAGTGGCTGAAATGATGGCAGTTTTTGGATTCAGCAAATAAGGAATTGGCAGTTAAGGAGGCTGAACTTTAGAAGGTCAAAATGGCTGTTAAGAAATTATAATAAGATACTGCAGAAATGGCACAAAAGAAATAGGATCTGGAGAACTTGAAAGAATTAACTGAGGCTAGATTAGATAGAGCTTAGAAATTAATTAGTCTTACAGCATCTGAAGCTGAGAGATGGGCACGTACTGTGGAGGAATTAGGAGTGGCCATCATCAATTTAATTGGTGATGTCTTTTTGGCTGCAGCTTCCATTTCATACAATGGACCTTTTACTGGGCCATACAGAAATGAATTGATTACTCGTTGGACTGAAAAGGTGAGAGAGGCATAAATTCCTGTATCTGAGAAATTCACACTGGTTGGTACTTTAGGAGACCCATTATAATTGAGAGATTGGAACAATTCACAAATTGCCAAGTGATTCTGTATCTTAAGAGAATTCTATTCTTGCCACTCAAGGTTACAGATGGCCTTTGATGATTGATCCACAATAATAAGCAAATAATTGGATAAAGAGTTCATTTTAAGATCTTAAATTGAAAGTAGTTAAATTCTCGGATCCAAAATTTTAATCTGACATGAGATTATGTATTACAAATGGATACCCTATTTTAATTTAAGATATTGAGGAGAATTTGGATCCTTCAATTGAAACTATATTGTAGAAATAATACAAAGAAGCTGATGGTCGTATTCTGATTAAGTTTGGTGAAGCAGATATAGATTTTGATAAGAATTTCAAGATGTTTATAACAACAAAGATTCCAAATCCAAAATATTTACCTGAAGTATTCATTAAAGTTACAGTGATTAATTTCACAGTTACGTTTGAAGGTTTAGAAGAGTAATTATTGGCAGATGTTGTGAGATTAGAAAAGGAGGAGATTGAAATTCAAAAGGATGAGAATGTCATGAAATTAGCTTAATATCGAAAGATGTTGAGTGAATCTGAATCAATGATCTTAAAACAATTGGCTGAAGCAGATCCAGAGAAGATCTTAGATAATGTAGATTTGATTACCTCATTGCAATCTGCCAAGACCACAAGTGAAGAAAGCAATATCAAAATTGAAGAATCAGTCATATTAGAGAAAACTATAGAGAGAGTGCGTAATGAATATAGATCAGTAGCAGTAAGAGGTTCAGTATTGTATTTCGTAATCAAAGATCTAAATCTTATTGATCCTATGTATCAATACTCGTTATAATACGTTTAAGTGATGTTCAATTTAGCTATGAGATAAGCATAGTCAGCTGAAGAATTATAATAAAGGTTAACTAATTTGATTGATAGCATAACAAGAGTAATCTTCACTAACGTATGCAGAGGATTGTTTGAGTAGCATAAGCTAATTTATTCATTTTTGATTGCAGCATAAATTAACAGAAAGGCCAATAAAATATCAGATGGTCTTTGGAGCTCATTTTTGAGAGGAGCAGGAGTAATTGAAAAGTCAAAATTGCCAGTTAATCCAGACAAAGTATTAATTGGAGAATCATCTTGGGAATTAGCTGCATTTTTAGACCTTAATTTCGAAGTCTTTAAAGGTTTATGCTAACACATATAGAAGAATATGGCTGCATGGAAAACATACATATAAGCATCAGATCCTTTGGTTGTGAAATTAGAAGAACCTTATCAAAGCAAATTGGATGAATTTGAAAAAATGATGATTATTAAGATTTTTAGAAGCGAAAAAATATTGTTTGCACTCTCAAGTTATGTTGAATAAAACATTGGTAGATTTTATTTGGAATCTCCAAACACAACAATGGAAACATTATATAATGACTCTGATGATTACAACTCCTATTATATTTGTACTATCATAAGGAGCAGACCCAACATCTCAGATATTAAAATTCGCAAAGGAAAGAAACTTTGAAGAAAACTTAGCTATTATCTCATTGGGTCAAGGTTAAGGAAAGATTGCTACTAAACAAATTAATGATGCCACTACAACAGGAGGTTGGGTGTTATTATAAAATTGTCATTTGGCAAGGACATTTATGCCAGATTTAGAAAAATTGGTGGATGATATTACAGCCAAGAAATAAACAGTAAATCCTAGTTATAGGTTGTTCTTAACTTCAATGCCTGCTTCCTATTTCCCTGTAAGTATACTTCAAAATGGAATTAAATTAACAACAGAACCACCTAGAGGTTTGAAGGCAAATCTGAAGAGATCCCTTTAAGATATTTCCAATGAATTCTTGGATTCTGCTGCTAAACCAGAGATCTATCATAAATTAGTTATGGGATTGTGCTATTTCCATGCCATTATTTAAGAACGAAAGAAATTCGGGCCTTTGGGATGGAATATCAAATATGAATTTAATGATAGTGATCTTGATACTTCAAAGACAGTCATTAAGATGCTTTTAGGTGAAAATGACACTGTACCTTGGGATGCCATGTTGTATGTCAGTGGTAATATCAACTATGGAGGTAGAGTAACTGATGATTGGGATAGAAGATGTTTGATGACCATTTTGAGGAAATTCATATGTAATGAAGTCTTGGATGATCACTATGTCTTTTGCGAAAATAATACATACAGAATACCTGAGAAAAACGTAATTGAAGAGTATATTAAATATGTTGAATCTTTACCCATGACTGATGATCCTGCAGTTTTTGGTATGCATGAAAATGCCAATATTACATTCTAATAAAGAGAAAGTGACTCAATACTAGAAACTATCTTGTCTATATAGCCAAGAGAAGGCGGAGGATCATCAGAAAAAACACCTGATTAAATAGTATTAGAACTTGTCAAGAGTATTTAAGATGATCTCCCTCCTCTCTTAAACAAAGAAGAATCTAATAAAGAATTATGGCAAATTAATCCAGAGAAAAATCTTATTCCATCCTTGTCTACAGTTCTATTGTAAGAATTAGAACGTTTTAACATTTTACTCTCAACTATGGGTAGAACATTGTAAGGATTGGCTTAAGCTATTGAAGGTATCAAGTGGTAATGAGTCAAGAATTGGATAGTATGTATTATTCACTAATGAACAATGAAGTTCCAAAGGTATGGAATAAAGTTGGATATTTGTCATTAAAAGATGTGGCATCATGGATTAGAGACTTAAAAGAAAGAGTTAAGTTCATGTCAGAATGGCTTGTTACAGGAGGACCTAATTGTTTCTGGATATCAGGGTTCTTTTATCCATAAGGATTTTTAACTGGTGTTCTCTAAACACATGCTCGTAAGACAACCATAGCTATTGACAACCTTGTTTTCTCATTTAAAGTATAAGAATTTGAGAAGGAATAATGTTCAATCAAACCAGTTGATGGTGTATTTATATATGGTCTATTCTTGGAAGGAGCTCAATGGAAGAAGAAATGTCTGGCTGATCTTAACTTTGTAAAATATTATTATTTATATTTAGGGTCAAATGAATATGTTGATGCCAGTTATCCACTTCTTACCTTTACAATAGGACAAATATTAATCGAGATCTGATAATTATAGGTATTAATTGTGATTAAATAATTAGTTGTCCTGTTTACAAAACATAAACTAGAGCTGGTGTGTTATCCACTACAGGACAAAGTACAAATTACGTTTTGGCTGTGGTAATTAATTATAATTATATATAATTTTAGGATTTACCAACTTTAGATTAACCTCCTGATTATTGGACATTAAGAGGAACAGCACTTATTTGTGCACTTAAAGAATGATTTATAAGTGAATAAGATAACTTTAAATTTATTTATTATTAATAACTCGAAATAAGTAAAATATAAAGATGAAATCAAAGAGGTAAGATAACCTTACTTTCCTACTTCTTTAATGATTTTTCTTTGGGCTTTTTGTCTTAAACTACAACTTTTTTTCCTTGCTTCCACTACCCCTTCTCATGGGAATTGTTGGGATATATTATGATTCCCTATCCATGCATTAATCCCTTTTTCCACATTCCCTTATATATCTTTCCATCTGGATAATAGTATTCCCCATATCCATCCCTTACATTATTCACATAATTCCCAATGTATTTCTTGCCTCCTGGCCATATAAATATGCCATGCCCATGCATCATTCCATTACACCACTTTCCTTCAAACTTTCTACCATCCTGCCAAATCACTCTACCCTCATCAATGGGCTTTCCATTTACCCATTCTCCTTCAAATACAAACTATTCCTTATTGTTGAATAGCTTTCCCTGTCCATTTCTTTAATTTTTATAAAATTGACCGATAAAAACCGATCCATCAGGCATCTATTCTTTTCCGATACCGTTTTTTTGTCCATTTTCCCATTCGCCTTCATACATAACTTATTCATTATTACGATAAAATCCATCACCACTAAATTATCCATTTTTGAACTCTCCAATGTAGATATTCCCATCTTTACTAATCATCCTTCCATCGCCGTGATAAGCATCATTCAACCAATACCCTTCATAAATAAAATCGTCACAAATCAAAAATCCAAAGCCATTTCTTTTTTATTAAAACCATTCTCCATAATAAATCAAGTTCTCTTATAGTTCGAATGGTGTAAAGTTGAAATTGGTCACTTTATAGGGTCCCAACTTCTTCCATAATCCAGCAATAATTCGATTTTAAATCATTATTTTAGTACCTGTGTAAGGCTTGGCCTAAGTACTCGATGGGTGATGGCTAGAGGTTTGACACTCCAGATCATCTAAGACAGCCACGATTATAGGATCATGCTCTTATATCTGTATGAATCTATCATTTCTCAATTTGTTTCTGCATCCATTCACATCCATTGCATGATCATCATGAATTTCTAAGTTTACATCTAAAGTTGACCCCACTCCATGTTCTTTTACTTAGGTTTGAACATTATTATGTAGAACTGTTGACTGATCTTATTGAGCAAAAATTTAATTTTCAAAGTCTCCCTTGTAGAAGGTTATTTAGAGCTATTGAAGTTGCTCCTCTTTTACTTTGGGAACTTCATTTCTTATTTATTATTTATTAATTTATGATTTAATTTAGGCATTCTAAACTTTAGAGCTAGATTTCTCAAGCTATTGAACTAGATCCTAGGACTAATCTTTTTTTTGATTTATTTATGGAACATCATTTTATTCCTTAGTGATTTTGTAAGAGTTGCTTTTTTCCTTTGAATTATTAGTTCCCATTTGTGTAGTTGTAAATTTAATATAAAAATATTACTAATTAATACAACTTAATTATTGTTGTAATTGTCTTCAGTTTTTTTATTTTCCCACTATCTTACCCAACTTATCTAAGGATCCAAATTATGAATTTTTATTTCTTATCGCTGCAATCAAACATAGGGGCAAAATTAGTCCCTCATTATTGATTCGAATGACTTCCTCTATTTCATAATTTATCTAAGATCAATTTCAAATTGGATTAATCTGGGATTAAAAAAAAGGAATTTAGGGTTGAAAACTGAGTTAGCTTCTTAAAAAGTGTTAATTATAATTGAGAATTTTTAATTAAACTCACTGAAGATATTATGATTTGGTTAGTTTTTATTTCGATTAATATAACTATTATAATTTCGATAAAATACATCATTTGCCAAATATGGGATCTCTAAATAAGATGCAAATCTCGATAACTTAAGTTGATCAATCAACTACTTTAAAATTAGATGAATGGGAATTAATCGAAACTGATTTGAACGAAGAAGCTTTGAAAAGGGAGGAAAACTCTGGTATATCCTTGATAGGTTAATACAAATTTGTCATAGGCATTTCTAAGCCTTTGGAAATAAGAATTGGTCGAAATTCAATATAAAAAAGTAAAATCACTATAAAAGGTCTTTTGGGAATATAGGCTATGTTCATTAGGTCTCAATGATTTTTATTTATATTGTTATTGAAATTTATGCTATTATTACTCTATGTATGAAAACACTTAGCCCCAAAAATAAAGAAAAATAAATTGTCAAAAGAGGATGGTAATATTTAAGACGGGCTTCCACTAATACTTATGAATTGTAACAAGTTTAAAGAAGGATTAATGAATTCATAAAAGGTGCGCTGAAAGACTTTGAAAATATTGAGACTTTTCTTCAAAAGCAATATAAGAATTTGTTAATAAGTAAATTAATAAGGTCTTTTAAATTTTGAGATTCATGTCGTATCGTTCTAGTAGTCTTAAGAAGCCTTTCTATTTTGAAAATACAATTAAAAAAAGAACTTTTAAACTAAAAGAATATTCTTATATTAATAAAAAGGCATTAATTATAATACATTTAGGATTTGAATATTTTTTGTATTATTTTTAGCAATTCAAAATTAACAAAAGAGAGATGATTAAAATAAATAATGATTAACCAATAAATAATTTTATGATATTAATAACTATTCGTGAGACCAAAAACATTGTTAAATATTCTTCAATCTAAAAATGATTTATATTATTCATTTTATAGAATGATCCTAAGGATATATTAGAATGATTTTATGTCTTAAAGTCAGTTTTTAAAAACAATATGATTTTATGAATATATAAATGTATTCAAAATATTATAATTTATATTTCATGGTTTGACCATATTTTCTTCCCTCCAGTAAGAAAATATACAGAAAATTTAATATTATAATACCTGAACATCCAAAGCCAACAAAGCACATATAAATTAGTATCTAATTGGTTATGATAATATCCCATCCACCAAAAAGCCAGAAGATAAATGCTAGGGACATCATTGAAAAAATATTTAAATGCTTTCTGAATAAAGGAGTATTTTAATAATAGATAAATTATACGTTGACTTTTCAACCACAACATTTAGTATTTCAGGCTAGGCATCACAATCCAAATATGACATACCAAAACTCTCTTATTTATTTGTTATAACAAAGAATTTCTTTTTTTTTTTCTTCATTTAGAAGTATTTTATTGATAAGTTCTATCCTTTAATATCCTGGTCTTCAGAGAATAAATAAATTAGATGAGCCCGCATAGGCAGAATATACCGAAATATTCATGTTCAATATTAAATTCTTATAATTTTATAAACACTGAAACAACTAGGAAGAGTTTGACATTTAATTCAAAGATAAACTAAATACTCCATCTAATACTTAGAAATGAGCTTCCAGCAAAAACTTAAATGCATGAATCCATTCACTTTAGAGAGCAAATTGAGACCTGAAATAACTAAGTATCGAATTTGAAGGTTATCAAAATTTTGTATTGACAGGTAGAAAAACGCTAACATTAAAGGTAAAATTGAAGAAGAATGCATGAATCATTCCATAGAATGTCATCATAAATTCTATGGTAACATCTTTCTTATTTTACCTATAGTTATAATAATTGCAATAGCAGACATCTAAATTGGTTAGAACAAAGAATGTTATCTTAAATAATCTCATCCATTTTCAAAGGAACTGTCCAAAAAAGGAAATTCATCAAGCCATTCGTTATTCAGAAAATTGATTAGTATAACTTTCGAAAGTTGAACGAGCAAAAATACGCCCTTTAAGTATTATAAAATGAGACCCTTAAAATTTCAGCATGGTACAAATCTATGTCATAAATAAACAATTTAAGCGAGAAAAGTAAGGCAGTGAAAAGACAGAATAATAAAATAGTAGCAAATACGTAGGAGTGAAGTATTTCTAAATAAATTTATCTATCTTTGTAATCATTGTATATTCTGTATTTTCTCGGCCTATCTCCTACAAGAACACCCTTTGATCCTAGTTAGAAACCCTTCTTTAACTTCAGTGACAACTTGGATATGCTATTTTCCGATTCTAATGATTTAAGTTGATTTTCTTTTCTTGATTATTGTTTTATTCGTAATTATTCAGTTATTCTTGATTTTATTCATTTCCAGTAATTTGATAAAGATTATCCTACTTAAATTATTTGCTTGGCTACTTATTATTCTTAGTCATTTTGTTGAAATTGAATTTCTTGATTATTATCATCTATCATTGTTAACTGATTAAATATTAAATTATATAAATGTGTACACAATAAGAAGATATAAAATATAAATTTATTCATTAAATCCTTTTTCAAAATGACTATCTTGTCATACGAAATCCTCCTAACTTTGGCTGTCTTCATCCTTTACTTCCTATATTATAGGAAATTCAAATTCTTTACAATCGTCGAGAAATTAGAACAACACAATATAAGAAACAAATTGCCCAGGGGAAAATGCCCTCCCTCGTATCCAAATGGTTGGTATCGTCTATGTAGATCTGGAGAGTTGAAATCAGGGTATTTTATCAAGTAATTATTAGAGAAGTGAAAGAAATAAAATTATGTGGAAGACACATTGCATACTACAGAGGAACAGATAAAACTGTTTATGCAGTAGCTGCTTATTGTCCACACATGGGTGCTAATTTAGGCATCGGAGGTTAAGTAAAATTCAGATCCTGCATTGAGTAATTAATTTAGATCATAATTAGATGTCCATTCCATGGATGGGCCTTTGATGGTAAAAGTGGACTTTGTGTAAATTCGGATAAATTGGATCCTAAAGTAGTTTCAACTTATTGTTATCCTGATATTGAGAGAGTGACCAAAAACTAGAAGGGAGAGTACCTATAGAAAATATCTGAGGGAGAAGTTAAAATTAAAACTTATCTTGTCAAAGAACTCAAAGGAATTGTATATATTTGGCTACATTCCCAAGAATCAAAACCGTACATATATATTTGTTATTAATTTAGATGGTACGACCTAGTGAGTGAATAAAGTGATCACCTTAGTTTGAGAGCTGAGAGTGTAAATTATGTGAATTGTCACATTCAAGAAATACCAGAAAATGGTGCTGATATGAAACATTTTGATTATGTTCATTATTCTGCAATGGATATCATTCCCTCTTGGTTGGTATAACTAAGATGGGAGATGAGAACTAAAAATGCCAAAGATCCAGATTTCTTAGAGAAAATGACTCATCCAGTCGAAAAGTGTAGAACTTATTAGAAATCTATATTTGATCAATATCTTGCCAACAAAGAACTCATTCCATATTTGAATGTTTTGTTGTTAGATGGATATGTCATTTTGTTTAATAAGTATAAATTCCATGCAGTTTGGGCAACTGGATTCTAAATGGGTCCAGCAACCGTCGCATTATATGTTAAAAGTGCCATCTTTGAGGTACTATTTAAGTAGGCAATTCAACCTGTGGAAAAATTTACATAAAAAGTCTATCACACTGTATTTACAAATAATTACTTACCTTATTGGATATCAGCTTATCTTCTTCATGCTGAATTAAGATAAGTGATCTTTGATGTCAAATTGTGGAATGCTAAGATATTTTCAGAAACCCTAAGGTATAATATGAAAAACCATGCTGATCAAGCATTATTAAATTGGAGATAATGGTATTCCCAATTTTACGAAGGTTCTGCTGAATTTGAAAAGGGCTTAGATGTATTGGAATGGTGATTTGGTTTTTATAAACATAATAATATTATAAATTTAATTCAACATTTATTTTATTTCAAATATGAAATAATACATTGTATAATTAAATTCGTATTCAATGTCTGTTTAATTCTAAATTGCTTATGATTATTATGATAAGAAAGATAAGACCTCCTCCTATATTTTGTTCTTGTTACTCACAAACCTCCTAATACTTTGATACTATTTTTTAAATTTCTTCCAAAATTTATTCTTACAGTCTAACTCACTTTTTTCAAAATAAGGTATTTGCAACTGAATGAAGACATCCAGATTAAATAAATTGATTTTTATTATTCAATCAAAATAATAGAAATTAATATTAAACTTATATTAAGAATTTCGGAATTTCATGAGAACATTTTTAAATTCTTTTTAATTCAATTTTTATTTATTTAATGTACAAATTATTATTCGCAACTGCGGTATTGCTATTCTTCCTAGTATTGGACAATCATTTTGGAAGCTTAACTTACAATATAAGTAATGAAATTACTAAGTTTCTTCAAATATAATTTGAGTATGGAAAAGAAACTGGATATTTCGGTAAAGTCTTAAAAATATTTTAGAATACATACTCCTGGTATTTTCAACCGCAGGAGATGCAGAATGCACAAATATTTTGACTCTTTTGATTTGGATCAAAGCTTAAAACAAAATATAGATATTCAAGCTTATAACCATGAATGCAATAGCTGCGGCTTTTGGGAACTTAATCAAGATGATTATGACTCAACCAAGGCCATTTTACTTGGACCCAGAAATCAAACTAGACTTTTGCTATACAGGGTTTGGAGATCCGAGTGGACATTCTCTCAGGTCATTTGTCTTCTATACAATACTGATTGAAACAATTGTATTGAAAAAATACAACATTTAAGAGAACTGCTCACTAATTTAATCAGACAAACAAGCATTGGATGAAAAAGAAATCTCAAAGTATTTTCTTATATTAATTCTTAGTTCTGAATTATATAAATAGATTTATTCAAATCAATATATATCCTATTCTAAGTACAAGTTTTTCATAGCAATTTTTGCGTTCCTAATTGGCATTGGTAGACTGTATTTTGGAGTTCACTTCTTGAATCAAATCATAATAGGTTGGGTAATCGGAGGATATATAATCTATGTATATTACTATTGTGGCTTGGAGAAAATGATAGAATAAGCATTCAGAAACTCTTTATTCTTGAATTCATACAGATACATGAAAATGCTATTAGTCTCTTTTTTGATTTTTACCTTTGCTTATTTCTTATATTTTGAAAGACATTATGAATAATCCTTGATTGAGTTAAAATAATAATGGAAACAAAATATATTAAAGTAACCACAATGTACAGATGGAGGAGGGTACAATCCGAAAAATAAATTTGAGACTCATGACATCTCCGGAATCTCAATATTGTTCTTCCCATGTTACTTGCTGGCCTTCTATTCTAAATAATAAACATTACTAAAAGTTGAATCGGATTAAATCTTAAATCAAATTGGCTCAAATATTTAGTACCTGCTTACATATATAATCGTTTATTGGATTTAAATTTATGAAGAATAAACAACAAGCAAAATTGCTGGAAATTCAGAAACTAAGAAATTGTTATGCAAGATATTTTTCACTCAATTTCATTATTTAGAAATATCCATCTTGTTTGTAATGATAATCCCTCTGAGTCTAAGATTAGTGACATCCTTCCTTAAAAGATAATAATTTAGTAAAATTAGTTAAATTGACTAATCTGAAATGGAGATGGTGTGATTTGTTTTTGAATATATTTAAATTTACTCTAAACTTAACTTAAATTAAAATATATATCTAAATAAAATCATAACTCAATTTTTTGCAGATTCTAAAATGTTTATCATTTAATTCTTTTTCTCTTCAAAATTAAACTAATTTATTAATAATTCATTACTGTTGTTGACTTCTCAATGTTAATAAAAGTTAATAAGAAATAGGCTTTCAATAATGTCAATTGCACCTTTCCAGTTCTATCTCTATTCAATTCATTTATCTTTTTATATATTAAATCAACAAAAATTGTAAATGTAGTCTCAGCTTCCTGATTAAATTTCAATAATGTTAACAATCTATTCAGACAACTTAGCATATGTTTTACAATTAAACCATTTTCCTTTTAAAATACAATATATTCTTACAATTGAATCGGCAATATTGAGTTTCAGAATAGCTCCTGCCTATTCTCCTAATTTAACATACAATTACTGTACTAGTTCTAATACAGTCAAACTAAATTAAGAATCCTTATTAAATAAAGCATCATTTGATTTCACATTTTCAAAATGATATGGCAATCTTTCTTGCACTTATGCACATAAGTATTATATGCAATTCACATATATTACTATTGAATAAATCCCTCCATTCTTTGGATTCCATTTCAACTATTCAATTGCTTTTAATAAGCCTTGGAAAATGTTCAAGTAACCCGCTGAAGGGTCATCAGGGACTATTATAATAAATGAAATCAAATCCAAGATATATGGCGTAACGACTTCATCGATCGGTCGTCCATTATGAGTTTCAGGCAATTCAAGCAGTGTTTCAATTGTAGTTTTAACTACTGCTTCACTTTGAGATAATAAATTCAATGATAACCCCACTTAGGCTACTTAGATATATTTTCTCAACTTTGATACTGGATTATCAATTGTAGGAATAGTAATAAAACTATAAGCAATACATGCTTAAAAAAAGGAAATTATTTTTTTTTGAGTTTTTCCTTTGGATAATCGTTTCCCTTTAAAAATCAAATCTAAAGCTCTATCTATCAAAATTTCTGATAACCCACTTATGTTTCCAAATTAGCCTCTCATTTCAGCATATAGATTCAATGTCTATTCTAAATCTTTACCAAAATCAATCTTTTGCAATAATTAATTGATTATTTTTGCCAAACTTTTTTATTCATCCTTGGTAATTGATTTCTTATTATTCAAATTTGCTGTCAATTTTACTATTGAATGCACAGCCATAGGGTCAGTGATTTTTTCTTTCTAATCTCTATTTATTATCATTGAAAGCAAATCATTACAAACTAGTTTCTTCATGTCTTCAGGGAAGAATTAAATACAAGTAATAAATGTGTCAATTTAAAGTATTTCTGAAATATCTTAAGAATCTTAAAATATCTTAATAATAAATTAATGCAATTTGATAAAAGTATCCCTGCTTTAATTGGTATTCACTTGATCCTTTTCAACCATACTAAATAAATCATTGAATCTTTGTAATATCAAGAAAAAGAATTAATTTTTCTAATAACCCTAAAAGGATCTAAAAATTAATTCAATTAATGATGCCAAAATCTCTAAAAAGAGTGAAAATGACTTTATTTATAAAATGTCCTATAGAACATACTCACATATCTCAGCACCAGCAGCTACATTAGTTAATCCCTTTGCTATTTTAGGTAAAAAGCATGCATATAATTAATATTTATTATCCACAGGATAAGCTTGCATTATTGAAAATAACTCTAACGCTAGCGTACTAATATGAACAGCCTAAAATTATTCAATCATTTTTTTCAAAACAAAATGGTTTTATGTACTCTATCTGAAATGTTCAAAAATATCCTTGAATTCTCTCTAATTTGAATTTAATTAAATAATTACTTCTGTACAATTTTATGAATATTGTCTGAATGTCTATATTAAATATGGTTCAAATAGTCTTAGATATTAGTCTCCTTAGACGTCGAATTTACTAAACTTATTTTTTTGATTCATATAGATAAAGAAGTCTTTTAATGTGGAAATGAGATAATCCTTTTCCCCTGAGAACAATTCTGCTCCTATTCTAAATAGATAAAGTGCAAAGTACAAAGCCTAATTGAATACAACAACATTATACATTAATATAATCACCAATTGCCCTGACTTATTTAATAAGTCTTTGGAATATGGGTTTAATTTAACTTTAATCAATAAAATAATAAACCTTCAACAGAGTGGCTTCCACATACAAACGAGGCAATAATTCTCTAATAGATCCTATTTTATTTATCCAATTTCTTCCAATTTCTGAAGCTGTTTCAGAGATGTTTGATCCTACCACACTTTACAAACTGATTTCAGCTATCTTCTGATCTGTATACTGTGGATAACTTAATTTTAGCAATCTCTCAATTACGAATTTACCAAAGGTTTCCAAAATGTCTATAATGTAAACATATTTGACAGGCGCAAAGAGAGGCTTATCATTATCAATTAGCAATTTGCAAGATTAGATTGCTAATTGCAATGATGCCACTTTGTCTCCATTAATCCATTGTCTCTTTAAATCTCTTCTGATATCCAAGACTTTTTGAATGTAGGTCTTTTATAGAATCATTTTTTAAGTCCCTTACTTTGGAGCCTGTGTCTAATATTCAATTTTGCTGTCACCACTATATGCTGATTTAGCTTATCCATCAAATTAATTCATAGTTTGAACATTGGCTCCAAAAGGCTAACATATAATATTTTAGTACATTCGGCACTGGTTGCTCTAAATCATAGGTTTTAATTTGGAATATATTTTAAAAGTCTTCTCTTATTTCTGACCAATAAATTGAGAATTCTCCTGTTGCTTTTAATTATTTCTCCTCTGCATCAATCTCAAGTTTGCCTTCCTATTGTTATTATTATTATTATGGTTTATTTGGTTCAACACTTTTAGCCTATGTTTGAGGTTATGACTATTCTATTTTTTGAGTTGGTTATGCTGAAGGTCTAGCCAATGGATCTACAGTTTGTGGTCTGCTTAATGGATTTGTTTAAGCCTTTTAAGTAGCTGCTCTTGATAAAGGATCAACGAAATTTCCTTTTGTTCTTATCTGCACATTCGCTTTTCTTCCTCTCTATATTGTGACTTTTGGTCTGTCTAATCTCAATGGATTGTCTGTTGTTTGCTATAATTAAATGACTCTGGTTTTATAAATAAATTCGTAATCCTTCTCCTTAAAAACTCTAGTGGAGTTCTAATAAATAAATACATTTGTGACGCCATTCTGTAAGAATTATTATTGAATTAAATATAATAAATATTTCACAATTACTTATAACTCTCAATCTAAAATGTTAAATCTTGGACAGCATTGGCAGCCACTTTCAATAGCTTTAAGTATTTATCTGAGTAATTCCTGATGGATTTATTCGAATTAAAAATCAACAAAGTGAAACAAATTTTCGATATTTAGGTAAAAAAATTGATCTTTTGTCTATAGAATTAAGATATAGAATAAACCTCTTAATCCTCTCAATTTAATTCGGTTCTTCCTTCACCTCCTCAACCAAGCCATCATACGTTGCCTCTATTATATTGGCCTCTATAAAGTCTGATTAGTTGAAGACTTGATTATTTTTGAGACTATGCATTAGATAGTGCTTCTTATTTTAAACAGAAATGTGGAGTAATGAACTTAATGTTATCAACTTTCTGAGAGGTGTTGCATCCGATATTTCAGAGCACTTGATATAAGGTAACAATAATTACAAAATCAATTAATGTCTAACTCCATTTAAGGATGGATTCATAAGCTTTAGCATTAGGCACTCTATAATTATTCTTATCGGCATATATCTCTAATGCGATTAACCAAAGCAATTTATTCTAAGTATTTGATTTCAATAATTCAATTATGGTTTAATCATGTTAAAATTAACCATCATTCAAAATAGAATTAACATGGATTAGGAAACACTTGAAAAGTCCTTAAATACTCTCTCCATTTAGTAGTGAGTCAAGGTCTTGCTTTTCAATGCTTTATTGGTTCTACTGTTAAGAAAATGAATACATTCTTTTCAATAACATCTGAAAAAATGTTGTAAAATGTCTCAGAATAAGCTTTAATTAAATCTTTTAGTTTGTGATACTCTTGAGATTTTATGGATTCAATTTCATTTATTAAAAAGGAAGAATAATCCTTAAATTCCAACTAATTTGGGTGATAATCTGGTCGGTAATATTTCATGATAAAGCTTTCAATCACATCCTGAATATTTGTATTCTTAATCTATTCATTAAATTTCTCAATTTCTTAAAATTGTTATTTTTGCATCTAAACCTCCATTAAGAATACTTTTAATAAAGTATCTTTTTGAATTAATAATTTTGTCTACTCAAATTCTTCCATCTAAAACAAATAACTTTCCATCTTTGTTTTATAGACATCCAAGAATTCATTGTATGCAATAGTTTATAATTAATATTATTTCTTTAATTTAGAACATTCAATTGATACATATTAAGTTCTAAATTATACTACAAAATACTTGCAAATTTATTTGATAGTCTGATCTTCTGGTACATCAAAACTATATTGATAAACCATATCTAAAATTGCAGATTACTCATAGTCTTTCATTTTTAATTTGTAATCCATTCTTGCAGCCATAACCTAACCATTTCTATCCATTAAGACCTCTTCCAATTATTTAATATCTTCTATTATTTTAATGGAAATCTAATTCTGCTAATTCAGTGTCTCCCTAACTTAGCTAGCAATTTCTGCTCTAATTAACTCAACGAAATTCTCAATCCATATAATTTTATTCTTCAATTAATTGATTAACTACTCTCTCATAAAAATCAAACTAAATACATTTAGAATTTCATTACTTTGACTTCTCAATTTATTATTCTAATTTGCTTAGAGCTTTGGCGTAATTTTCTTCAACAGTAGCTCTCTCCAACATTATTGCCAAATATTCCTCCAATCCCTTTTTACTATCTACGTTTTAATTCATTATTTTATCTGATTATCCCTAATGAGATATCAAAATTTAGGAATACAAGTAGATGTGGATAATAAGCAAGTTTCTCCCTTTAATTCATCAATTATTTAATAATATAGATTTTATAAGAGAATATAAAGTTGTGGAATAACAAAATTGTTTTGAGAATTCAATATTCCTTCTTCACTTCGTAGTATTCCTTCTGCTATCTTTATTGGTACTTCTTGTATCCAGTAAATTCACTTAAATCATTCTCCAAACGATCTAAATTTTTTATAATATTGTATACTATAATATGGTTATTTCCTGTTATTTTATTTATTGTGATACTTGTTGTACTCATAATTATTTCTACCCTTTTATTACTAATAAGTTTTAAGTAAATAATAATACATATCCGTTTTATTGATGTCCATGTTTAAAGTGTTATTTCTCTTCATAAAGCTCTACTTGATGTGTTTTTTTATTATTTCTTTCCACTGAATTTTCTTTATTGGACTCTGTTTCTCTTGAAATTTGCCTCTAATTGGTCTATGATTCAAACTATTCAGCATTTTGGGATTGAGTGTTTTCAGAATCTACTTCAATTCTAATTATTTCAATAGTTTTCCTGTTTTCACCAAAATTTGGATTTTCATAACCTTCTTGCATTGAACCATATTGTTGAGGATTCAAATTAGGTACAAATGAAAACATTGATTATTATTCTTGCACAGGAGCATAGTTTAATTCTATTTTTTCATTTGATCTAATTTGATTTAATCTTTAATTTACAATGTCAGAGGTAGAACATTCTTATTGTTATTATTAATAGAATTTCTATTATTAGTATTATAAGTATTGATTCTATTAAGATTAGTGATGATGTGAAAATTATTAATGCTCCATTTGCATATCTTCATAGTTTCTGGGATTATTCATCCTTTAATCTTAAAATTATTATTATTTGGATTGAACAATGTTTAGGAATCTGTTATAGAAATCCACTTCCTCCATTTTGGCATTTTGTATTGCAAACTAAAATTTCATATAAAATGTTACTGTGGCCTTGCATGATTATATTTTACTAAAACCTCTCTGTGCTTCATCCTCATTATCAAAAACAATGAACAATTTTGTAAAATCCTTGTTTGCTATGTACTCTGCTTCCAAGACTTCACACTCTTTTTCAAGATCTAATTCTAGTAAAAATTTCTTAAATTCATCCACTTGATTCTTTTTGATCAAAATTTACACTTATTTTCTCTCCTTTCTAAAGATAGGTCTAATGACATTGAAATCCTAATCGAAAATCCAATTGCTGTAGTTATATTGGATCAAAATCTAAAAAGTTAATTTTTAAATTAATACATTAACTAGAGTTTCTATACCATTAGGGTAATCTAGCAATTGTCTAAAGCTTTTTTCCTTGGCCAAGCTCTGAAGCCTTATACAACCTATGCTGAGATCAAATTTCCTCAAAAGAAAATAATTTCTGGATAAGGATTAAAAACTTAGAATACGTCTCAACTACAATAAAATGATTAACTTACTTATTAGAGAATACTCTCATCAATAGTCTGTTATTGCATGATATTTTATTTTGAATTCAAAATAATTAATGAATTGTTTATACAATTATATGAGCAAAAGAACAAAGAAAATTTAAATGTTAGAATTAACTGCTATTATTTTATCCCTCAGAAACGTATTTCACTTTATGAATGGAAAGTTAAAACATAACAATCTTATGGAGATATTGATCTAATTTGAATATATATATAAATCAAATCATATTTTCTACAAGGCTGTTTATTCTTTCTTCTCTGTAACCCCATTCTCCTTGCTTTGTCAAAGGCTTTTTGATCTTACCACTCTTCAATTGTCCTTCAGGATGATTTAATTTTAATGGCCTAATGATTATTTAAATATAATACACTAAGAATTTGGTAACAAAGTCGAAATTCTCTGATGCATTTGCAATTGTATTCACAATGTCCTCAACACAAATAATGTCCTTCTCACTCATATACTCTTCTATGATTTCGTTGGATTTCAATGCAATAATTTCTTTATCCTTCATAATGTGTCCTCTCTTAACAATTAAATCGTTGATAATTTATCGTGTTGGCAATCTAAATAGATTTGGAATCATTACCCATAGGTAATATAATTCTCAACTAATTTCAGCTTCCTCCAAATATCTACAGATGTCCTCACAAAAACAGCTGTGTTAACCTTGTTTAATCTCAATTCCTTCAGTATTTTTTGTTGTCTGTTGGAGATATCTTTAACACTAAAATAATCTAGCAAAAATTGTATACCCTCTAATTCTCACCACAAGTAATGTTTTATTAATTGGAATAGATTTTGTATCAACTGTTTCTAAATTTTGTTTGCGTTCCTAAATACGTTATAGATGGAGAGTACTTTTCTTTTAAAATAAGAATATGCTGTTTATTGTTTACGATATTTATCCACAAACTTTTCAGGATGAACGAAATCCTTAGTCTTTTATTTTTTCTTTTGGATTCTCTCCTTAATTTAACGTGCTCTCTCCTCATTTAGACTTGATTGATGCTTTCTCTTTTTCATTATGTCTGTGAGAACATATTTCTTCCTTAAAATGATGAACAAATATTATACTGTGCTTGTGGTATATTATCCATCAACGATTAATTTAAATAAAATTAAAATATCAATGAAACTTAAATCAACCATAGAATTATTATCATTTAGAATGCCAAAAATAATGATGATAAATTCAAATACTTACAGATTGTAGGTGTGATATATTGTATAATATTGAGAAAGGTCTAAAGAGACTTTTTAGAAGTTAATAGATAATTATATTTCAATTGAAATAAAGGGAAAGATTAATATTTGATTTTTAGTAAAATGTAATTGAAATGACAGAGGTTGAACCACCTATATTAATATACATCCAATTAGATAATTAGCTTTGCTGCTATTAAAATAATCCTCTTAACTCCTAGATTGATCAAAGTAAGTGGAGAAGAGAATTCGGTTAAATTATTAAAAGAAGCTAAATTTTAGAACTATATAAGAGACAACATTACGGATTTTTCTTAGATCTGTTCTTTTTCAAAATATTGTAAGAGTAGAGATTTTATTTAATTATAATTATTCGAAAGTCAACTCATCAATTAACAAAGATGCAGTAGTTGAATAATAATGTTACTTTTCCTAAGAATACGAAATTAGTTCCATGGAAAGCAATAATTTAATAAGAGGAGGAGAAAATCTAAGAATGATGATTATCAACAAAGTAGACAATTAGCATCATAATGCTGAGATCCATGGGAAAGCAATCAATAAATTAGTAGACATTGAATTACCTTTTAATCTAATTTTAAGTTATAACAAATACAAATAGCAGTATCTCTTATTTTAAATTAGAAATAAAATAAAGATAAATTTAATTCGTTTTATTTACAGATGTAAGATGAATTAAATATGGGGACTAAATTAGTTCCTTTTCAAAGGCTTTTATCTAAAATGTAGTTAAAAACATGTAACTCATAATAATGAATAATAAATGAGCATTGTTAACAAATTATTAAAAATTAATGGATTAATATCCATTCTCAAACTATTATAGATTGGAACAAGAAAACTTCAATATAGAAAATGAATTGAAATAAACTAAGATTTAATGATCTAATTTTCAGCATCACAATTCTTAAATTTACAAAAAAGATTTTAATTTCAAATTCAGAGTAAAGTACTGCAATTTAGATAATGGTTAAAAAACTAAAAAAATATGCAAACAAAGGGAGAAATGGATTTTGATACTTTCAAGTTTTTTGGTATTTTTATTATTAAAAATGTGATAATCATGAATTTTGGTATTGAGTATAAATAATTGATATTGTATGTAAATTATTATTCTGGTCACAAATTAATTTTAATAACCAAAATGCCTAGAAAAACAAAAGCTCGTTCTCGTTTAGATAAATATTACAACCTTGCTAAGGATCAAGGATATAGATCAAGAGCAGCGTTTAAATTGTTCTAGTTAAATCGCAAATACAATTTTCTCAATAATGCAAGAACAGTCGTAGATTTATGTGCAGCCCCAGGAGGATGGATGCAAGTGTGTGCTCAAATAATGCCTACAAGTTCAACCATAATTGGTTTGGATTTGGTTCACATCAAACCAATTCCAGGATGCAAAGCATTCACCTAAGACATTACAACACCACAATGTGTGTAATTGCTTAAAAAGGAAATACCATAAAAAGCAGATGTATTCTTACATGATGGTGCTCCTAATGTGGGAGCCAGTTGGGCTAAGGATGCTTATAACTAAAATGATCTTGTCTTATCAGCCTTGAGATTGGCATCTTAATTTTTAAAGAAAGGAGGAGTCTTTGTGACTAAGGTATTTAGATCAACAGATTATAATTCCTTAATGTGGGTCTTTAACAAATTCTTTAGCAAGGTAGAAGCTACTAAACCTTTAGCAAGTAGATTTGTGTCTGCTGAAATTTTTGTGGTTTGTTTAGACTATTTAGCACCAGAATACATTGATGAGAAGTTATTTGATTCTAAACATGTGTTCAAAGATACTGAAACCGATATGTTGTAATAATAGATATAGAAAGAAATTGTCTCTGTCGACAAAATTCTTTAGAAGAGAACTTAAAGACATAGAAGCGGATATGCTGATGATGTTCATTAAACTGTTTATTAGATGATAAATTTTGAAGAATTTCTTCATGCGGAAAATCCATATCCAATCTTTATTGAATATGCAGGAATCAAGATGACTGAAGAAGCTAAGCAAAAGTATTTGAGTCTTGCTAAACCTCCTTAAGATTATGAAATATTGATGGAGGATATAAAAGTATTAGGAAAGAGAGAAATTATATAATTATTAAAATGGAGAAGTAAGATCAAGCATTTTATATCAAAATAAAAGAAAGAATAAGAGTAACTAGAATAATAGGAGCAACAAGAAAGTGCTGAATACGAAGATCTAGATGAGGCTGAAGGAGAAGGAGAAGATGATGAAGTAAATGAGGAAGAAGCAGTGGAATAAGATGATCTTGATAAATTAGTAGATAAACAAAAGGAAGCTTTGGAATAATAATATATTGAGGAATAGAAGAAGGAATTAAAGGAATAAAGAAAACAAAAATAAAAGTAAGCTTAGTAAGAGAAGAAACTAGCAGGAAGGGGAATAGGATTCACTCCTCAAGAAGAAGATTAAGAGTTATTCTAATTCTCTAAGCATAAGAATATACTAAAATTAGGATATGTGGATGTGGAAGATAAACAAGAAGAGAAACTAAAGAAAGAGAAATTGGCATTTAACAATTAAAAATAATTAGATAAAAATTTAGAATTAATTTATGAAAACAAGAAATAGAAGAAAGAAAATGCTTTAGAAAGAATTAGAAATAAGAAGTAAGCTCTAGAATCTGATTAAGAAGAAGTAGATGCTGATGAGCTAGCTTGCAAACCAATTAAAAAGGTGAAGAAACAAGAGGATCACTTAAAAGTTTCAGATTTAAAGAGTAAATTTTTTGATAAGGAGGAATTCTAAAAATTAAAGGAATAACTTAAAAAATAAAAAGATGATGTATTTGATAACCCACTTAAGAATTAAAACATAACATAGTTGGAGAAGAAGAAGAAAGAAAAAACTGACAGGGAATAACCTGCTGATAAATTCAAGAATGACTCAGACAGCGATGAACAAGAAGAAAAAGTTATGGATCCAAAATAATTGAAAAATCTATAAAAGTAAATTCAGGAAGACTTGAACTAATTGGATGATAATAAAGATGTTGGATTATTGAAAAGAGTTGATAAAAAAGAAATGGAATATTAAAGAAAATTAAGTAATTATATTATAAAATCTATTTAGATGCAAAAATTAATCAAGATCCCTTACCTGGAGAAGATGAGAAAGTAAAATAGTTTGAACTTAATCTTCCTATTTCAGATATGGAAAAAAGAAGAAGAAAACTCAAGAAAATAGCAGCTAGGGAAGAAAAGAAGGCTAAGTAAGCATCAGAGAAGGATCCAAATCATAAAGAATTAGAAATTGTCTCTGAAAAAAAGATAGAGGATTATGATATTGATTAATTAGCTACTAATCTGGCATTGGCTAAAAAAATGATGAGGAAAAAGACTAGAGAATAAATAATTGAAAACTCATTTGGTAGAGATAAATGGGAAGATGCAGATTTACCTTAATGGTTTGTAGATGATGAAGAAAGACACGTATTTAAGATGGAACCTATTACAAAAGAAGAATTTTAATAGGAAAAACAAAGATTATATGAAATCAATTCTAGAGTGCCCAAAAAGGTATTTAATCAATATTATTATTCAAGATCATGGAAGCCAAGATTAGAAAGTGGAAAAAGGCTCAAAAGAAGCTTAAAACTGCTGCCAAAAAGGCTTAGACTGTTTTTGATACTGATGGTATTAATGAAAAGACAAAAATGTAATAAGTGAGAAGAATTTATAACAAAGAAAAAGCAAATATTTAAAAAGAATAAGAAAGAAAGGTCATAGTTGCTAGAAAAGGTCAAGCAAGTGGAAGTAAATATATGCAATTAAATTCTAGAACTTAAGAGTTCAAGGAAAGTTCTCACTGTTGATAAAAGATTGAAAAAAGATAAAAGAGCTATGAAGGCAAAGGCCAGAGTTGGAAAAGGAAAAAAGAGAAGACAAGTTTCTAGAAGAAAAGGAAAAAAGTAGAAGTCTTGATTACTTCTGTTTATTGTATATTAAATCAAACAAAGTAATTTGTATTATATTTAAATTCCCCTTCATTATAATCATAATATAATATCTCTCCTGATTTTATATCTCTACATGCATACAATATCACTCTAGACTACCCCTCAACATTATATCGTCTAGATTTCACATTCTATTACATTTTCTTGCTATTTTTCTTACTATTATTTATTCCTGATAGATATTTTGCTATATTCCCATTCTTCTCAGGAATTATAACAAGTGATGTGGCAGCAAAACCAGTTTCTAACAAGCTCATTATTGAATCAGAAGTACTATATACTTGATCTGCAAATCTGTAGACATCTCCTGCATATTCACAAATTAATGTTTTATAAGCTATGGGTTGTACAGATCTAACATAGAACCCTTAATCTAAATTGTATTCTACTCTCAAAGGTCCATAAAACCCAATCCTTGTCACTTACTTGTACTTTTTAAAGGTCAGAAGATCCTTCCCTATCAAAGGATCTAGTTTCTCATTGTAGCCATTATTTAATTCTTTTTTAGCAGATGAATAAACTAAATCATCATTAAAATTAATATTCTAACAATATAAGGCATATTAGAGTGATTGAAAGCAATTCTATCTCAACTTATCGTCATATACACAACATGGTAGTATGAATAAATTAGAACTTGTCATCGGAACACCAAAGTTGAGGAGATGGTTCATTTTTTCATTCAAAATGAATTTTGGGGGTTTTTATGAATGGCAAAGGTTACAAATAGGGGAAATGGTTTTAGTTCCATAACATTTTTTATGAAATATTTTATTACATTTTGTACAGATTACTTCATCTTTTGAATCTACTTCTTTCTAACACTTCTAACAAACATTATCAATCTCATCATCATTAGTATCTGGAAAAGTATTTTTCAATTCAATGCAATGTGCACAAGTCCAATCTTTGGTTATTTCCTTTTATTTTGGTCTCTATATACATTCTCAAATTTGATACCATACAATTATGATGATAAGCATCTTCACATATTACACAATTCGCGTATTTTTATTTGATAATCCACATTTTGCAATTTGCACATACAGTGTTTTTTTTGAATTCTTGTAATTTAGGCTTCGAAGATTCCTTCATATCAGACATAGCTATTGGAAATGTAATACTTTATTCTTTCATTCCTTTATGAAGTTTTTAGATTTGATTTATAAGTATATATAAATAAATATACATTATATGTCTGATTAGGAGGACTAAATAAATGCAGATGATAATGATGATAATGAAAATTAGGTTAATAATTCTCAAGAGAAGGAGGAGCAAGAAAAAAAGGAGTATTTCAAGGAACTCGTTGCTAGATTGAAAGAAGTCTAGGCTTAAATTAAGCAAACAAAGGCTGATATTGAATAAGAGAAATATGTATTCATGTTAAGTGATTAGAACCTAGTTAAGACAGGAGGCCACAACGAAATTGGAGGAGAAAAGAGATCAGATCAAAAAGCTCTTGATTAAATAAAATCAAACTACAACTGATGTACATTTGTGAATATTCATTAGAAAGTTGAAGCGTTGATTAGAGAGACACTGGAAAATCTTGTTCAACAGACTTTACAAAAGCAATAGGAATTGAGAGATCTCAAAGAAAATGAAAAAGAGAGATCCTTTTTAAATTATGAATTAGAATTGCAATTTAGAAATTTAAGGTATTACTTTATTATAATTAATATAGAAAGTATGTCAGTGAAGTTAGATAAGAATTACAAGAGAGTGATTAGCATGCTCAAAAATTAAAAATATAAATATAAAAATAAACTAATACTAATTTACTGTTAAGAACAGATGTCGATGAAAAATCATAAAAGATATAACAGTTAAAATAGGAGGCTTAATAATTAAGAGCAACAATATAAAATTTAAATGATGTTAAGAAGGTTATCAATAGAGTTTCAGATTAAGAATAAATTATTATAGAAGGTAATCCTCAGAGAAAACCCAGAAATTCCTATAATAACAAGTCCTCCTCTTAATAAAGAGTAAATTATAATGCGCATGAAGTTGATGATAATTTTTGGTATGGTGAAAAGTAATTAAAATTGCCTTCAGTTCAATCAACGAGGAAAAAGTAATGAATAAATGAATATTTTTGTTCACTTCCTAATAAAATTATCTTTAAAATTTAATATTAATTGTAAGTAGAAAAGATCAATTCAAATGCTTGCATTCATTATATTTTCATCTAAAAATAATATTATAATATGAGGCAATTCATTAAATTCTACCATATGATTTGATAATTATGAAAAAAGTAGAATAAATTGGGTTAAGTTCTATTTTCCCACCCAGACTATTTTGTTATTATTTTGTTTAGAGTTAAAACTGATTAGATTTTAAAAGAAAATCCTTTTATGTCAGAAATTAATGGCATTTTTGATTTTCCACGAAATAAGGGAAAAACCCATCATTAAAAACTTTATTATTATAAATACTATTGAATATTCATATATTGATATATCATTTTATCCTTTTTTAATCAAGTAATTTTTGAAATAATATTTAGATTTTTGATATTTTTTTTGGATTCTAGAAACTTCACTTTTTAATTAGGTTCAAATCAAGAGTATTAAAAAGGAATGAAGCCAAATGATAAATATATGGTTGTATAATTGTTTATAGGTTTCATTCGATTTGAAAATCCCCAACTAAATTATTGATGAAAAAGCGACCAGATCTTATGAAATATTTGATTTAAAAAGAAGTGGGGATTTTGAGAAAATGCAACCCAAACCAATTTAATTTTGGTAAAATGATTCAGCAATATAGATAAGAGTTTCTTAAGAAATTGAGAAAATTCATAAAAATAAGAATTAAATAATATGTAATATTGTTTTGAAAATCAGATCCATGTCAATTACTTATATCCACAAGCATTTTTGTTTTTATACTGAGGAGTGGTCTTCTGTTTCATCGATTGAAGGAATACTTCATATTCTTATTAAGTGTTCTTCTTGTTAAAATAATCGATTTAATTCTAGTAGATACGCTAGGGATTCATGAGATAAGATTTCAAAGGTTCGTCTACTTTAAAGAGCCAAAATTCAATGAGCACAATTTAATTTGGGTTAACTTGTGTTCTTTTAAACATTTATCTTTATTCAACGGTGCATTTATATTAGGCTCCTTCATAGGTGTTGATGTAGGTTTCAAAAGTGTGAGCAGATTGAATCGAATTAGCTGACAGATCACACCACATTTTGAGACTGGGTCCAAGATCAAACATAGATGGGATGGTCTTAGTTTCGTGCAAGTGGTTAAGCATCATGTCTCTGCTGACTCCCATCAAGGTGTAAAATTATTCATTGACAATTCTTTGGGAGAGTGAACTAGAATCCTTGTTCACTTTTTGGATTGTACATTGGTAGGGATAATCTTGAGCAATTTTTTCAACATTCAGTAGATCTTCATTTGAAATGTAAGGCTATTCAGTGAAGTCATTCAGGATTTGATGGCGTTCTTGCACGAGTTTAACAGCTAATGGTGCATCTGGATCTGATTAGTTGATTAGCAAGTTGGTGATCTGATCGATCGAATGATTGGCTTGATCGAGTAATTCGAGAGTGTAAAAGTAGACGTCATCCAATCGGTCAGTGCGCGAGACTCTATAATTATAAGTGCAGGGACTTTCTTTTAAACTTCCTAAACAGTGATCTGGAATGTATGAAAGAGCCAATTTGAGTTCCACATTTGATTTGATGTAGACATGTTCCTTAATTGGTTTAGCTATTGACACTAGACACACAAGTTGTTTAATGGGTTGGCGTTTTCTGTTTTAGTTTTCTAAGTTTAAAATGAGCCTTACTTTTTTTTTTAATTTCTTTGGATAAAATAGATTGAGTGACGGACTCGTCATGCATGCCTACTCTTTATCTGACTATGAGACTCATTATAGAAAATTAAATAATTATTATATAATAATTTTGCAAATCATTGGGGATATAATTGAACTTTATCATAATTATTACTATTTTTTGCAAATCCAAATGTAAAATTTAATTATAATATCAATGATTCCAATATTAATTTAAAGCGTAATTATAATAATTATAAATGATTAATTTCATAAAAAATGACTATTAAGTGCAGATATAATTAATCGATGGCATAGCATTTAGTAAATAATAAAAATTAATATTTGAATGAAATCGACATGCGAAAATGCTAAAAATAGATTTATTTAATATTGTTTGAAAATCTAATTGACAAGCATAAACTATAGAAGCTAAGCTGCCACCCGTTTTCTCTTAGTGTATGAGTGACCTTGACAAACAGATTCATGAAGTAATCTGATGCTTCGAATGTCACTCTCCATTAGATTAAAGGAAATGAGTTTACTATATGATGTTATATATGGTTAATTTAATATTATGGGAAAAGCATTAATTTAAAATGGATCAAATTTTGTTCTGCATAAACGAGAAATGCACTTCCCAATCACGGTTATTGTTAACTATGGCAGACGTGCCCAAGCACAATGACAAGTCTCATAAAGTCGTATAATTCAAGGAGTTCAAATCATATGTCATGGAAAAATATGGAGATGCAGATTTGTAGAAAATTCAGAAAATCACAAGCAACGAAAAGGTTATCAAGGATGCAATCTCTAAGATAATTAAAGAAGTAAAAGAGAAGTTGGATTTGTTTGAAATTAATGAAATCAAGTATATAAACTATCCATTATGTCAAATCATAGGAAGATGCCAAGTTTACAATAGGTCTCAGAATATGTGTGGACAGTAAGGAAAACCGAAAATCTAGAAGGACATAACAGCTGACTTGTTAAAGACTGTAGTGGAATTCCAAGTGGAAAAGATTCCCAAATACGGTTTCATTTTGGAACAGATAGATGATCGTATGAATAAGTTGAAAACTGAAGTCGCTGGAATGTTGAAAGCCTAACAATACGATTTATAGATAACTACCTTGGGTAATGTTAAATACACATGGAGTGATCAATTTAAGGCCAACATTTATGCCATCAAAGATGATGCAAAAAGGGAAATTGAAGCAACAAGTAAGGGAGTATCCTCAATATGATAGCATCATTTATGGGGTGGTCATTTGCATGCATCCAATAATAGTTGACTTCCTAAAAGAGATGGGAAACGAAATTGGAGATTAGAGCAAGTGAACCTGATTAAAAGACTTTATAGGCCAGTTAATTGGGACAGTCCTAATTAAAGAAATAATCATACAGTTTTGCTGTTGGAATTACACTCTAAAAGGTGAGATAACAAAAAGGACTTGAGTAATAAGATTTGGCTACTGTAGGTCATGGTTTTTACTTAATTCGGTCTGATGGATGTAATGCATATTAATCTCTATATTAAAGGGACTTGCCACAATTCAGATAAAAATATTAATTGGAAATAAGGATTATGTTTCACTCCAGAACCTAAGGATGTGATATTAATTAAATTCGATCCGACTGATGGCGATCTTCTGTTTGAACAAGGCAAGAACAAATACTAAATGAAGGTGGAGAGACCTTAAAATGAAGTGTTTTTATTTTGTGTACACTTAAAAGGATGTAAGGCCAAGATATTGGATTGAGAGATAAACAATATATATATATAATATTTCAAATTTTGAAATTTATGATTGAAGAGGAGGGATAATAACTTAAAAGTTAATTGGAATAACAACTGGTTGAAGCAATTCTGGATTCTCTTCAAAATCACATGGATCAAAATGCCACCTTTTTAGGTAATTAATTGCATGTAATCAATAGCTGAAAGATTGGTTTATGAGAGAGACACTGAGGAGTTTAGGTCACTATTGGCTGAATGCTACTTGAAAGAGAATCAGCCATTTAAAGCCTGTCATATTCTTAGGGACTGCAAATCTGAATTCAATCGGTACAAAACTAGTTAATGCTTTTAGCTATTAATATGCGATGTCACTATTTCAAAATAAAAAATACAAGGAAGCTGAAGTCGCTTTAGTAGGAACTCAATTTAGCAATTAATTTTCTAGTTAAACTCCAAATGTGCCAAATGGTGGATTTGGTTTCTTTTTGTTAGGCTAGATTTAAGAATAACTCCACCGTATTGAGGAGGCTAAACACTAATATTGCAAGGCTTTGGATTAGAACCCCACATTATGGATGGCCTTTGAAAGACTGTCAGAAAATTGGTGAATCTGTGACTATCAACAAGGTTTTCAATGATCAGAGATAACGACAATATGAAACAAATAGATAACAGAGTTGCAATATCTATAAGATAATATAAAATTTGTTGAAAAATAAGTCACCAAATCTGAAATCAGGTCAAAAAGAGGAAGACATCAAAGAAGAAGTCTAAATTTTAACGACCCTGTAAATCTGATACCTCTATTTAATAGTAAATTTCAAGCAAAAGACAATCCTAAACAATCAAACCATTTTCAACAACAGGCGTTCAATAATCAATTGTACATATGGATGACACTTCAAATAGTTAAATGAAATTCTTATGTAATTTAAAATATTTAACAACAAAATAGAGCATCAACAAAAGAAAATCAGTGCCAAAATGGTACCAACTCCAGGAGTAGGATACTAGAATTATTAGTCTTTACTCAGTCAGTCTTTTTAATTCTCACAGAATTAGAATAAGAATTTCAATCCAAAAAAAAGCGACATTCAAAAAGTAAACACAGCAGCAATATAATAATTTCCAAGTCTGATCAAGTATGATTTACTTATTTATCCATTATTAGTCTGCCTTAACTTTTGAAATTGTTTGCCCATCCTTATTACTTATGGACAAATTACTCAGTGGAAGCGATTGCTAATTTCTAGAAGTTACCTCCGCAACATTATAAATCAGGTTGGGTGCTTGAAAAAGTAGCCAGGAGTTTTATGGATCAAGTGAAATATGCTGATGCAGAGAAAGTTTGGAAGGAAATGAGACAAATAGAGCCGAATCGCTTGGAAGGTATGGATTATTATTCATCTTGCTTATGGCATCTGAAAAAACAATCAGAATTGACATACTTAGCTTATTCATGTTCGTAAATCAGTATGCTAGCACCTGAAACCTGGATAGCTATTGGAAATTGCTTTAGTTTAAGTAAGGAAATAGACAACTCAATAAAATTCTTCGGAAGAGCTATTTAGTTAAGAAAAGATTATTCTTATGCTTATACCCTATCAGGTCATGAGTTCTCACAAAATGAAAACTTCCAGTAGGCTAAGAAATCTTATGACATGGCCACTTCCTTAGACCAGAGATAATACAATGCTTGGTGGGGACAGGGAAACATGTACTATAAGACTGACAAATATGACGATGCCATCAGATGTTTCACGTAGGCCTTAAAGATAAACTCAAACAATCCAGTTCTACCAACATTTTTGGCTATGAGTTACGCTGCCAAGGGAGAGCATGCTGAGGCTTTGAAATACTTCGAACAAAGTGAAAAATTAGACCCGCAAAATGGGTTAAATAAGTACTAGAAAGTAGTTTATACAATATAATATGATAGGCTAATTCATTAATAAAATTAGATTAATACGATGATGCCTTAAGTGAATTGTAGAGATTGAGAGAATTGATACCGAAAGAAGCAGCAATTTACATCTTGATGGGGCGAATCTATAAGAAACTGGGGAAGATTTAAGAAGCATAGAAGTATGGAGGATTATTAATTTCGTAGTTGTTTCAGCACTGCAATGTCACTTGATTAAAAGGATTCCGCAAAGATCAAAGGGTTAATGGAGAGTTTAAATAATCCGAATAGCGAATTCAACGATGATTTTGATTTATGACATGATATATCAATAGATGTGCTCATCTACGGCAATTTAGATAAACTCCTTCTTGTAATCTCCAACAGACTCTGCTCCTGTTGCCAATTAATTGATGCGTGCAGTTCGTACTAGGAATTCTTGTAACTCTTCCTTCTCGCACAATGTTTCTAGTGAGAGACGTCTAATCCAGTCAAATCCTGAGAAGGCAATTCCTGTCAACAACATGTATTTTGGATATTGATGACATTCTAATATTTGATTGTTTCTTACTAAATAGAAAGGGTTGTCTGATTACTCTACTTACGGTCATTCTGATACCCATTCCAAAGAGACATCCGAATATAAAAGCACTTTCCATTATATTTAATATATATTTAATATGAACTGACTGATATTATTTTAAAATTCAAATATTAAATAATGAATAGACTCAGTTCTTAACCTAAAACAAACAACCAAGGGCGCATGACTCCAAATGAATATATGGTTCATAAAAACATTCCTTTGCCAACCAAAGCCAAATACCCCCATGCAGACTCGGAGGCAAGTTTGCATAAATCCGAGGTCATTCATTAGAACAACAGCAGCAATTACTCACACGGTTAGGAAGGGACAAGTCTTTAAAAAATAATCGAAGAAAAGAACAGAGAAATTGAATTCCTGAAGTAGGCAGAAGCTTAAAGCAAAATGTTAACTACGTAATTCTAAGAGATGAATCAAAATCATTAATTGGAGGTGAAGCAATTGTTGGAGTAGATTCAAAATTACAAACAAAGGAATGTCGATCTCAAGAGCCAAGTCGAGTAATACATGACAGAACTCAATAAATCAAATTAAAAATATTAGGAGTGTTGTAAAGAAAGAGATGAATACCTCAAAAATCTCAGAGAATACTCATAGGATTATGATATAATGAAAATGCAATTGTAAGGCAAGGATGCTGAAATCGTATCATTGAAAGAAAGAATTCAAAATATCGAAAGTAGTCATCAATAAGAATTATCACAATATTCACAAACTAACGAGTATTGGAAGAGATCCTTGATGGATACTTAAATTAGGGAGATAACCTAGCAATTCAATTAAGATAGGATATAATCGGATATGAAAATTAAAAATCTCGAAAATAGGAATGTTGAATTAGAGAACAAATGTGTGTTGCTGGCCTAGGAAATGGAGAGAATGCGTTTCAAAGATTTAGAGCAAAATAAAATGATTACAAAAAATCTATAAAATGAAAACAATGAATTAAAAGCATAAATGTTAGAAATGATGCAATTTGTATCTAGATACGAGGAGAAAATAAATTAGATGGAATACATTGAAGATCAACAATAGAAGGATAGAATGAGAATTATTGTCATGAGTTCTGAGATTGACAGATTGCATTGTGTGATTGAGGAACAAGAATAACAGAGCCACTCCTTCTTACAATAGATTTAAAGATTAGAGCAATATGAGATGTAGTGTAGGATGTTGCAAGAATAATAACAATTATAAAATCAGTTGAAATCATAGTTGTAATAGGAGATTTCTAAAAATCAGAATACACAATAAGACTTTGAATATTTGTAATAGGAATGGACAGAAAGAAATTAGGAGTTGTAAGATAAGTGTGCAATGTTAACAACCGAGCTCGAGAGATTAAATCTGGTTATGAGAGACAACGAAACATATAGCAGGAATTATTAATATGAAATTGAAAAGTTCTAAAAATAGTTAAAGGACCATTCATAAATTATAGAATAGAAATCTAATATGATCTTATAGTTAGAGATAGAAATAAGCAATTACCAATAGGAATCAATGCTGCTGAATAGTGACAATGATAATCTGAATATGAGGATCACTTAATTGGAAGAAGAAATACAGGAAGTTAAAGATCAAACATCCTAAGAATTAAAATAATAGATTGATGAATTGAATAGAAATTAATATAATTATAGTTAAGTAAATCAAGATAAATTGGAAATGTAGAAAGAATTGGAGAAAATCAATAGAGACTACTAAACACTAGTTATCACATCTCAATAAAAAGATGACGAAATCAAGGACCTACAAGATTAAATGCAATAAATGGAAGAAGAACACTAAATTGAATTAAGTGAGCTATAGAAATAAGGAGAATATTTGAGAAGTTCTGTATTTGATTAATAAATTAGAGACTTGACTGTAAAGTTCAATAATGATAAATAAGTACTTGAGATGTAGGTTAGACAATTGTAGTAATAGAAATAGGAGGTAGAATTACAAAATTCATTGTTGTAATAGAAAATTTAAGAATTATAATACACAGTGGAGGATCAATTGGAGATCTAAAAATAAAAATTATAAACAAGTGAAAAGGAAAGGGTTAATTTATTATAAGAAATAAAAGATTACTAGTTAGAATTGCATATGATATCAAATGAGAGATAACAGATGAGGGAGGACTTTGTTAAGGAGAGAATGAAAATCGTAGTTTATGCATCTGAAATTGATAGGTTGTGGAGTGTAATTCAGGATTAGACTGATTAAATTAAATAATTTGAAGAATAAGAATAATTGTCAAATGAATAGTTATAATAATTAACATCAACTATGCAATAGTATCATAACACAATATACTAATTGGAATAAGAAAAGAACAGTCATTTAAGAGAAAATAGTTTGAAAGAGCAGAGTTTAGAAAATAAAGTGATTATGATGACAAACGAATTAGACAGAACAAAGAATTAATTGTATGAAGAACAAAGTAAAGGATATGAATAGGAAAATAAGTAGAAATCATTATTGTAAGAGATCGAAGAATTATATCAGTAAATAGAACAATATTAGTCAGAGATAACCATAATGCAGAAGAATGGATTGGAAGTGGGGGATTTGGAAACTAAATTTCAAGCAGAAAAGATGTCTTGGGAAACACAAAAATATTAATTAACCAACTAAATTTCAGATTATGAATAGAGAGTGCATTTATTAAGTTAAGAAATAAAGAGATTGACTACAATTGGAGACGAGAGACTTCATGAGATTGAAGAGTTAAGGTTCAAATTCAGGGATGCTTCATTAGCTGAAAACTATGAGCAATTAAAAACAGAATATGATATATTGGAGTAATAAGTCATGGAATTGGAATAGAACAACTTGAAATTGAAATCTCATACACAAACTCTAGAGAAATAGATTTAATTGTTGGAATTATCATTGTAAGATAAATCAAAGGAGGCAGAGGACATCTATAATTTGATGAATAAACAAAGGAGACAGAGTGAATCCACCAATAAAGAAGCAGAAAATAACAGAAAAACATAATAATAGTTATAATAAGCGGTGTCAAATTTGGAATAGCAGAATTAATATTTAAAAGAGTAATTGTAAACTCTCACCAATGAAAATAAAGCTTGTAATGTATATTTTTAATTATAGATTATCACAACTTCATTATATGCAGAATAGTCTACATGAGAGAGATTAGATGATACAGAAGATGAGTAATGAATTGACTGAAAAGATCAAGGAAATAGATTCTCTAAAAGTGAAATATGAACAGAAAATGAACAATCCCACCATTCAATCAACTATCATAAGAGTAAGTTCAGTATCATATCCTTAGAACTCTTCATTAACTAGACAAGTCATTAAAACTGATTAAGAGAATTTTGTTACAGAATCCATAATGAAATCCAAAAATTCTTTCAATTAGTCAACACTTGTTAGACCTCCGAGACAAGTGATGTCGTAAATTAATGCAGATTTAAATAATTAGTAGGAATGATTGAGTTCCACTTTATTTTAATATTAAAAATAATGTCTCAACATGTCTAAGCAACAATACAATACTCATTCCCTAAAGCTTAAAGATTTAAAAGACTACATACTCCTTGTTCGACAGACTATTATGAACCAAATTATTTTCGGAGTACTCGGGCATCAGGATTCGGATATGGGAGCAAATTTGATTTCACAAAAGTCCAAGCCTATACTGAAAGCTACTATGATCCAAAGAGTTCATTTTCAAATAACAAAGGTGCATCCTTTGGACTCAGTAGAAGCATGGTCAAAAACAGTTCCTATATGCAAAATAACGATGTTCCAGGTCCAGGATCATACCATTATAGTCCACACAAAGCTATTGGCTACTCTATTGGATAGAAATTCGGTGTCTATTATCATACCACAGAAATACCTGGTCCTGGTGCTTATGATCCCAATATTCATAAGAAGAGAAGCATCTCTATCAACAAGGGTCCTGAGAGATTCTCAACAGAATCAACTTTTTTCCCAGGGCCTGGAGAATACAATGCATAACTTATACAAACGAAAACAAAGTGTAGATTTGGTAGCGCCAAAAGAAAGTGCTTTATTGATGATGCTGTTAGAGCATCCAAAAAGAGTGGAGGTATTACCCAGTCTATGCAACTATTATAGTCCCTGGACCAGGCAACTATGCTTCAATTACCCAGTTTGTACAATTAGATAAGCAAAAGAGTAGACCGTCTACTGCAAAACATTGAATTTTATTATACTTTTACATAAACTTTCCTTAAAAATGATTTAAATACTTTTTGCTACTCAGACAGGAAATTCAGAATTTTATGCTGAAGAAGTAGGTAGACATTTAGAGAAAGCAATCGTCTCTTCGATTGAAGACTTCGATTTCTTGACACTTCCTGAATAGAAGCGAGTCATTTTCATAGTATCAACCACAGGAGATGGGGACATGACTACTGATATTCTCAAATTTTGGCAGTTTCTATTGATTAAAGATTTGCCAAAAGAGTCTCTAATTAAACTTGAATTCACGGTTTTTGGACTTGGAGATTCCTCTTATCCTAAATTCAATTACGCAGCTAGAAAATTAAGAAGTCGACTCTTGTAATTATCAGCAAAGGAATTTGTGCCAAGTGCATTTGGGGATGAATAGCACCCTTGTGGAATCGATACAGAATTTGTTATTTGGTTTGAAAACCTTGTAAAGAAATGCGAGACTCAGACCAGCATTTAATAATATATAAAAATTGAGTAAACAGACACTTATGGATAGTAAAAGGGTGTTTAATAGTCTGACTTTGAGTTTACTAACAAAAAAAGGTTGAGTGCTGAGTAACATGATAAAGAAACTTACCAATATAATTTTAAATGTAATAAACTATATGAATGTGGTGATATTTTATGTGTTAAACCAAGAAATTAGGATAAGCTAGTATCATAATTTTTAGCAATACTGAACTTAGATGGAAATAAATGGGTTAAATTAGAAGAGCAGAAATAAAACTAAAAATCAAAGAAAATTCCAAAAATTATATCTATTCAACAACTGTTTTCTGAATTGTATGAAAGTGATTTATTAATTTTAGTTTGGATATCACTTCTCCACCTAATAGATATTTCATTAAACTAATGAGCCAATATGCAGAAAGAGATATTCATAAATAAAAATTAACTGAAATGTGTGCTTAAACACCTGAAGGTTTAGAAGAATATTATAGTTACGTTTATAGAGAAAAAAGAAATGTTTATGAAGTCTTGTATGATTTCTAACCATGTTTTATTCCATTAGAATTCTTAATTGATTCTTTGAAGCTAATAAGGGAGAGATAGTATTCAATTAGTTCTGCTTATGATGGAGAGTAAATAAGCTTAACAGTGGCCTTAGTATCATATACCACAGGTAAGAACAGACCAATCAAAGGATTTTGCTCTAATTATCTTGATAATTTAGTACATGGCCAATAGATTGAGGGGAAAATAATAAAAGGAACCATCGCATTCCCAAAATAATTAGAAATTCCAATAATTATGGTTGGACCAGGAACTGGAGTGGCTCCATTCATTGGATTTATTGAATAAAGAGTGAAGTAAGGAGCAAAAAATAAGGAGAAAACGATTTTATTTTTTGGATCATGTTATGAGAATAAGGAATTCTATTATAAAGAATTCCTATAAGAATCTGCAATCACATTATTTACTGCATTTAGTAGAGATCAATAAAAGAAGATTTATGTTCAACATAGAATTTTGGAAAATAGAGATTTAATTAATAAAATTGTTAGGGAAAATGCTCAAAATGTGATGTAATTTTGTATGTTGATGATGAATTTAGGATTATTGTAACTGGAACATCAAAGAAGATGCCAACTTAGGTTGAGTAAGTTTTCAAAGAGTGCTTGGGGGAGTAAATGTTGTAGGAATTAAAAAGGAGGAAACAATATTTAGTTGAGTGTTGGTGAAATAGACTTATTAATATAAATTATTTTTCACAAAACCGCAGGGTTCTTATTTAATGGTTATATCAGATCATTTCTTGGTTTAAAGTAGTCAATGATGTGGTTAATTGCTCCAATTATCATTACACTCATCCAGACTACGAAAATATAGGCACAGCACATCGTAAAGAGTTCGATTTCTCTACATTTAGATCTCGCTGAAAAGAAATGTTGCTTGATTCCGTAGAGCATTGATATAATATCGAATATAATCACTCCTCCAAAAAAGACAAATGTATTAATTGTTATGCAAACAGCTCCAAATTTTCTGGTGCATGTATCCAATAAATTGCATGCACTCAAGAACTGTATTATGAATATAATTCCGTATCTAAATTATGTATTTAGCAATTACACTATCAAATTTCCATAAAGGATAAAATGGAGAAATCCAATCCCTTCAGAATCGTTGCATTGAAAATCCTCTGTCACTATTTTATCCGCGCAAATTGAAAAGACAAGAAATATGAAATTGTTCAAATGCACCAAAGAATTTATGTCCAATCTCTAAGCCATTTCCATTATATTATATTTATATAATCATAGTTATGCATATTTCATCAATTTTTCCTTGTAATAGTAGTATTGATTTTAACTAACGAATAGTTAGTAATCTAACAGTGTTAATAGTTCCTATTCCAGAGCGTTTAGCTCCTGGAGTGTAATCCCTCCAACTCTGGAATAGTAGTCATTCTTGTAGTAGTCGTCGTCGTTGTATTTTATACTCATGAGTATGCATGCCAACATAAATCTATATAGTTAATCTAAATTCAACCTATGAACACAATAACTATTTATAACAACATCCTGGTTCCTCTCCTGCACTCTGTCTATATAGATCAGCGCCAATACGAAACACTCATTGCTGCAATAAGAGTACATCTTAATACGCTCTATATATTTGTATATTGAGATTTAAGGTTTTTTATTCGTGTGAAAGACTGTTTAAATTGGACTTTCTATTATGTCTGTCTCTTTGACAATTTCTTCCAAAACCTTGGCTATTGCATAAATAACATTATCTTCCAGGGATTCCTCCAATCCTCTTTCCAAAATAACACTCATCCTTCCCAAAAGATATATATATGTGTATAAATTATATATATTATTTAATATAAAATTATGATATGATATATAACATTGGTAACTGATGCTTCTTTCAAATTCCTCAAAATTATCCAATTCGCTAAATCTTCCCTATAACTTTTAGAATCTTAAATTTGCTTCATATCAGGATAATTTAAAATATCCAATTGAAATGCTTTTTAATTAACTTAAAACTTAATTCTAATCTAATAGTGAAATCATTCGAATCACATTTTCATATAATTATATTTAATATATATATGAGAGATTTCTACATTTTTAATATAGTGCTATTCTCAATAAAAATTTAAGAAAAAAAATAACATAATTTTGGATTTATAGTGTTTTTCTTATATCTTTAAGAGCATTTGACAACACCATCTTGTATTTCTAAGCACAATAAGTCTAGAAATTAACCTCAAAGAACTAAAATTATCTTTGAAATTAGTATTGAATTCAAAAGAGAATGAAAATCTTCAGTTCAGTAAGGGGAGGGTGTTTTCAAAGTACATAATTTTTATTTCTTAAATTTAACTTAAATGAGCTGTAGATGTATGAAAGGAAAGAATACGAAAAATGACTTCTTAAATGTTGATATTAAAGCAACTCATATAATTGCCATAAATTGTTTAGACAGAGTTTAAAATGATATATATGTACAGTTTAAGCAAAAATATATGAAAAGCTTGTCTATATGACTTGACATTTATTTGATAATTTTATACTTAAATTTAGTTTGAAAATCTTTTTAATTTTCGATATATTTACACATATAAATATATATAAGGAAGTTAAAAAAATCAGTTATTTTTAAAGATAAAATTCCGGAAAATGAATTCTTGATGTTATAATAAACTGAACGGTAATGCAACTAATTATGCTTAATTTCTAGATCCTGATTTTCTAATTCCATCAATTGAAACTAGTCTTTGATAGGCATTATATCATCATTGAGTATGAATGCATCAAAAGTTGAAAGTTTGTTTTCTTTTTTTAAGATTGTACACTAAATTCAGAATTTAAAAAATCAACCTACACACTTTGATTACTGCCAAAAGAATTCTACACACTACTTGATTGTTGACTATTCAAACAGGATGAAGCATTTGAGTCAACTTTAAAAGTGATTGTATGAAGATGTATTGAACTTGTTTTTTCAAAAGATCTACAATAAAATATATTAGATACAGTTTTATATGCTAAACGCTATCGTATCTCTATTTATTATTAGTTTTTTAACTGATTAGTTTTCGAATTAACAAATTAATTATTTGACCAATCAAAAATAATGTTTTATTTAAGAAGTAATTTTCAATTGAAAATTAACTTCAGCTTTTAATAATTAGGAATTTATTGATGATTCAATTCTGCTACTTAAGTCATATAGCTAATATTCTATTTTATCAATACTTTAATATCTATTGTGGACAGCCTTGGCAGAGTTCTTATGGTTTAATTTCATATTTTAATTATCCAATCCTCTCTAAAAGATCATTTTCGCATTTCTCAGAATTAGACCATGATAATTTCTATTTGAGAAGGTATATCAAAACATAACCTAAAGATTCTAAATCATCTCTTCTGGATTACTCTAATTCCAGTTACACTGGCATACCTACTAGTTCCATTGAATGGAATTTTCACTTTACTTTATTTCTTACATTTTACAGAAATTTTTGCAATTCCAAAATCAATTAAATATATCTAGTCAGAATGTCTTTTACACAGAATATTTTCTGATTTTAAATCCCTATGAATTATATTCCTTAAAAATAACTCTAAATTTATACTTATTGTGAATATTTTCTAACATTTCTATCATTTGCTAAGTAATGTTAAAAATGCATTCAATTGAGAATTTCTTATATTTTTTCAAGAAGTAAATTAAATCAAATCCTAGCATCTTCGTTATCATTACTTAGAATTCATTATGTTTTCCATGCCAAGTAATTAAGGTACCTATTGAAAGCCTCTTAATTTCTTCAAAATTTCTACCTATCAATAACTTTTCAATTAACATCTCTTTCTAAAGTCAAAAAATTCGACATTTCCTCTCTTTCAACCTTAATTGCCACCTTCATACCATTTTCAATATTTCTCCCTAAATACACTTTGCAAAAGGAAACTCGGGATAGAGGTTTCTTAACTTTGTGCGTTTTTCCTATTAAATCACCTTGTTGCAATCCTTACATGACGATATTTTCAAAAAATAAATATTATTATATATTTTATAAAGTGTCCTTTAATGAAATTAATTTAATAAAATTAAATAAATAATTATAAAATAAAAACTATGGCCTAAATTAATATGAATTATAGCTTATTCAATTAATGATTATTTATTGATTACAATTATAAGAGATCAAAAATTATGTCAGTTTTCTTAAACCTCAATAAAATTGATCCTCAAGTGACAAAATTAAAATCACTAAGCTCTAGTTTTAAATTACCTTAAATATTACTTTTGTTATACTATTTATATCTTATCTCTATTACAAATAAAAAGAAATAAAAGCATTCGAATATTAGATACTATTTAGAATAAACAGAATTCAAGTAGATGCAGGAGGAAATCGCAGATTCATATCCATTTTGAAATGATTTTATTTAGGTAGAATATATTTAAAATAGCAAAATCATAATTGGTAATTAATCCAAAAGATTTATAGTTTTCTTAATGGATTCTTGTGATACTTTAATATTTTACTATAATTTAATTCAATTAATCAATAAACAAAGAAAATTAGGAGCTGCTTTAATCAACCAATTTGTAAAAATTATTTATCTTTCATAATAATCAACTAAATAAATTTGCTAATCCATTAAGAATGAATTATAATAAGTCTTCATCGAAAGAAGTGAACCCTCTAAACAAAAACTCATCACAAGGAGTTGTAATTAATTCTAAATAAAACTCTAGTTGGTTCAATAATACAGCTTTAAATCCAAATTTGCTTTCTGTAATCAATTCATCATTCTCTTGATCCCAATTATTCAATAATACTCCCTTTTAGCTAAGTTGTTTTAATTCATCAAAGCAAACAATTGGGAGCAGCTGTGTTTTGTAAACCTTTCCCAAAAACTATTACTTGATTTCTTTGAAAGAAGTAGCTTCTGTTGAGTAAAACTTTAATGATGTCAAGATAAAATTGGGTAAGTATAAGATAAAATTTTCAAAACTAATAAAATTAATAATTAGCAATACTTAATTGAACAAGATAATTGAGTTTATGAATGAACTTATATTTTTGCTTCCCGAATAAATTCATACATTATTTATTATTATGATTATAATAACACACTCTTCAAATCCTTATTTACCCATACATTTTTATGTTAATTCATAATTTAGACCTATACAGGCTTAAGTTCTTTATTTTTAATGCTCAAAGTAGTTGATATGAATTCTTGTTAGTTATTACCGTATAAAATTTATTATCTTGATTTAATCTCAACTTTATTTGATTAAAATAAGATTGCTAATTAATTTATACTTGCTTTCTTAAAATTCACAATATTAGTGCTATTCAATTAGAGTTAGAATTAATTTCTAATAATTTGGATTCCTCTGAACTATTTCTTTCCATGCACCCTGTAATATTCAGAGGCAGTTTTATGAGGATAAATAAGTTATGAAACATCTCTTGATTAACTGACTTTAGTAATTTGAGATTACGGTTTGATGTATAAGGCCTAGGATTGAAGATCAGGGTCTTTAAAATTGTAAAAAACAAAATTCTGGTTTTAATATTCGTCCTGATAATCGATTTCCCTGTTAACGCTATCAATATTCCTACTTTAATTTGCTGACTATTGATTATTATACTCAAGTGTTATTTGTCTTAATTTCTGATTCTCTTATTTTAATAAAAAATATTTGCTATCCAATTCATCATACTTTTACTTTAAGTTCATAAAATCCAATTAGCTACAAGCCTAATTACTTTTCTCTAAATATATTTTCTGCTATTCCAATAACAGATTTCTTTCAACTCTTAAATTCTCTAGTTCTTCTTGCAAATTTTAAAATACAATTTAAGATTCCATAGGTCTTTCTTGTTGTTATTATTGTCCTACTCTTACTTAAGATGTAATTATTTATTATTATTTTGTTTACTCGAGCTGTACTTGATAATGTTACACTTATTGTTGCAACTCTAATAAATGATCTTAATAATATTAATGTTCATCGAATAGTTTTTATTTTAATGAATTTATCTCCAAATTAAGTTTCTAATTTTCAGTTTATATCTGATGATTTTCAATGCTTGCCTTCTCATTTATTTGTACTTAACGTTACAACACTGATTTAATAGTTTCAATTGCGACATCATTTTAATTGATAATTTATTTTAAATTTTCAATCATCACTTTGTCTTCGTTTTTTTCTGGTTAAACGTGTGATTAATTAATATTTGGATGAGTATCTGAAGTGATAATTTATTAAGGTAGCTGTTGAACTTTAGATGTTAATACATTACTTCTATTTTAAATCTAAGGATCTTCTTATTGGAATTGTGATTTCTAATTCCTTATATATTGCTGTCTTAATTGTTGATAACTAAGGTTCCCTCCTTGATAATCTTGATATGTCATGATGAAATCCTCCACAAATTCATTTTAAACATCTAAAAGCAGTAAGTCCTCCACTTAAGCATTAATTGTGGCCAAGTCATTGATTACAGCATTATTTTCATCTTTATTAGTATTAAGTAGATTAATGAGCTACTATTGCAGTTCTTAAGCTTTCATTTAAATTTACTAAGCTTCATCCAAAGGAGTTGGAGTTGCTTCTGCCTTGGGTATATACCTTTATATTTCTTCTGGCTTGAAGTAGTTAATTTAGGGTAAATATCCATTTTCTTTGATTAAATTCTTTTCATAGACAGCAAATTCTGGAAACCATTTGGACCATACTCGTATGCAATCCAATGCTAAACGATGATAACTTGCTCCATATTATTCAACAGTCTTATCATGTTCTGGGTTTTTGAAATAGGTGGCTCCTCTGGCATCATCCATGTCTTTTATTCTGTAAATAGCTGCTTAATAGATATAATCCATTAAGTGTTGTTTGACTTTGAATTTAAAGTTATCATTAAATTTTTCAATGCAATCTTTAACAATCTTTAATCCAAAGAGACATTCCTTTGGAGGGTATTTTTCATTCATAATTTTTTTCATAGCTTATATCAATTAATCCATGGTTTATCTAAATGTTAATATCTAATTACTCATCATTTTATTCAATTAACTCCTCCAATTCTTTTCTGAATTTCTTATCACTTAATTATGAAATAAATTGTTCCATCATAAAAATTTATTTATATTTTGAGAAGCAATTATAGAATAAAAATATGAATAGCAGAATATTTAAAAACTATTCATGGTGGATCATAATTGAAGGAGTAAAATATAATAAATAATGTTATAATTGATATTCAATTTTTCCCTTTGAATTACTCTAGAATATATAAAGATTAGTTTACAGTCCTCGCTTTGCATTTAGGAACCAGATTGAGAAGCCATTTTGGACATTTTTGAAGTTACAAAAATAGAGGTTGTATTCTTAAAGTCTTTGTCGACTCTTTACAATTCTTAAAGTTGTTTTCCTTCTAATTCTTTTTTAACATTATTGTACTTTTAAATTAACCTATTGTGAATATATAGACTACTTTTCTTCCTCTGCTTTTTTGATTTTTCGTTACTCCTCTTAGGCATTCTCAATTCTCTAATTCAACACATTGGTTTCATTATTTTGCTTGATCTTTTATTGCTGGAGAAGGTTCTTTATTTTATTGTTCCTCATTAAAGCCCACTTCTCTTGTTCTTCCTTCTGAAGCTACACTATTCTGGATTGTATTTTATGTGCTTCCAAATATCTAAGATAGATGTGAATATAATACTCTTCTTATCTTGCTAATTACTCTTCAGTTTTTTTGAGACTCAACAATTCTGCAGAATCTTTAGGTGTTTATGGAATAGAACCTTCTAAATCTTATAGGAATTACTGCATTTCATCTTCTTATTTTTGTTATAGTTCATTTTTGAGCTTCTGTGCATCTTATTCAAACTCTTGTATTTTTTCATCCCAAAAAGCATTGAAATTTTACATTTCTTCTTGATGTGATTGAGTCAGTTCATATTTCTATATTATGAATTATAAATTAACTTCTGATTCATGTCTTTCTCTTATATCTATTTTGGTTTTGGATTCGTATTTAGCTTTGAGTTCTTTCAATCTTTATTTTGCACAATCAGCCTCCAAATATTTACCTGCTTTCTCACAGGCCTTTTAGTGATCATAAAGTATTTTCCTATCCTTAATTCGAAATATCGTACATGTACTCTTCCAGATTTTCTGTCTCTGGAGGTAGTGTGTTCATTTTGGCAGTAGACGGTCTAACTCCGCGATAATTATGCATTTTGGAACAATAAAAATTTTATTTAATGTTATGATTAAAATAATAAAAATTTATATATTTAAATCAAATAATATTAATAATGTAAAAGTTTAGCGGAGTACGATCATTGGTGAATCTGAGTAAATTCAGAGCAAGTGATCATCACCTCAAAGCCAGTCATCACCAACCAAACAGACCTGATTTAATGACTAAAGTCGACATTGATAAATATAGAGTTTTCATTAACATGCATCCAGAAGCAAAAGAGAGATTTTTTGCTACTTACACTTGGCTACCCAAAATCACACCGTATTTCCTTATTCAATTACTTAACTAGACTCTACAATTCAACTATCGCCAAATACATTGCAACTTCATTCTCAAGTGTCTAAGCTGAAGCTGTTTCCGATGTCTATTTCCCACCTAAAGTAATGCATCCATTCCATCCCTTTAGCTTCACGAGAACGGCATCAATATTTACACCTCATATAGATTCGGAAAACCCTTCAGATATGGTAGATCCTTAGAAATCGTGGGCGGAATCTTCTTCTTAACTACTAAATATCCCCTCTATTATGCTTTGGTTGCCCTATTTGGCTACACTGTTGGATTCAACGTACTAACTATTTATAAATCTTAGGCTTACTTCTACGAACTTACAAGAAGAACAGTCATCAGAATGGATTTATTGCCTCATACACATTAGATTGCAGTTCAAAAAGTAGGGGCTTTTGGATAATTGATCACTAAATTGCATTAAGTTTCTGATTTGGAACATGTTGATTTTTCAGAACAAGAAACAAAAGGTACTATCAATTGATACTATTATACAGAGAATTACTTTTGGAATCTCCATTACCATAAATTGGATAGAAATCTAATCTTCAAAGACAAATCCACTGGAGAATATCTCACTTTTGACAGTGAAGGATGGTGGGACAGACAAGCCTTAGAGCATGAATTGCTTAATTGATTATGATCAACAATTCAATAAAAAAATATATATCACCAATCGATTAATAATCTTATAGCATCTAAATCTAATTGTTTTATTTCTATTTCAAATTTTATAAGAGTATTTTTAATAAATTTATGCTTGTTATATTTAAGGTATTTCATTCTGAAATCATTATTGAAAAATCATTTCCTTTTTTACCATTTAATCTATTAAGTTGATGGTTTTCAATATATATTCTTTTATTAAGGGAATGATAATAAATTATTAATTTCTTAAATATTTTAACATTCCTTTATCGAAATAATTATGATATTTTTAGCACTAAATTTCATCCATAGATAAATATGATCATTCCAATTAAAAATACTTTTGATGTAATTACTATTTCTGGTACAATAAACAAAATTTTGATTGATAATCTCTTAGTTGGATTGGGATTTCTGTATTTTAATCTCTTTCATAGTAAAAAATAAGTTTGTTTTTATGAGCCTACTCCTTCAAAACTAATTTAACAAATGGGTTATGATTTTAGCAGCATATTTATAATTGTTTAATTTGTCTATTAAATTAAATTGATTATTCATTAATTGTATTCCTATTCTCACTTAGATTTGTTAGGCAAAATGTACTCTATTTTATTATTAGAGGCTCTTTCAATATTAATATTTATATACATTGATATAAAATCTTTATTTATTATTTAAATTAAAATGACTGAAGAGCAGGGCAAGCAACGATTTGCGTATACGGCACCAAAACAAATTTTAGAAGAAGCTGCACAAATTGGTGAAGACAATTAAACAAGAAAGTAAAATTTAGACAAAGTTGAAGAAAAGTTCAAGTACAAGCAAAAGAACCGCTAGTTGAGTCCAGAAAGAAAAGATGTTTTCAATGATTAAGGAGGTGAGAATGGGAGAACATATGCAGAAATCATGATCTAATAGGACTTGGAGAATTCCAGATCTGAAATTGAAAATAAAATCAAAAAGACCGAGACATTAAATAAGGAGGAAAAAAAATTAGTCAAATAATAAGTGAAGGTGGAATAAAATGTTGCTTAATAAATTAAATAGGAAAGATCAGAATGGGAATAAGAAAGCAAAGACGTTTCTAAAAAGCCTTAAAAATGGGAAACCCCATCCAGAGGTATTTTTAAATAGTTCATTAATATTTAGATGGTCCATAATCGTCAGCAAGAGCATCCAGATGGGATAACACAAATAAATTATAAGCTACTCCAGGTAGAGCAGGAACAGTATTCGGAGAAACACCAACACCAGGACATATGGAAATCGGAGATACCCCATATAAATATGGAGAAACTCCTACTCCAAATCGTTCGTACATAAAAGCCAGATGGGGAGAAAGAACACCATTGGCTGGTCAATCCGGATTTGGAGGAGGCATGACACCTCATACACCAGGAACTGTAAATAGGACACCCATGACTCCTGGATAATTGGGAAACATGACTCCTGATAGAGTATACTAGTTTAGATTGGAAAAAGAAATGGAAGAGAGAAATAAATATATGACAGATGAGGAATTAACCAGCATTTTACCTGGTCCAAAGGATGGTTATGAAGTAATGATAAATTAATAAAATAGATATTAAAAGCACCTGAGAATTATAAACCATTGAAATCATCATTAAAGAAATTACTTAATGCAAAAAATAGTATTGAATCACCAGTGCAATATTAAATACCAGAATCTATTCGTATTGAAGTTTCAGCTACTCCCTCTCATCCTACTATAGGTCAATTACCAGCAATTAAGCCAGAAGAGTATAATTTATTCTCAGCTTTGTTACAACCAATCAATGAGGATGAATTAACTCCAGAATAGGCAAAAGAAAGAAAGATTATGGCCTTGCTTTTGAAAATAAAGAACGGAACTCCTTAAATGAGAAAGTCAGCTTTAAGATAAATTACTTAAAGTGCCAGGGAATTTGGACCTGCTCCATTATTCAATTAGATCTTACCATTGTTAATGTCTCCAACTTTAGAGGATCAAGAGAGACATCTATTGGTGAAAGTAATTGACAGAGTCCTATTTAAATTGGATGATTTGGTTAGGCCATATGTACATAAGATATTAGTTGTTATCTAACCACTGTTAATTCATGAAGATTACTATGCTAGAGTTGAAGCTAGAGAGATCATTTCCAATTTAGCTAAGGCAGCTGGTTTGGCAACTATGATTACTACCATGAGACCTGATATTGATCATAATGATGATTATGTTCGTAATACTACTGCTAGAGCATTTGCTATTGTGGCTTCGGCTTTGGGTATTCCAGCATTGTTGCCATTTTTAAAGGCTGTCTGTTAGAGTAGAAAGAGTTGGTAGGCAAGACATACTGGTATTAAAATAGTTCAATAAATCAGTATCTTTATGGGATGTGCTATTCTGCCTCATCTGAAATCACTAGTTGAAATTATACAACATGGATTGAAAGATGAATAATAAAAAGTAAAAACTATTACAGCTTTAGCATTAGCTGCTTTGGCGGAAGCTCCTTTCCATATGGTATTGAAGCATTTGATAATGTGCTTATTCCTTTGTGGGAAGGCATCAAAACTCATAAGGGTAAAGGATTAGCAGCATTTTTAAAAGCGATTGGATTCATCATTCCATTAATGGATGTAGAACATGCAACAGAGTATGTTAAAGCAATCGTTCCTATATTGAAAAACTAATTTGAAATATAGGAAGAAGAAATGAAGAAGATTGTATTAATGGTAATAAAATAATGCATATAATGTGCAGGTATAGAGGCTGTTTATGTAAGAGATCAAATAATGCCTGAATTCTTCAAATATTATTGGAGCAAAAGAACAGCCACAGACAGAAGAAATTACAGATAAATGGTTGAAACCACCTGTGAAATAGCTGCTAAAGTGGGAGCAGCTGAAATATTAGAAAGAATTGTAGGAGATCTCAAAGATGAAAATGAATCATTTAGAAAGATGGTTGTGGAAACTATAGAAAAGTTTATAAATTAACTAGGAGTATCAGATATCGATTCGAAATTGGAAAACAGATTGATGGATGGAGTCTTATGGGCATTTAATGAATAACAAAGTGAAGATACCTAAACAATGTTGAGTGGATTTGGATCTATAATTAATGCTTTTGGCAGTAGATCTAAGCCTTATTTCAGTTAATTAGGTGGTGTTTTATAATGGAGATTATCTAATAAATCACCCAGAGTTAGATAATAAGCAGCTGATTTGATTGGTAAAATTGCAGTTTGCATGAAGAATTGCTAAGAAGAAGCAAGATTAGGAAGATTAGGCTAGTTATTATTTGAATGTCTAGGTGAAGAATATCCAGAAGTTCTAGGATCTATCTTAGGAGGATTGAAGGCTATAGTCAATGTAATAGGAATGAATAAGATGTCACCTCCAATCAAAGATTTATTGCCAAGATTGACACCCATCTTAAAAAATAGACATGAGAAGGTTTAAGAAAATTGCATTGATTTAGTTGGTAGAATTGCAGATCGAGGACCAGAACACGTTTCTCCAAAAGAATGGATCAGAATATGTTTTGATTTGTTAGATTTATTGAAGGCTCACAAAAAAGGGATTAGAAGAGCAACTATCAATACTTTTGGTTATATTGCCAAAGCCATAGGACCCTAAGATGTTTTGTCTACTCTATTAAATAATCTTAAAGTTTAAGAGAGATAACTTCGTGTTTGTACTACTGTGGCAATTGCTATTGTAGCAGAAACATGCGGTCCTTTTACTGTTTTGCCTGCTCTAATGAATGAGTATAGAGTTAGAGAATTAAATGTGTAAAATGGTGTTTTAAAGTCATTATCTTTTATGTTTGAATACATAGGACCAACTGCGTATTCTTATATTAATTCAGTTATTCCATTATTAATTGATGCTTTGACTGATAGAGATCTTGTTCATAGATAAACTGCCTCATCAGCTGTTAAACATTTAGCTCTTGGAGTCCAATGCTTAGGATGCGAAGAACAACTTATGCATTTATTGAATCATGTTTGGCCAAACATTTTTGAAACATCGCCTCATGTTATCAATGCTGTTATGGAAGCCATAGAAGGAATGAGAGTCAGTCTTGGACCAGGCAATATTCTACTTTATGCATTATAAGGCCTGTATCATCCTGCAAGAAGAGTATTAATATTATATTTATTATTAGGTGAGATTGATTTATTGGAGAATATACAACATGATTTATGTTGGCAGTTCTGATGCTTGTGTTGCATTCTACCCGACCTTTCCTAATGATCAGTATAATTCTTATGAGAAATACGAATTAAATTTAACATTATGAGAGTTGAAAATATTTGAAATCATATATATAAATTATCATAACATATTAATACTTGATATTAAAAGATTATGAATAATTAAAATTATAAACTAATTATTCTGACTTGGATCAGATGATTACTAGAAGTACAATTGGTGAATTCTAAATCCTACAGCGATGATGTTTTAATTAATTAGATTTAAAAATTATTAGAAATTAACAGACGGGTTACAGAATTACATTTGTCTAGTTCAACTTATTTAAAATAAAATTTAAATAAATCTGACTACTTATTGACATATTATGACTCTAGATTAATCTTACTTTAATATTTATTGGAATAAATTTTATTTTGAGGGTGATTGATTAATGTCTTTACTTAAACAGCTCTTAATTTACTATTAAGTAGATGTGATTTGGAGAATATTGATCAAATATTTAAGCTATTTTCATTTACTTATAAAGAAATTTAATCTTAAAATAATGTTTTATGTAAAAAGAGAAATTTAATAATTGTAAATTAAACTATCTATTATACTTATATTAAAAATATTAAATATAATTATAATCAACAATTTTTTTTTTTTCTGCATCCTTGGCAAAGAAATAAATTTAACCTTATGCATTTTCAAAGAATTCAACTGCCAACACAGAATTCCTAGTAAAGAATCATATTGAAAATTGAATGGAGGCCATTAAAATAATAAATATTAAGTAACTAAATTTATATTCAATTTACATTTTTCTTTTATTTAAACACTTAAGTATCAATTTAAGAATAAATAGTATAAGAAATCAGGGAAACAAATGGATTTTATAATAATAATATTATTTATGTATTACTGAACATTTTAAATATTGGAACAAACGCTGTTGAATTCAGGTATTCAAACTCTCGATAAAATGGGTCTTTTGATAGTGTAGAAATTATGTTTTCTCTATTATTTTAATAAATATATTGAACTTTTTTAATTTATTATATAATCTTATATTAATCACATCCATGAATTTGGGAGAGCCTATTGCTTTCTTATGCATAGATCTCAGTGCACTTAGATATATTATAAAATACTTGTTTGTTTAATTACTGGACCTGGTACATGGAATAATTATAAATTCTTTACAACTAAGAAATTTAATAATTGGAAAAATGAAGGCGTAGAGTTTGTTTGCCAGATCTATCTTGATTGAGATTTTTGATTGTGTATTTCTTTAAATTTTTAGATAACTAAATTTTAGTAAACATCCATAGGTCTGCTTTGTTGCTAATTGCTTTCTCGAATTTCGGTAGTTAATAATAAGTGTAAGGGAGATGAAAATTATGCTTTGTTAGACAATTTGAATAGCAAACAACCCTTTTCTGAAGGAATTTGGGGCTAAAATACTCAACCCATGGGACACAGTATGGATGAATGAATTAAAAACTGATGAAAAATTTCTTTAAATGGATAAATGAAAAAAAGTTCGTTTTAGAATGGGGACGTGGTCTAGTTCAATTTTTGGGATAGACAGTCAAGGTAAGGTGGATGTTAGTATTTGTTAGGTAAGAAACTTATAATTTGATAATGTAATTTTCTTGATTACCATTGTTAAAAGAAAATAATGAAGTTATTGCAAGAGGAAATTTTTACATATCTTAAATATTAATACTATTCTCAGACTATAATTATGATAACAATGTTAAAAACATAGATATATACACAGTCAATTAAATTGATTTAAATTATCTTATTGAAGTTGACCAATATTTATAAACCAATTAATCTTTACAAATCTTGATTATATTTAATTTTATGATTTAAAATAAAGAACATCTACCCCAGGAATGGTTTGACTTTATCGAATAAATCAAAATTTTGAATCCAATTGATGAAGAAACAGTAAAATAATTTGTAAAAGTTCGGGTCAGCCAATTTCCATCAGATTAATAAATGAGAGAATACTATGAAGAAGTTTTTTCAAAGTATTACTATCATTCTACTATAATTAGATCGACCAATGATTCAAGTCGAAAGAAGTGGCATCAATAAGACAAAATTTTGCTTATTTGGTGCGTGACTAAATACTTGATGTCTTAAAATAGATCTGACCTTATTCCTGTAAGAGTTTTTATTTAATGTTAGAATAATGGGGATTGGGAATATATATCAAAAATACTGTGTGTAGATAAGTAATTAGTGGAGTTAAAATGGTTATCCTTACTCCATTCCAATCTAAAAATCTCAACCTGGACCAAAGAAGAGGATCAAATTTTGACCGATATTGCAAGGTAAGATTTTTTTATATATTTTAGTTAACACTATTCAAAAAATAATTGGACAGAACTAACAATTAAGTTTAATTAATTGTCCTAGACTTAGAGATATCCTAAATAAATTAGGGAGAGGTGGAATAACGTGTTAAACCCATCCATTTCCAAACAGACGTGGACAAAGGAGGAGAAAATCAAACTCATCTAACTGATTTTAGAATACGGTAAGAAGTGGTCTAAAATACAAAATTAAATGAATAGTAGAAGTGAAAATTAAATCAAAAATCAATACAATGGAATCATCCGAAATTTAAAACGATTTAATGTAATTTTTCTTCTCTATTTAAGGTTTAACCATCTGAAGAGAGATTGCTACTAAAAGCAATTGCTGAGAATCCGGATCAAAAACTCAATTTAACAGTTACGTAATTTATGTCTGATTTCTTGGCCAAAAAAGATGCATCCAAAAGAGTGGATACACCCTTGCTAAACAATAGAAAAATGGAAGGTGCAAACTTAAAAAAAACTCAAGTTGAAATACCTCCTCTTGACAATCCATTAAGTACTTCAAGTAAGATAAAATGTATATATTTTAGATCTATCATAAATTGAAAAGTCCAAAATAAGTCAGGAATCTTAGCATCAAATCCCTTTAAATCCAAACTTATACCAATTGTAAAATAGTAACCTCTCCATTCCTCAAGTATAACAACAATAAATGTATTACGGAAACTAATATTATATGAACAGTTTCCCTAATCCCTATATGAATTATGCTCCAATTAATTAGGCTTATCCAAATTATTATTAATTTCCCTTGAGTTCAGGATTTTAATAATATCCAGGATATTTCTGATGTTTTTGAAGCATATGTGAGCAAAATATTGATATATATATTGAATAATATAATTATTATATAAATTAAATCAAAAAGCTATATATACTTACTGCTAATAGATTAATCGAATTTACAATAGCCAATAATTTCAATTAATTCCACTCATTACAAAAATAAAAAAGGAGATGTTTCTCAAATTATTTAAATATAATTTTGGGAGTCATTTAATAATTAAAAATATAAATTGTTGTTTTATTAAATTAAATATTTACATTATTATTTAAATAATAATTTATTAATACACAATAAAATCATAAACTAAATCTCAATCTAAATATATCATTTAAAGTAGAAATATTATTAAATGTTACTCAAATTAGCTCTCTTGTAATTGAAATGACCGATCATTTTTATCAAAGTCAATTTGTTCAATATCTGACTTTAATAACTGATAACTTTATAAAAATTTAAGATTGCCTTGACGCTTCTGTTTTTTCTCATATTTTTGCGTATTTCAATTACGTTAAAAACATTCATAAATAAGTTAATTAATCTTATCAGAATTCAAATAGTATTAGGAAAAGAAAATAATCGCAACTTCAAATTCTATTGAAACTAATAGAAATTTAGATGCTACAATAAACTAAATGGTAAGCTGTATTCGATCTTTAGAAAAGTTTTTGAAAATTGCTATGTTTGCAATTAATATTCTTTAATAAAATTACATTATTTAACATGAAAAATTTTTTGAATTATTTTAATAACAGTTAAAGAGGATAATCTCTGGTGATGAAAATTTCTTATGTGAGGTAAACGGATAATGATAGTTAATTGTTTTTGTATATATTTAAATTTGAATTAAAATTAAGTTATGTTTGTACGAGATTTATATAGAATAGACATATATATTCAAATAGAATGATGATTAAAATAATTGAACAGATCCTATATGATTTAGAAAGCAAATGGTCTAATTCTATTAATGCTGGTTTGTAACTATTATGGAGTAATATTCGCTTAGTATGCAATCAACCTAATATTGATACCACCTTGTTTCAGATATATGATATCAGTGGCTATTTTTACTGCAATAGCATTTTAAAGAGATTTTGGCAATTTTTAGATGAGAGGCTATATTTATCTCAAGAGAGTAACACAAACAGTTGTAGCTTTTGAATCTATTTTGAGATTTTTGCAAAGAGTTGTAATCAAAGATGAATGTTGTTATTAAATACATTTAGCCAAGTTTAGGAGCTTCTCATCTGCTTCAGGTACTTTGTATTGTAACTCACTCATCGCACAATAGACTAATGCTTATGCGTGCATATAGGAATTCGGAATGGATAAATCATTAAAGATGGAGATTGATTTTTTTTCTACTTAATCATCTAGATTCATTTTGAAAACAATGTCGGAAATCAATTCGTACATATCCTAATTCCTCTTTGGAGTATTGCATTCTTCATGAAATTTGGGAACAGGAGGTCTTTTGAGCATGTTTATTTAATTAATTGACTTTATTTAGTTTTAATAACCAGTTTATTTGATTCTATTAGTATAAATAAATTTGAATTGATTAATATAATATATTTGATATGATGTCATATGAACACATTCCACACAATAACAACACCATCTTATGCACCTGAAATAACTTATTTCCCATCTGGAGCAAATTGTACAGTATTGACTGGTCCAGAATGTCCAAATCCTTCTGAGATTTGCTACCCAGTCTATAGATCCCATAATTTAACTGAACAATTAGATCCTCCAGTGACAGCATATTTAAAATTGGGGGAAAGACAAATTGAATAACATTCATCACCTTAAATTAAAATAAATTTCTAACCTTTTTTTGGATTCCCACTTGTTTCAAATTATCTCTAGACTTCACTTTAATTAAGATCCCAAAGTGAAATTTTCCTATCTTATCCAGTACTAAAAACAACTGAAGTATTAGGAACAGTGTCAAAAGAATTAATTCCACCCATTCTTTGAATATGAGCACTAATTCTTTTTTCAGTCTTCAAATCCCATTGCAACAAAGCTCTATCACGAGATGAAGTCAGTAATTGTGTTTCATTAGCAATCAATTTAACTTTAGTAACTTTATGAGTGTGTTCTTTCAAATGTGATACCATTTCTCTGGTTCTCATTTCCCAAACTCTAACATCTCCTTCACCTCCACCACTACAGAAGAATTTCAAATTATTCGAGATGCAAAGTGTAGTCACTCCTGTTTTATGAGCATTATCAATCTACCAAATTTATTAACCATTATCAGATCTGAACATTCTAATTTTACCATCAGCCCATCCACTTAATAATACTTCATCTCTATAAACTAAACTTAATGGAACAACATTGACATTTGCTTAACATTTAGCAATTACATAATATTCACTAATGTCCCAAAGTCTGATGGTTCCATCTTCAGAAGCTGATGCAAATCTGTCAGAAACTCCTGGTGGATAACTCATATCCAAGATTGATCCTGTATGATTTTCACTATGTAATCCTTTCTAAAAGCTGTTTGTATTGAATCTAAAAATCAGTCCTCTGTCTGTTGAAATCAAACTCTCTAAACCATCTACTCTTACTGTTATTGAATTAACTGCTCCTCCTAAATCAGTTTTATGTAATTAATTTATCTAAATTATAATAATAGTGTACTTTATTATCTTCTGTAATCTAATACATTGCTAGAGTACCATTACCTGCTCCCACTATAAATCTTGTGAAATCCACGAATCTTATTGACATTACTCCCAAAGCAGCAACTACAATTTAATGACTGAAAAATCTATTTAATTAATAAATGCAATTATATTACTTGTTTTTCATCTAGAATACACAAAAGTCTCCTGATGTTGTACCTAACAAAAGATACTCCTCTCTATTTTTTGAAAATTCCATGCAAATGTAATCTCTCACCAAATTTCCTGTATTAATTATTTCTTTCTCAAATACTCCTAATTTGGGGTCCAATTTCCATAAACATATTTATTTATTTCCAGATGTTGCAAATTGATATTTTGGTGTATCTCTGCCTTTAATATCTTTAGCAAATCCACCCCATCTTGCTATTGTTGTTGGCTCAGGAGTATGATTGACTGACCCTACTATATATCCTGTTTAGCAATCCCAAATGAATATTCTTTTATCCATAGGGTTGCCTGATGAGAAGAGCAGTCTATCATCATGACTAAAATCTACGCATACTACTTCATAATCATGTTCTGATAATCTATATTTTTGAATTTTTCTATGATAATCCCAAATAATAACATCAGAGTTATCTCCTTTTTATCCTGATGCAACCAATTCACCTTTGTTTGAAACTGCTAAACATGTGATTTAATCATCATGTCCTTATAAAAATGATTATTTGTGAGCATCTCTTAAATCAGTTATTATTAAAGATGCTCCAGCAATACAAATGAATTCCACTCCATTTGGATGCAAGATCACACTTCGAGGTATCTTATATTTATATTCAATTTTACTCTTCCACTATATCCAATTGCATGTTCCATCTCAAGAATATCTGCAGAAGGTTGTTTCATTTTTTGTATATAATAAATATAATAATATATATTAAATATTATCTAAAATGATCAATATACAATTAATAACCGCATAATGAAGGAGTATCCTTAATCTTCCTTCTATCAATCCTAATGAGGAAATCATAAACATTCCAAATATACTTTAAATATCTGTATATTCAATTTTCATCTAAGTGTACAAAGTATTGGAATGATATCTCAAAATTATAATTTCAGTGTTGTTGAATATTGAATTTTAAAGGTACACATGACAAAAATAATATCCTTTGATAATGTTATTACAGAATGGAACTTTCTAAGGAAAATTGTTACTAAAAAGTAATATCATTTTAGAAACTATCTCTTTTAAGTCAAATTTAGAATATTGCTGATGCCATATAAAGTCTCAAATATAATTGAATAAATAACAATAATGTGTATTCTGATAGAGATTAGTACTAATAATTATATGATGAATTTGATATTAAGATAATCATAGCTTTATTTATAATTTCCTACCATGATATACTAATAGTTATTTATAGTTTAAAAATAGTTAATCTTAAAATTTCGTATTTGTGAGATCATTTTGCTCATACATTATTTCTTAGATTTCTTAAAATTTTCTAATTCTTAAAAATGAAATTTAAGAATTTATTTATAGAGATTAAACAAATCAATCAATATGTTCACAAACCACTCGATCATTCTGATTGAGACTGATTAAGTATTAAGTCAATAGTTTGGTAGAGTTGAAGGGTTATATGTAAATCAAGTGACTAAGACACATGTTTAACGATTACTGTTCGATTTTAAATGGAAGATTAATCAGAAATAAATTTCTATATTTAGTGAGGAGTTATTTGTGTTTATTTTTAAGGCAATATGATATACTTAATTGAGGCTCTGTGAGTTCGATGTGGCATTTAGGTTGATCACTCTATTTTTTTGTTTCTATTAATAGTTTGGGTTTGCTTAGATTAAATAAAATTCTCAATCTTATAATTATAATTAAAAATGGATGAATTTCAGACTTTCTTTCATAGCTTAGGTGAAAAACAATAGACTCCTATTTCTGAAGATTACCGAAAACAATTCAAGATTAGAGGGGAGTTCATCTACCCGCATAATAAGAAGTTTGATCAGATTTGCAAAAGGTTTTCTAGAGTTTTTAAAACTAGCTTTTTGGAAGATGAAAAATTAAGGAGCAAAAGAAAATGGGATAATTCCTTTAAACTATTTTTGATATGGTTTCTAGTTAAATATTTCGAGAAGTAAAATCAAATAACAATACGACCGGTAGAAGTTTAACTCATTATATGTTAGGGTGAGAATGATTGGATTAATTTTGAAAACATTCTGAAAATAGATAAGCATGCTTTACAGTAAAGGTGGATTACATTGATTAATCCTCAGATGAAATCTATCAATTGGTTGTAGGAGGAGGACGATTTCATAAAGAATCAAATGAAGTAAGTTAGGATTACTTAGAGTATAATAGTTAAAAGAATAAGCACATATGGACTTAGATTGCCGTGTCTCTTTATGAGAGGAGTTTGCAAGGGAATATTCGAACTCCAAAACAAATTAGAGAGCGATGGATGAATTATTTGAATCCTGAATTAAATAAGTAATTTGTTATGTCTATTTATAGGGAACAATGGTTGCTCAAAGAAGATTTGATTATATTAAATAACGTTGTGAAAAATGGGAAAAAGTGGTCTCAAATTTCATAGTAATTGAATGGAAGAACTGAGAATCAGGTGAAAAATAGGTAATTGAATTACACAATTACATAAGATACAAGTCATTAATACATAAAATCTGCAAGGATGATGAATGCGATGAAATAGAGATGATCAAATAGTACATAAGAAAAAAGTAAGTAATAAATTGCTAAGTAGTTCTGCTCACATGGATTCTAATAAGCAAGGTATAATTGGTAAAAGGGGAAGACACAAAAAGGGAATGAGAAATAAGGAACAAAAAGCAGAAGCAAAGAAACAAAAAAATATTCCTAAAATAATAAAGTAAGAAGAACAACTATCCCAATAACCTCTCGTATAATAACAATAATAGGCACCATAATAATAGTTATTTACACAATCCTAACAATTGTAAATGTAATAATAGATGCAACAAACTTAATAATTGCAATAGTTGTAGCAGTTATAATAGTAGATGAATTTTAATTAGGAAGAAATGAAGTTGGCATTAAACTTGTAATCCACTTTTAATTAGGAGGATATGAAAAATGCAACTCCATTGATGATGTTATAATGCTTAACTTCCCCAGGCTATTAGTATTTTGAAAATCAATGCTTGAGATAATTGTCTCCTGGAATGATTGAAGAGGTGGAATGTCATTAGAATTCGTCATTATAATTACCAAAAATGGCTAATATTTACAAGGTGAATTCTACATCTCCATTTTTGCTTGGGTCTATGATGCAGTCTCCATTTTGGAACAACGATCAATTTATTCAATAGAACGAAGATCAAGTGGGAGCTACATCCAATCAAACTTTCACCTAATAAATTTCCACAACTCCTTATTTAAATCTGAACTACTTCAGACCTCAATAGATGAATGGGTTCTCCAAATAGAAGGAATTAGATTTATTACAGGAGAATCCAATATAGCAATTCAATAAAAGAAGAAATATTAATTAATAGTGAAAATGATAATAATAATATATATATATTTATATTAAATTAATAATGATAAAGAACAATACTAATTTAGACGCTCTAAATGTAAGATCGATGTTATTCTGAAATAGGGGTTGAAATATGAACTGCAAATAATTGAGGATCAGAAGACCTAGGAGTTGAAAGATCTGAAATTATTTTTTAAAACTCTACAATAGAAAGTTTGGGATTTAAAGAGAAGAAGTAAATTTCTAAATTATCAATTAGATTACAATTAAAATGTATGTTTCATTGATCCTCTCCTCAGGGACTCATTGTTGTCTATGCAACATTTAATTGGGCTTAAGGCAGAAGCAATTAGATAGTTGGAGGATGAGAAATACAATCAATAGGTTGATCGAGAGAAATTGGGTATTCAAAATATACATCGGAATAGTTGTATTGCACAAGTATCAAGAGAGTGGTGTTGAGGTGCATCACGCTTACACAAAATACATCCAATCTGAAAATCTAAAGGGCTTAAGAGATTTGCCTCACTCATATAAATTGTTGGAATAGGACCTCGAAATTGAGGTGGAGAGAAAGCGCCAATTAAAATAGTAGCTGGAATCGCAGAAGAAACAAACTGAAGAATTGTTATAGGAGACTCGCAAAAAAATTGAAGTTGAATTAAAATTTTCTACATATATCAGGAAGCTACATCTTTCCATCATTCGCTGCAGTAAAAAATAGACCAGGAGAAAAACTGAAAAAGCATCCACACCAAGTCCATATATAAATATATTTTATTTTTTTTTATCTTTCTTTATAAGGATGACAATTTGTGTCGCCAGTATGATTAATTAAATAATTTTGAAATTAAATGGAAGTGGAAACTCAGAATTTAACCTAGGAGGAACTTGAACTCTTCAAACAGCTCAAATTGAGGGAACAAGAATTGGAGTATTTAGACATATAAGAATAATATTTGAAAGATGATCAAAAAAGATTGAAAAGAGAATTAGTGAGAAGCAGAGAAGAATTGAAAAGAATCTAGGCAGTCCCCTTAACAGTTGGGTATATATTAGAATCTAATAATCTATAGTCATTTTAATGAAATGATGAATGAGAATTATGCTTTGATAAATTCAAATGGCGGAGCTACTCTCTATGTCAGAGTGCTCAGCACATTGGATAGAGAAAAGTTGAAACCCAATACCTCAATTGCTTTGCATAGACATTCACATAGCGTGGTTGATATTTTGCCGACAGAAACAGATTCTTCAATTCAAATGATGCATGTAACAGGTATTTAATAAATATGATAAAAAGAAAAACCTGACGTAAGCTATTAAGACATTGGTGGTTTGGATTAATAGAAGTAAGAAATCAAAGAAGCTATTGAATTGCCACTATCCTGTCCTGAATTATATAAACAAATTGGTATTGATCCACCAAGAGGTGTCTTATTGTATGGCCCTCCTGGTACTGGAAAGACAATGATAGCCAAAGCTGTTGCTCATCATACCACTGCATCCTTTATTAGAGTTGTCGGATCAGAATTCGTATAGAAATATTTGGGAGAAGGACCTAGAATGGTTAGAGATGTTTTCAGATTGGCAAGAGAGAATGCCCCAAGCATCATATTCATTGATGAAGTCGATTCTATTGCAACAAAGTATTTCAGCAACTTATTCAAATTTTAGACGTTTTGATGCACAAACAGGAGCTGATAGAGAAGTATAAAGAATTCTTATTGAATTACTCAATCAAATGGACGGTTTCGATTAAAGTACTAATGTTAAAGTGATCATGGCTACTAATAGGCCTGACACTCTTGATCCAGCACTTCTCAGACCTGGGTAAGTTTAATTTAACTATCCATTTTAGTCGTCTTGATAGGAAAATTGAATTCCCTCTTCCTGACAGAAGATAAAAGCGATTGATATTCTAAACTGTCACATCAAAAATGAATTTGTCAGAGGAAGTTGATTTAGAGGCTTTCATCAATAGACCCGATAAGATTAGTAATGCTGACATTGCTGCCATCTGTTAAGAAGCTGGAATGCAGGCTGTAAGGAAGAACAGGTATGTTGTCATACAGAAGGACTTCGATAAAGCCTACAAAATTGTAGTTAGGAAAACTGAGAAAGAGTTTAATTTTTACAAATGAATTATATAATATAGATATATATATATACAAATTATCTAATCCTATGGTATTCATTAATGCATTATTAAATCAATAATAAAATTAATATATATAATTATATTCATTTATACAATGTCACAATCTAGCAATATAACATAAATGAGTGATATTAACTCACCAGCTTAGAAGTTTTCTTTATCACCTGATGTTGCTAATATGCTTAAAGCTCAAAAAGATGATGTTCCCATAGGTAAGAAGCATCAAGCAATACTCCCTCCTACTCTTCTAAACAGAAAATAGATTGAATTTAAAAAATCGAATTTATCACATTATAAGATATGGAATTCTACTTCTAATGAAGATATGTAAAGGATTAACGAAATATACAAATAATTCCGTAGGAAATTTGGAAGAAATGCTTAACATCTAGACGAGTTCTTTACTTTATTAAGTCGAACAAATTAAGATCTAGAGTTAGTTAAATAGTTAATCTTATTTGAAGATAGAATTTCTCTAAAAATACATCTAAACGAGAAGTTCTTTATTAAAATGTGATTGATATTTATATGCTTTCATTTCATTTCAAGAAATACTCATTTTTTATAAGAAAATCTAATATTTAATATTATTTATACACATCATCTATTAGTTATATTGATGATTAATCAATAATCCACATAACAACTTAATAAATACGCACAACTCTTGCAGAACAACTAACAAAAAACGAAAAAGAACTGATCATTTTTATATGGAAAATTCAATTTTAAATTAATATAAAGAATTATAATTTGACTGTATCTACTTAATAAATATAATGTTAAGTTTATTCATTTTTGCTAATATGACAACAAATCATCTGAATCTTAAATTACGTTACGAATTCTATCAAAATTGTTAGGCTAACAATTAATCAATTATTTTACTTATCCTGCTTGAGGTGAAGATTCTGGAAATTCTTGCTATGGAATTTAGTTAGATGCCTTCAATGGTTGATTTCCTTATGGTTTATATTCCAAAACTGTAATTTCTCTATCAAATTAGTCGTTCTAGTATTAATTATCAGAATTCTCTTACCATTGGAACTAAGGTTTGTGCTAATTTCACTGGAATTTTGTCTCCAGGAGGTATTTAATTGTAATTGTTAGGAGCAGGAGGTCGGTTCAAATAAATTATAGGTAATTATATAGGTGCAGATTGTTAGATAATTGGTCTTTGTATTGGTTGCTATTATAAAATATTAGGCGGTTGTGGTTGCTATTGTAAAATATTAGGAGGTGGTGGGGTGATATAGACATTTTATAATTGTTATAAAGGAGGAGGTGGACTTAATGGTTGATAATACGATTATCGTATTTTGATTTAATCATCTGGTGATCTAGGAGTTCTTATAAGCTATTGTTATAATTATTATGGAGGTAATTAAGAAACTATTTATTAAGGTTTTGGAATCTATTAAGATTACATCAACAAACGTTAGAGTAGTTGAGGTTACTGATTTACAAATTATTAAGGTTAAGGAGATCCTGACTTTCTTAAATCTGGACTTTGAATTTGCGACACCGTCTATTATGGAACTCTTGGAATTATTACGTGTTTCTAAGGAGATACTTATTATTATTGTATGATATTTTGGGGTTGTTATTAGATTAAGTTTTAGTTTTATAATTATATGATGCTTTATTTTTAAGTTAAGATCTGTTATTGCTATTAAGGAGTGTATGTAATAATTTGTTATGGTATTGTTGGTTACTAGATAATTGTTGTTTATTAGGTTAAATTCGGTTATTATAATTATTATTAAATTTATTATTGTAAATTTGAAGTAGTTTATTGTTGAATCTACTATTATTTTGATTAGAATAATTGCTATGGTTACTACTCTAATATTAATTGTTGTTATTATTGAGTATTGATTTTCAATTATTGTTGCTATCTATTATTATCAAGCTATTAAGATTCGTAGAGTATTTCTGAATGCCTGTTTGAGTTTTCAATAATTTACTTTATCTTTAGTTTAGACATGTTATTTATGGGAATGGATTATTGCTTGATATCTTCAAAATTTATTTAAAAGTCTTGTAAGTTATTAATTTTTTCTGAATATGGTTTCAACATATAGAATAGATCCTACACCAAGAGTTAATTATCAGTTTCTAACATTAGATGCTCAGTTATTCGGATTAATTGCTATGAGAAGCGATTATAACATAAAACTTATAGCTAAGCAATTTGTTAAGGTTCAATTAAAACGGGTACATCAAGTATCATGAGATCAAGAATTATATGTCCTAAAGCAAACGAATCTATTTTATTCCAATTGATTTGAAGTTGTTATTGATCGATAAGTTATTTTTTTAATGCAGTGGGTAGATAAGTCTATAAATTTTCAACTACAAATCTGGCGACTGAGTTTTTTTGATCTTACAAAACCCCGATTGGACAGAGCTTAACTACACCGTTTCTTTTTAGTCCCACTGTGGCTGGTCTTAAGTCTTTGTGATTATAGCCTTTTTATTTGAGTTCAAAAAGGGCTTGTGTCAAAGACCATAACAAATACCAAATCTCTTTTTCTGAGAATTGTTCTTAGTTTTCCTTCCTTTCATTAATCTCTCTATCTTAAATATTATGAAATACTTCAACAAATTATGAGGAACATATTCGTAATAACTGAAAATCATGGAATAGGATGAACACATTTCTTTCGATTGTTTTTCTGAACTCCCATAATAATTGATAATGTATGGTGCCTATATACTATAAATCATAGATTATGATTAATGCCAGAGTTCATCTGTCTCCTCATCAATTATTCTTGTTGGGTATTCAATTATCATCTCTTAATTAGCATCACAAATGTAGACTTGTCCATCAACCTTCTCTCCAGAAATCTCTATTGGTCTAAACTAGCTCTTAAATGTCTTGAAGAAAGAGGTAGAATTCATATATGCTGGAGCAGATGTTCCCATTTAATAAGTAAAAATAAAAATTATTTCAATGTTTCTTAAATACAAAAAGCAGTTAATTCCTTAACTTATTTTTTATTTTCTTTTCTTTTTGCAGTCAGTAACCAATAGTATAGGTAATAGTAGGATCGTTAATGTTCCAATTTTACAGAATTTTCTTGTAAATTGTAAATTATCAATTACAATTGTTGTAATATAACAATTTCCTATTTTGACAGAGAATCTATTTTATTTGTTTATTATTGGTATTCATGTTGCTCCATTTGAGATTATGAAAAAGTCTCTGATAATTGATAGGTTCTCATTAATATTTCAACAATTTAGTTGGCCATCATGGTATTAATATTTCATTCGATAAAATGATTTCTTATTAAGGTTATACTTTGATTTAAGTAAATAAAATTCATTTGACATATAATTAATCATTTAATTCTATTTTGAGATGATCTCAATTATACCATTATGATCTTCAATTTCATTACATTGATTAAATTACTACATGCATTATATATCTTTCTCTATTTATTTCACATTTCTTCTCTCTATTTATTTAGATTCATGAACTCCAACCATATTTAGAGCATTCATAATCATGTATTATATAATTATGCTATATCAATTATGAAACACCAATCAGTTTAATTATAATTGAGTGACAGTTAATCTAGGTCTGCTTAAGGTGTCTGTTTGATTACTTTTTTGTCTTCTAAATCCTCTGAAAAACTCATTAAAAATGTATTTCTGTAATTTATTATTTTAATTTAGAAACAAAAAGAAATGCATTCGAAGGGTAAGAGAACTTTAGGTAATATAAAATGATGGAGTATTTAGGCCCAATATAAAAAATCAATACCCCTTCCTTTGATTTTCAATCAGCCTTTAAGGAACATTAGGAAGTAGAGGAAAGGATTAAAAAAGAAACTGAAACTCAAGACCCAAGGTATTGTGACTCACATATATTCAAGGAAACTTGTGATGAATCTATTGAACGATAGAGACAACTTACAGCCTATAGATGGCACTCTAACTAGTTCATAATTTGGGATGAAGAAAAAGGTAATTCTAATATATATATTCACAAATAGACAAACCTACGTATTAATCGATAGGTCAAAAGTTAAGTGCCATTGCTTACTGGTTAGATCAAAAATTTGATTTCACTTAATTTTAATTCTCCATCCAATACATTGAAATTTGACATGGATTCTTAATTCAACTCCAAAAGGTCAAATTTCATTCCCAATTTTATAAATTCAGGCAGGAATTTCGATGTGGAAGTCAAAGGAACTTTGGGAGAAGAATTCACTGAATTTTAGATGTGTAATATACTTAATTCAATAATTAGATGATGATGACTCGTAACCAGAGGACATTCCAAAAAATAAAAATTTCTCCAATGGAGGTAGAATGGCCAATAAAAAATTGAAGGATTACGATTGTTGGGATGAAGACAAAACTCCTGAACAATGGATTGAATTATGTCGTAAAATCAATCCTCCACATGCCAGGTGTCCTCTTTTTGATCATTCAGACAAATACATTTGGACAGACGTTGAAGTTCTTAGTTATCAAGATGGACGCTATGAAGTGAAGGTGTTGAGAAGTAACAAGATCAAATGGATTGGAAGACTATCCCTATTATTCTTTGCTGAAGATCCCATTAAGTTTGAATAGAGAGTTGAATTATGTAAATAAAGATAAAGAAATGCTGATGATGAATATCGATTTCTTAAATACATCGATTCTTTGCCTGATTCAATGACATCTATTTTATCTACTGAAATGCAGAAGAAGATAGATGATTTCACCTATTTCAGAGAATTACCTTATATAACAAAAGAGGATCCTAGCAAAACAGCTCCTGGATTTCCATAAATACAAACTTTGAAGGATGAATCAAAAACTATGATTACTGACCCAGAAATAAAGAGAAAACAGTTACAAAATTTGGATATTCTTAAAAAAGATCTAGTCAAACAAGTAGAAAAAGAGTACATAATGCTCATGAAGAAATGTTCTATTCTAAAAGACATGGAAATTAATAAAAATGATATTAAATGGATTCAACTCAGAATCAGAAATAGATTTGAATAGGTCAAAAAACCATTCTATGGATTGTGCAAATAGTTTGGAAGCGATACAAAGATCATCACTTATGAATCATAGGCTCAATCAGCTAAATCATTTAATAACTAATAAGATTATTGGGCATTTGTTCCTACGAGATAAGTGATCTAATCATTACATTATTCCAAATTGACTGTTGTTGTCAATACTCTTAATGCCTTAACTGCAAGATCTCAATTGTACCAAAACTTCCCCTTGTTAAATGTATTATTGAATCACCAATCGCTTCCTATGACTCTATCCAATTTTGAAAGTCAACAAAAACAACATTAAGTGCAAGGAAGATAAACTCTATAGGTGCAATGGAGAAGTACCATTGTTGGTGACATTCAAGATAAATTAAGAGAAAAGTATAGATTCTATTAGACTGAAACTGAAGATTATCTAGATAGTGACTTATAAAAGTTACTTATAAGAATTGATTACATGTTTACTAATTATATAAGAGAGAATGTAGTTAAATAGAATTGTATAGCTTGGGTTGATTTTATTAAGAAATTTACTACTCCAAAATAAGGAGAATATTGGAGGATTAATGACTACCCACTTATGATTCTTAATCTTGAAGTCAATCTTAGTTTCAAAAGAAGTAAGAAAAACGAAAAAAAGGTCAAACAAGATGATACTCCATTATTTGAGGAAGATCCCACTAATGCTATATATTATTCTCCAAGCTTATAATCTATCTAAGCTGCTCTCTTGAAACCATTAGATCTACTGTTAGAATCAGTTAATTCATTTAATCGTCTAGAAAAGGATCTTGTTCCTCTTGTTGATATTGATTAAAAAAAGGAGGTTAAAGGGAGATTAAGAGCCTATGAAATAGAAAATGATTAGGATTAAATTTGGGTTAAGTGGGCAAGAGACAAAGTTTTGGAGTACATTGAAATAGGTTTTCAGAAACCAAATGAAATGCTACACCGTTTTAGAGAATACAGCTTTCTTTTAGAAAAGCCAGTTTCAAGCATATTAAAAAGTTTATTTGGAGATATTTCTAAGAAACCAATCATAACATCTTTGGATAAGGATGAGATCTAAAAGAAATTGAATGATTTTATCAATGCTAAATTGTAAATACAAAGGTTGTGTTTGGATGAAAAGAATGAATAATTCTTTTAGATAAAAACTAGAATTGCCAAGGAAAATTTAATTTAAAAGGCAAATGAATTTGTGTCTTCTATTTTGAAACAATGCTCAGAAATAGTGACAGACAACATTAGTCGTCTTAGTGTTGAGTATAATGATATGAGTGAAAGAATCACAAAGTAACCAAAAAATGAGGCAGAATTAGTTGAATTAAAGACCTACATTGCTGAACATGAAGTTAATCTAGCCAAAAAGAAACAAGAGGTTGATTGCTTATATGATTATTTGACAATATTTGAGGAAATGAACCATACATTTGAAGACAAAAATCTTTATGAATTTTGGAATTTGTATAGTTTCCCACCTGAAATTAAGAATCATGTCATAGAAGGATAAAGGAAAGCCAATCTTTAGGAGTAAAAGTTCATAGAAAATTTGGATAATGAAAAGGATAAGTTTTAAGGGGAATTAAGAGAATTAGCTGAGTTATATCTCACAGTATAGAAATTTGATGATTACACAAAAGCAAAAGAAAATGCCACTGAAGTTATGTTATTAAATGAAAGGCTATAGAAGGCTAAGGAAAAAGTTGAGTCCTTTAATGAAAGAGAAAGATTATTTAAATCACCAGAATCTGTCTATGATGAATTGGAATAATTAATTAAGAACTTTGCTATTTACTATAATTTATGGACGTATTTCATTGAATTTGAAATGGAAAAGGGAGATTGGTGTACTGGATCATTTTTAAAACTAAACTTTACCGAAATAGATTCTAAAGTTAGGACTAATTAAAGAAATGTCAATATCCTCATTAAGGCATTCTCAGATACTGGAGATGATACTGCTGTTGAAGTGGCTAGAAAACTTAAGACCCAAATTGATGAGTTTAAAGAAAAGTTATGGTTAATTGAATTACTTACTACAGAAGCCATGAAAATTAAATTGAATATGTGGAAGGATATTTGGAAGATTGTTGGAATTGTTGATTAAGAAACAAATGATGACCTATCGTTAGATACACTTGTCTCACATGGTTTGATGAATCATAGAAGTGACATTGAGGAAGTTTCAAGAAGGGCAGAAAAACAATGGTAAATTGAAAAGAATCTAAATTTAATACAAGAAAAGTTGAAAGATTAAAAGGTTGAGATGATCCCATATAAGAAGACTGGAACATTTGTATTAAAGTCTCTTGAAGAAGTAGTCTAATGCTTTGATGATTAATTCAATATCTTATTGATGTTAAAGGCATAACCATAAATAAAGGCAGTTTTACATAAGGCTTAAGCTTTAGAATATAAAATAGTATTGATACAAGATACATTGGATGGATGGATAAAATGTTAAAGAGGTTGGATGTATTTAGAACCAATCTTTACATCTGATGATATCAAGAAGAAGATGCCTTAGGAAACACTAAAGTTTTAGAAGGTGGATTCGCATTGGAGAACAGTCATGGAACAATTTAGCAAAGAACCAAATTTATGGGATGGAGTAGAGAGTGATAAGATGAAAAATGAATTTGATTAAGATAATAAAGCTTTGGATTAGATTTAGAAATCATTGAGTGAATATTTAGAAACAAAACGTAATTCTTTTCCAAGATTTTACTTCTTGTCAGATGAAGAATTGCTAGAAATTTTGGCATAAACTAAGGATCCTGAAACTGTTCAAAAGCATATTAATAAATGTTTTGAAGCCATCAATTTATTGGAATTTGTTAATGGATAAGAGGTTGTTGCGATGATTTCAGCTGAAAAAGAAAAAGTACCTTTTTCAAAAGCCATAAATGTAAATGAGGGAGATAAAAAGGGAAATGTTGAAAAATGGTTATGCGAAATTGAAGCAGTTATGATTGATACTCTTAAAAAGATTATGAAGGCATCTCATTTGGATGTAGATACTAAAAGAGTGGCTTGGGTTAGAAAATGGCCAGCTTAAATTGTATTAGCTGTTAACATGGTCAGATGGACTAGAGGTAGTGAAACATCAATTAATGATAAGGATAATTCTCATGGAGGATTGGCAGGATTCTTATAATAATTAATAAATGAACTAAGAGATATAGTAGATTTAGTTAGATAGGATTTGTCTCCTTTAGAGAGATTAACATTGGGAGCTTTGGTTGTGTTGGATGTTCATGCCAGAGATGTTATCAGATAGTTGGTTAAGATTGGTTGTAATGATATTAATAATTTCCAATGGATGGCATAATTAAGATATTATTGGACTGAATAAGTAATGAAATGCAACGTAAAAATGATAAACGCTGATTTACTATATGGATATGAATATTTGGGAAATAGCATGAGATTGGTTATTACCCCTTTGACTGACAGATGTTATCGTACTTTGATGGGAGCATTCCATTTATAATATGGAGGTGCACCTGAAGGTCCTGCAGGAACAGGAAAAACAGAAACAGTCAAAGATTTAGCTAAGGCATTGGCAGTCTAATGTGTTGTGTTTAATTGTTCTGATGGTTTGAACTATTTGGCTATGAGTAAATTCTTTAAAGGGTTGGCAAGTTCAGGAGCATGGTGTTGTTTTGATGAATTCAATCGTATTGATTTAGAGGTGTTATCAGTTATTGCTTAGTAAGTACTTACTATCTAAGATGCTATCAAACAAAAGAGACCAGAATTTGAATTTGAAGGAACTCCAATTAAACTTGTACCTTCCTGTGCTATCAATATCACAATGAATCCAGGATATGCTGGAAGATCTGATTTACCTGACAACTTAAAAGCCTTATTTAGACCATGTGCTATGATGGTTCCAGATTATGCATTGATTTCTGAAATATATTTAGCTTCGGTAGGATTTTAAGATGCAAATAATTTAGCTCGTAAAATTGTTGCCTCACTCAGGTTATCATCTGAATAACTATCATCACAAGACCATTATGATTTTGGTATGAGAGCTTTGAAGGCTATTTTGACAGCTGCAGGTAATTTAAAAAGAGTCATGAATGATATTGAAGATATCATCTGTTTAAGAGCACTTATGGATGTCAATATTCCAAAGTTTACAATTAATGATGTGCCTCTATTTAATTCAATCACGTCTGATCTATTTCCAGGAATAAAGTTACCAGAATAAGACTATGGAGCATTGGAAACAGCACTCAAAAACATAGCATAAGAGATTAATATCCAAGCAGAAAAAGGTTTCATTGAAAAGTGTATTCAATTGTTTGACACCATCAATGTTCGACATGGTTTGATGATAGTAGGATAGGCATTTGCAGGTAAATCTAAGGTGTTGGAATGTTTGGGCAAAGCAATGTCATCATTAAATAAAATACAATCATTTGTGAATGTGGCTGTGCTTAAACTTAATCCAAAATCAATTACTTCAGATTAATTATATGGTAAGTTGGATCCAGATACAAAATCATGGACTGATGGAGTCATAGCTATTATTATGAGATAGTGTGCATAAGATGCAGAAATTGAAGAAAGAAAGTGGGTTGTATTTGATGGACCTGTTGATGCAGTTTGGATTGAAAATATGAATACTGTATTGGATGATAACAAGAAATTGTGTTTGACATCTGGTGAAATCATAAAAATGACAAATTGGATGACCATGATGTTTGAAGTTGAAGATCTAGCTGTAGCATCTCCTGCCACTGTTAGTAGATGTGGTATGGTGTTTTTGGAGACACAATAAATTGGATGGTATGCTTTAGTTAAATCATATATATAAACAATTCCAGAGAAATTTATAGAACATCATTATTTAGATGATTTATTGAGAGTTTTGATTGATTGTTGCTAGGAATGGCTGAGAAGGAATGGTAAATTCCCAATATATAGAAGTGAAATGACTTTAGTCAAAAATATGTTACTCATATTGTAAACATATGTGCAGGAATGGACAGATATGGATGACAAGGCATCACAAAAACAAATCAATCAAAATGAAATTAAAGATATAATCTCAAAAGCGATATTATTCTCATGTGTTTGGAGTTTTGGAGCTGCAATTGACGAAGTCTGTAGAAAACAATTCAATTAATTTTTAATTAAATTGATATCATCTGAAGATGTTCAAGATTCCTACAAATTGCAATTGTAGTATAAATTCTAACCAATCACAATAAATGCTAAATTACCAGATAAAGCCAATCTATTTGATATGGTTTATGATAGAAATAAAAACAATTTCATAAGTTGGACTTAAACTTAACCACCATTCATAATACCAAAAGGATGCGAGTATCACGATTTACTTATACCTACTAGTGATTCAATCAGAAATAATTACTTCCTGCATTTATGTGTGAAAAATAAAATTCATCTTCTTGTATCTGGACCTACTGGTACTGGTAAAACATCGAATATTGTGAGTGAAATCAATAAAAAATTATTTTTAAACACAGAATATACAAATTTGATAACTGCATTTTCAGGTTAAACTTTAGTGAATTAAGTTCAAAAAACTATAGAGGCTAAAGTTAATTCAAGAAGAAGAAAAGGATACTTTGGACCTGAAGAAGGTAAGAAGTACATAGTAATCTTTATTGATGATTTGAATATGCCAGCAAAAGAAAAGTATGGTGCACAACCTCCTATAGAATTGTTAAGACAATGGATGGATACTGGAGGATGGTATGATTTAGAAACGAAGGAACCTAAATACCTTTAAGGAATTACATTTATTGCAAGTATGTTGCCTCCTACTGGAGGTAGAAATGTAGTCAGCATGAGATATTTAAGACACTATGTTCTCTTATATGTGGAACCATTCGAAGGAGATTCGTTGCAAAGGATATTTTAGAATGTGTTGGAATGGTACTATGCTCGACAAACAAATCCATTTATGAAATCAATTACAAATCTTAGAGATTAAACAGTGAATGCCACTCTAGATATTTATTAATTAATCTAAACATGTAAAGAACTTTTGCCAACACCAGCTAAATCTCATTACATTTATAATCTTAGAGATATCAGTAAAGTGTTCTAAGGAATTTCTAAAGGAATAGTCAAATCATTCAGGGACGAAAATGATTTCATTAAATTATGGGCACATGAATGTCAACGAGTATTTTAGGATAGATTGATTAATGAAGATGATTAAGGAACCTTTGATAAGATTCTAAAGGAAACCATTCTGAAACACTTCAAACGAGATTGGAAACAACTAGTGTAAATTGAACCACTCTTATGGGCATCGTTTGTTCCCACTCTCTATCCTGATGATGATAAAACAAAGAGACCTATGACTGATATCTATTGTGAATTAACAGATCGAGAGACACTTAAGAAAGTATGTCAAGAGTAATTAAATGAATACAATTCTCAATACACAAGCAATAGAATGGAATTGGTGTTATTTATGAATGCTATTCAACATGTGCTTAAAATAGTGCGTGTTGTTAATACCACATTTGGTCATGCATTATTGGTTGGAGTGGGAGGATCTGGAAGAAAGAGTTTGGCTTAATTGGCATCATTCATAGCATTCCAAAATGAAACCTTGCAAGTTGACTCAAGAAATTGGATAGAAGAATTGCAAAAGGTTATGAAGATGGGAGGAATTGATCAAAAAGAATTTGTGTTTATGTATTCAGACACTTAGATCATCAAGGAATCAATGGTTGAGGATATTTGTAATATCTTGAATAATGGTGAGGTGCCTAATCTATTCCCTCCTGAAGAGAAGAGTAAAATCATTGAAGAAATGAGCAGTTATACTTCTGGTACACCCAACGAAAAGTATAGTTACTTCGTTAGGTAATGTAAGAAGAATTTGCATCTTGTGATTTGCATGTCACCTGTTGGAGAGGCATTTAGAAGAAGATTGCGTACTTTTCCAGCTTTGGTTAATTGTACAACCATTGATTGGTTTTTACCATGGCCAGAAGAGGCTCTTAGATCAACTGCTGATGCAGTATTTACTAGGGATATGAACATTACTGATACTAAATTGAGATAAGGTTTAGTGGATATAGCAGTCGATATGTAGATGAGAGTGTCTGATCTAACCAAAAGATATTATAATGAATTAAGAAGATATTATTATGTTACTCCAACTTCCTATTTGGAATTGCTCAACACATTTAAGAGACTGAAATCAGATAGAGATCAAAATATGATTAAACAAATATCTCGTTATGAGGCAGGTGTTGATAAGATTATCATTACAGAAAGTGAAGTAAGCAAAATGTAGAAGGAGTTAGAAGATTTATAACCTAAATTGGAATAGGCTACTAAGGACAATAGTATAATGTTGATTAATCTGTAAAAGAAATAAAAAGAAGCTGATGCAAGAAAATAGGTTTGTCAATAAGAAGAGAAAGACTGTAATGTACAAAGAGATGCTGCTAATGCTTTAAGAAATGATTGTTAAAATGATCTTGATAAAGTGTTACCTATTCTGGCTCAGGCTGCTGAGGCATTGGAAAAGATTGATAAAAATGATATGGTTTAATTGAAATCATTTCCTAAGCCTCCCCCTTCTGCAGCTATTGTCATGGAAGGATTATGCTACATCTTTTAAGGAAGATCAAAATGTGCCATGGAAACCAAAAGAACCTGGGTCTATGGAAAAAGTATAAGATTTTTGGGAGTACTCTAAAAAGAATCTTTTGAATGACAAATTGATTAAAAGAATTAAGGATTTCAGAGATGATTCAATCAGATAAATTCCTTAAGTAAAGATCAACAAATTAAAAGCATTCTCGTAAAATCCATTGTTTTAGAAGGATAAGGTGTTCAATGCATCTGTTGCAGCAGGTAATCTAAGTTTGTGGGTTCGTGCTGTTGTAGAAACTTATGATGCTCTATTAGTGGTGGATCCAAAAAGATAGCAATTATTGGAAGCTGAGTCAAAATTAAAGGAAGCAGAAGAAACTCTTAGAGTGAAGTAAGAAGCATTGCAGGAAGTGCTTGACATGTTGGCTAAATTAGAAGCAGAATATAATAAGGCGAAATAAGAGAAAGAAGATTTAGAGGCTAAGGTCAATAAGTGCAAAATCTAATTGAGTAGAGCAGAGAAATTAATTACTGAGTTAGGAGGAGAGAAGGAGAGTTGGAAGAAGAAGGCTGCTGATTTTAGAGTTGATTCTAAAACAATCGTTGGTGATTGTATACTATCCTCAGGGATTGTTGCGTATTTGGGAGCATTTCCTATTGCTTATAGAGATGACACTATAAAAGCTTGGCAAGGTTTATTAGTTAAATTGAATTTGGAGTATGACCCAGACTATTCATTACAAAAGATTTTATGTGATCCAATCACTATGGGATAATGGACAAATGTATAAAAGCTACCAAATGATTCGTTTTCAATTGATAATGCAATTATCTTAAAAAATTCAACAAGATGGCCTTTAATGATTGACCCACAAACATAAGCAAATACATGGGTTAAGCATATGGAAATGAAACATGGAGAGAATTAATCATTGGTGATCGTGAGACCTACATAATCTTAGAATGTGTTATCTAAGACATTGGAAAGTGCTTTACAATTTGGTTAAAGTGTGTTATTAGAAAATGTTGGAGAGGGCATAGATGCTATTTTTGAATCAATATTACAATAAAAAATTATCAAGTAAGGTTCAGCTTATAAGTTAAAATTCGGAGATAAGATGGTTGATTACTCAAGAGATTTCAAATTCTACATGACAACCAAATTAGCCAGACCTCATTATCCACCTGAAATTTGTGTCAAGGTCACAATGCTAAACTTCTAAGTTACCTAGGAGGGTTTAGAGGATCAGATGTTAAATATTGTTGTAAAGATAGAGGAACCTGCTAAAGATGAACAAAGATAAAGGAATATCAAGGAGTTCTTTGAAAATAAGAATAAATAAAAGATGACAGAAGACAATATCTTGTAATTATTATAAGAGTCCAAAGGAAATTTACTGGATGATGAAGTTCTAATTGACACACTCTAAAGATCGAAAGCAGAATCGATAACTATTTAAGATAAATTAAAGAAGTAGGAGTAGGATAGAGAACAATTCAATTAGATTCGTAATTTCTACAGAGAAGTCGCAAAGAGAGTTGCTAACTTATATTTTGTTGTGTTGGATCTTTCATTAATTGAACCTACTTATCAATGGTCATTAGAATTCTATATCATATTATTCGAAAGAGCAATCAGGGAATCAATTTAAGGAAAGGAGAATAGAAGCAAAAATATAATAGATAAATTTTAAATATCTTTATATGAGAGTATCTGCAGATCTCTATTAGAGAAAGATAAATTGATCTTCTCCTTCTTGATGACAATGAAAGTGATGTAAAGTGATGGAAAAATCACTCCTTAAGAGATTCGTTTCACTATGGTGGGAGGAACCTACACAGATCCCACATATCATCATCCATAATAGGCAGAATGGATTTCTAAGAAGATGTGGTGTTTAATAACTGAAGCAGCAGATGTATTGGCATGCTTCAAAGGGTTGCCTGAATCAATTACCAAGAATCTAGATGCATGGCAGGAGATTTATGATAGTTCTGAACCACAAACTTAAAAGTTACCAGAACCATGGGCTACAAATCTATCAGCCTATTAGAAATTAATAATCTTGAGAATTATCAGGCCAGATAAATTCGCTAATGCAACACAGAATCTAATTATTACAGAAATGGGTAAGTAATTCATGGATCCTCCTCCTTTCAATTTGGAATATGCCTATAAAGATGCAGATGCATTCACACCTTTGATTTTCATTTTATCTCCTGGAGCAGATCCCCGTTTGGAAATATAATCTTTGGCAGACAAATTTGGATTTAGATAAAACTTTATACCACTCTCTTTGGGTCAGGGATAAGGAGAAATCGCAACTAATGCAATTAAAGGAGCTGTAAAGGATGGTAAATGGGTATTGTTATAGAATTGCCATCTTGCTCCCTCGTTTATGCCGGAATTGGAGAGAATTCATGAATAGGAGATATGTGCTAAGCCAGACGTGAATACGGATTTCAGAATATGGTTAACTTCAATGCCATCTAATGTATTCCCTGTGACTCTTTTAATGAAAGGTATTAAGATGACTTATGAGCCACCCAGAGGATTAAAAAATAATATGCTAAGAAACTTCTCATCAATTGACAATAAAAGTTTTGAGTAATGTAAGAAACCAGTGGAGTGGAAAAAATTATTCTTTGGATTAAACTTCTTCCATGCTGTTTGTTTAGAAAGACGTAAGTATGGACCTCTTGGTTGGAACATTCCTTATGAGTTTACATCTGCAGATCTGGCAATATCTGTATCTCAATTAAGAAATTTCCTTGATACATTTGAAGACATACCTTGGGAGGCTCTCAATTATATGGTAGCTGAAGCCAATTATGGAGGTAGAGTTACAGATCCCAAAGATAGAAGATTAATTGCCATTCTGCTCAAATAATTCTATACAACTGATGTATTATAGATTGACAAACATAAATTGAGTCCAAGTGGTACTTATTATATTCCTCCAAATGGAGTTCTAGAAGACTATAAAGAGTATATTAGAAATTTACCTTTAAATGATTAAACTGAAGTATTTGGACTACATGACAATGCAGAAATCTCATCAGCCATTATTGAAACAAATTTCATAACATCGACAATATTATCATTACTTCCAAGATCAACTGGTGGTTCAGGAGCATCTGCGGAGGATCTTATAAAAGAAAAGTGCAAATAGATTCTAGCTAAATTGCCTAAAAGATTCAATGTTGAAGAGGCTGCTCGTAAACATCCAGTTTAATACAATTAGAGTATGAACACTGTATTGCAATAAGAATTGATTAGATTCAATAAATTATTATAGGCAGTTACACAATCTTTGATTGACTTAGGCAAGGCAATTGATGGTTTGGTTGTGATGAGTGCAGACTTAGAACAAGTTTTCAACAAAGTGTTTGATAATCAAGTTCCTGATATTTGGCATAAGGTGGCTTATCCATCACTTAAACCCCTAGGTTCTTGGATTAATGATTTTATTGAAAGGTTGCACTTTATGCAATTATGGATAGACAATGGTGCACCACCTACCTTCTGGGTGTCTGGGTTCTTTTTCACTTAGTCCTTTTTAACTGGAACTCTGTAGAACTTTGCTAGGAAGGTATTTAATTATTTAATCATCATTAGTACTAAATTCCAATTGATACATTGTCCTTTGAATTTATAGTGATCCCCCCTTCATCTCAAGAGTATGATCTTACTAAACCACCTGATGATGGATGTTATGTTTATGGTTTGTTCCTTGATGGTGCGAGATGGGATGAAGAAAACAGATGTCTTAATGAAAGTCTGCCCAAAATTTTGTAATATTCAGTGCCATATCTCTGGTTATTGCCAAGTGAGGAGAAGAAGGATTGGGATGCTGATACATCTGTAAGAATAATTCTAATTTTCAATAGGTTTATGAATGTCCGGTTTACAAGACTTCCAGAAGAGCAGGAACTCTATCGACCACTGGTCATTCAACCAACTTTGTTATATCTATATATCTACCAATATCCCCTGATCATCATCCCTACCATTGGGTCAAAAGAGGAGTTGCAATTCTCTGCTAGACAGATGATTGAATTAATGTTTTGAAATATAAATTAAAACTTAATTATTTATGGAAGAATAAACTTAAGAACGTTTATCCTAATTGCAAGAAATCTTAGCTCTTGATGATGTCCCCAAAATTACTAAGAAGCTAACCAAATTGGGAATCTCCTATTCTGAATTACTCTAATAATTGGTTGAAACCAATCATAATTAAGGCATTCAAATCTTATAATCATACTCCAAAAACTTTACAGAAATCAAAGGAAAATCACTAGTCGCATTAATCTTGTATCTCTCCACTTAAGAACCAAATATTGAAGCAATCTTATAAGCTGATAGATTATTACAGTCCACTCAATATGTAGGCAGCTTTGTAAAGAACTACGAAAAAGCTATTGTTGATGAGAGTCCCTTCAGTCAACAAATCATCAACCATATTATCGAAAACAAAACGAATGTCCCTAACTTCAATTTAGTCTTTGATAAATTATTTCAATTATGCCAATCCAAGTAATTTAAGAACATCCAAGAATTTTAAAACCTAATGAACACTTAGAAGGACGTAGTTCTGATAATTGACAAGCCAGTGATAAAGATCTTCCCTTTGACTCCTAGAATCAAGTCTGAATATTTGCCTAAACATCTGTAAATTAAGAAAACATAGAATGCAATTTCTAAATAAGAAGAACTACGATCAATGTAAAAAAAAAAGATCATGACCAAAAAGAAATTAATGAGGGAACTCTATAAGGAGTAAAATTAATTGCATAAAATTAAAAAAGACAAACTTCTTCATCAACTTGATAAACAAAAGGATGGATATAAAAAGTAATATTAGTTTTAATGGCTTTAGAGGATTGAGATTGTTGGAAGAGCAATAGATGGAATTAAAAAAACTCAAAACTATGCAATTAAATATAAAGAGACATAAGAAGAAGTCTTCTAGAAAGGGGGGAAATAAACAATGAAATATTTGTTAATATTATTAATTATGAAAAAATTTCTTTCGGTCATAAAGAACGTGACAGATCCTGAAAAAATGGCCAAGTTTGGAGCATAGAAACTGGAAAACTTTGCTGATTACTTAGATCCCAATAATGAGAAGTCCTCTCAACAAATTCCGTTTATGGTAATAGCCATAAATAAAATTTATTCTAGATCACCCGATAAATGAAATACGATCTTATGGAATTGGGTTACAATTATGATGACATCAAAAAAATGACTCCAACTTATGCCAGCAATCTGCTGTCAAATCAAATTTAAAAAAAATAGAAGTGATTTATTATATTCTCACATAAAAAAATTACGATTTTTTTACTTTAATAATCTAGGCTCAAAAGAAACTTTTTTTTAAGAATTAGACTAAGTAACTTTTGGCACCGATTTATGAGATTTTGATTTATTAGTCTTTAGAATGCTTCTTATCGTTTGTGTATCTGAGCCAGCTTAATTTTTATTCAAAATAACAGAACAGTCATCCAACACCTCCTGATGGATTGAGTTTTAGGTTACACTTCTATTCATTTTCATCCCTTTTTCTGTTTACTTTTTTTCCAACATAGATTCCTTCAATTCACGTTCCATCGTAACTTGTTGTTCCTAAGTCTTCTATTATTATTAGTCTGATATCAGAGTAAATGGAATCGCTTTTTACCCTTAGGTTTTTTTTTTTGGAATCTCTTGAAAATTCAGAATTATTTCCAAATAATTCATTTCATAAGTTTCTTCAGCCATGTTTGAATGACAATTAGGTTTTACCAGAGGAAATTGTTTGTCTGGCTGAAATTTCATAAGTTTTTTAATAATTGGATAGTTAAGGCTCCCATCACATCTAGATTATCTTTTTATGCAAACAGTCCCCATTTATGAAATTATAAAATAATCAAATAAGAATATAATTGTTTTCCTTGTTTTGTCAAAAATTCATTTAGAACGAAAATAACAGGGAAACCCTTATCCTTTTTGAAATGTACTACTTTTAACTAAATTTCAAAACTCTTACAAAGACTAATAAGTATTTTCTATTAATATTACCATTTCGCCAATTATTTAATGAAAACCAAATAACTCTCTCCTATTTTAACTCAATCAAGAGGGTTCAACATTTTTCAATTACATGAACAACAACACATAGCAATTCCCTTAGATATGCAAAATGAATTGACAATAAAACTCTTAATAATTTATTTTGATAAAATCTGAAAAAGTAGATTTATTTTTGATATCCAGAACAGTAATCTAATTCATCTTTCTAGTTTTTAACAACTAAATGTAGCTATTGAGTATCTATTTATGAAGAATACAAAAACAATAAAAATTGAATTTAATTTTAGTAAGATTGTTATACTCTATCTCATTAATAGAATGGAGCTATTGCATTTATTCATTCATTTAATTTGGGAATTTAATTATGACTGAAAGACACAAATCCTAAATTTGAAATTGGCTGCTTATATATTACTGGGCATAAATGATATACATTCTAAAAAACTTTATTTTTAATTTGATTTCAATTCGTATGTATTTCTCTAGATCTATATCGAAATTAATTAAAAAGTTTATAAATTTATTCATGAGTGATCACGAAGAGAACGACGACAAAGAGCAACAAGAAGAGACTACTTCAAATCCACCTAAATTTGAAGACTATTCCGATGTATGAAAAGAGTGATTATTTAGATGGATAAAACTCAAATTCCTATCTTTGAAAAGAACGCAGGAACAGAATGCTTTAAAAAAGGGGATTATTTTGAAGCCACACGTCATTATGCTAAAGTACAATATCGACTTAAATGAAGGCTGTAATGGCGTATTAATTTTTGATTAAGGATGGAGTGGTGAATGATCCAGAAGAAATGCAAAAATTGACCTAAGAGATATATGTAAGTAAATTATAGATATATTTCGTAGCTTCCTTGCAATCTCAATCTATCCCTTTGCTACATTAAGTAAAAGGAATATCAAATGGGGAAGGATTTTGCTAATAAGGCATTAGAAGTTGAAGCCAGCAATATTAAGGGTTTATATAGAAGAGGAGTTTGTTTAATGAACTTGTAAGAGGTATGCAATAATACAAGTGATTAGTTTAAAGCAGCTGGAGAGGACTTTAAAAGAATATTGGAAATTGATCCAAATAATGATGATGCGAAATAGGCTTGGGAACAATTATTAAAAAAGAAAGAGTAGATTAAGTAGAAGCAGAAGGCAATAAGCGAGAAAATGTTAAACAGTTTGAGCTATGAGGATAAAATTTAGAGTCAGAAAAAGAATGAAAAATAAGGCTGGTTTAGAGAAAAGTATGATTGGTTAAAATAGATATTGTGTGTTAGAAAGAAGGCAAAAAAAAATTGATGGCTCTTTATTAGTTTTAGAGAATAATAAATAATACTCATTAATTAATGTTGTCATTCTTATTTTGATTAAAATAAATATTCATATTATAGATGTTTTAGAAAGTTGTAAGTTGGTTTAGAGAGCTATTTTTCGGAAAAGAGTTAGAGATTGCTTTGGTAGGATTATAAAATGCAGGCAAAACCACTCTGGTTAATACAATGGCTACAGGCAAGTTCGAGGAAGACACAATCCCAACAATAGGGTTTAACTTTCGATCTGTGAAGAAGGGAAAAGTGTAAATGAAGATGTGGGATGTCGGAGGATAAGCAAGGTTTCGAGAATAATGGGAAAAATATTGCAGATCAGCAGATGTAATCATTTTTGTTGTGGATGCACAAGATTAAGGAAACTTAGACATAGCTCGGTAGTAACTTAATTAGCTAATTTCTTGGCCTAGTTTAGAAGGGATCCCCCTATTAGTATTAGGAAATAAATATGATCTACAAGGATGGTAACATCTATCTCTATATTTCTAGTATTACAGAATAAGAGCTAATTACATAGATGAATTTAAATTCAATTAAAGATAGATTGGTTGCATGCTATAGTATTTCAGCCAAAAAAAATACAAACATTGACGAAATGCTAAAATGGTTGTCCAAAATCTAAAGAAAAAATAAATGATAATAATATTTGTTAATCTAAATTCATTATTGATATATTGCTGATTGTTCTTTTGATGTTTATAACAAATCCATCTATTCAATTAAACAACCCTAATCTCAATATAAAAAATCTATCTGAATCTTATCTCACATGAATTGTGTCATTAATTTGGTATACGTTTTTAGTTATTGTATTCCAAATTTCAGAATAATGTACTAACATATAAGTCTTAATAACTTTGATAAACATCTGAATAGATGAAAAACTTATTATATTATATTCACATTATATTTATAATGCTATTAATATTACTCTCTTTAGTGTGTGCTAAAAGAACTACAGGTCCTGTGTATAAAAAGCTATTTGAACAGATATCTGATACAAATTATGTCCACAATATTGATTCCACATTATTACTCTAATACAATAGGTATTGGATACTAATTACATTTTAAGCTATCCTGGAGTGTATAGTATGGAATTGAGTGGACTTATGGATGGAGAATTCAAACCAATCCAATAAAATGTTACTCTTGATCCATTCACTCTACCAGGATGTCATTAATATCAAAGAAGATTAATTCATAAACATTTAGCTGATCAATAAATTGAGTCAGAAGAATCATCTTTCACTGATATGTACATTGATGGTGATGCTGTTTTTGTCACAAGAAATGATAATGCACTGTTTTAATTTGAAATCAAACTTGATGTAGAAAATAGAAAAATTGTAGGCTTAGAGTTTAAAGAGAAGTACGAAAATGGAGGTTTTAGCCAACAACATTAACTTATTTGTTATAATAAAGTTTGCTTAATCTTAGGAGAAGAAGGTTAAACCTTTATTTATAAAGACAATAATACTACCTAAGTTAACTTAACCTCTATAATTGGTGAATTTAGGGATTTTCCCAAAGATGTTTACTTTGATGAAAAATCTAAGCTAATCTATATTTGTTATGAAAACTCATTTGTGGATGTGTTGCAATTCACGAATGATAAGAGTATCGAAAAAGTGAAAACGATAACGGCTGGTTAGAAAATAGTCTAGATTAGAACGAATCCTGAAAGCACTATTCTCTACCTACTTGATTAGTAGGTGGGATTGCTGTCTTATAAGATTGTCTCTGTATTAGAATATATTTAAAATTCTTTTTAAATTACCTTACAGAATTGCATGGCCTTCGACTTTTATTAAAATACATTCTTCATAGTGGCTGAAACCTAAGATAGCATTCCTTATGCATTGGAGGTCTTATCGGAAGATGATAGATATTATTTCAATAAAATTTATTCTAAAGACATGGACATTTATGATGTTTGGGTGGGAGAACACTTTGCAATCCTCATTGGAGCTGAGATTCACAGAGTCATCTATCATTCTGTTTATAATAAATTTGTTGAATAAACCGAGATTCCTTTATTCTTCTAAGATGTAAACCTAGTTAATGTGGAAGAATATAAAAAGTGGGATAACACTTCGTATACTGAACAAGCTATTGAATAAGAACCATTTTAAGGAATTCCTTTAGTTTATAAATAATCATTCATGGTAGGGATTTCTAGCAATTAAATATCAGTTTTCTCCATCAAGTCATTATTACCTTGGGTTTAATGTAAACCAACTAGCACAAATGATACAAAATATAGTTTAAAAATGAATTCAACATCTTGTTTATCTAAGCAAAAAGAAAATGATCATACAGCATTTAAATAATGTGTTATCTTACATAATTTCACCATTACAGGAAAGGAGATTCTTTTTTATGAAGAGGATCAAAAAACAATAATAATAGTTGGATGCATTTTAGTGTATAAATATATATGTAATCAATTTTAGTGGACTAGTCATTTTATTAATATTGTTAGCAGTGGTTGCAATTGTATATGGAAATTACCGTATTAATTATTATAAGAATCTCCCTCACGTAATACTTGATGAGCAAGAACTTTAGAATGTTCAAGTAGAAAATCCTGAAAATTGATAATTTTTATTTTTTTTAAAATTAATAGGTAACAAACACTACAAAAACATGTACAAATATATGAATTCTCTAATATAGTTATTTTTTCAATATCAAAAGTTAGTTATTTTAAAGCCAGAAATTATAAAAACATTTCTAAATAAACAGAAAAATAAATAATTTTTTAAAAATGCTATCGAAAATTCTAATATTTTGTCCTATCATCTGATAAGTTAGAACCACTTGATTCAAGCCTCTACTCTGAATCATATATTAATGATAGCATTTAAATTTGAGCAAGTAGAAAGTAAAGAAAAACTCTTAAATAACATCAAAGAAAACTGATTTTTTGATCAAATACATTAAATGCAGTTGATAATTAGGCAATAATCAACTCGAATCTATCAGCAAAAAACTGTAAGTGAAAATGGATAAATTATAAGATTATAAGAGATCTAATTTAGTTATAATCATTTTTAAGCATATCATTTTGATATTCGATATCAAGAATCATTACAATCGACTATTATGTTGATAATCAAATCATTTTCGTTGAATTTCACTTTTGATATTTATTCTACCATGGAGAAGATATCAAATGTTGCGAGATGACAAATGCTATTATCTATTGTTAAAGAAAATATTACTAGTGTTTCATTAATTCAATATGATTCGATATTTGCTTTTTTGAAATATACAATAAAGAAAGCTAAAGGGATTACAAAAATTAGAGAGTTATAAAATATTATAAAACTCAAAAATTATACAATGAACATGTAGAATTATAAAATTTTAATTCAAATCAAAGAACTATTAGTGGATAAATCATATTCTACATGAAGCAAAACTTATAAATCCTTACTGCTCTGAATAAGTACAATCATTATTCACAGAGAGTCGCCAAATCAAATACATTATTAAGAAGATTTTCAATTAGTATATACACTTTAATCGGCAATATAAATCATATTTGAGATAAACATTAAAATCTTAAATCACAACAAAATGAGACCTTTTTAGAATTAATTTAATATATATAAATGAATTAAAACATAAATTTATTTATTTTCAGAATATTTTTTTACCTTAAAATTGTTGAGAGTATGTAGATGTCCTTGGAAAGGCAACTATTTATAATTAAATATTACTTTATAAATCATAATCCTAAGTAATTTCACATGATTAATTTTATGATTATAAAAAATCAAACCTTAATCGATAAGGTTATCGACGTCTTGCGCTACGATCAGGAAGATAAGAGACCTTTGCAATGTAATATAATCAATTATAAAAGTATTTTTACAAAAACTTGATTTGTTTAGTTAACACATTGGGCTGTTAATGCCTAATTTAAAACTAATCTATTTTGATTTAGTCGGTCAGAGTGTAGACTGTGAAAGGCGAGTTTATTTATTTCTGAAAGGAAAAGTGAGCCACGATGGTATTCTAATTTTAGAAAGCTGTTAAATCCTAAAACCTACTATAATGCGTATTGTTTATCTTTATTAAGTAACTTTTAGCAGAACTCTTTATAATCAGATTGTTTAAATGAATAGATAAAAGGAAATTGAAGCTAAATTAACCTTTTTAATTCAATTCTCATTTTTTTCTGGAATGTATTTGAGTTCTATCTATGCAATTCTTGATCAAATTCCTCTCAAAACTTATCAATATAAAACAAATCTCAGTCATGTTTTACCTGGAATAATTTGCATTATAAAATCAGGGTATCAACTCCTTATCAAACTAGATCAGTTGTACTCCAGTCTAGTTAGGGACCATTTCACAAATAATTGTATCAAATTTAATCATAGTAGTTTAATAATAACGGAAAAAGATATATTTGGAGAGTCACATTTTGTGGATGAGGATAGCAAAATTAATTTGAAAAAGTCTATCATTCATCAAAAATACTATGAAGCGATTTGCAATTCCTAGGTAGTAGAGTTGTATTTATTAAATGTATCTGAATTAATTCATACAATAAATTCATAATAATTGAGAGTAAATTATAAATTCATATTTAGCTGTTCTTGTAAAAAAAATTTAGACAGAGAATTGTGTAATTAAGATCAAGTGTAGAATAAAATTAATCCTTCTCGAAACCTTTGTAATAATAATAATAGATTTAATCCCAACAAAGACTGAGAACAAAAACCTAAACTTCAGATTCATAATACGAATAATTAAAATAAAAAGAGACAGCTGCCATTGATAAAGTAAAAGAAGTAGTCAAAAATATGAATTTCTCTTATTCAAGAACAAGAAATTATTTTGCTTCAAAATTAGGAGCTGGGAACATTATGTTTCATAAGGCTTTTATGTATGAGTATACTCCTCATTATACTAAAAAGTAAAGATAGTCATCTTTGTCAACAGCGGTGAAATAGAAATTAAGCTAGAGAACAGAAAGGTGCAAAACCATGTCTAATATAGAGATGAGGACAACTATGCTCTAAAATTCCTTTTGCAAGAATTAATTTGATCTAAAAGAAAAATAATCAAAACAAAATATATTTGATTGATAAAAGTTGCTAAATGTTTATGTTGAAATAATAAAAATTGTAATTCTAATTTTCATTTTGCTTTTTGTAGAAATTAGTCTACAGTTTCTAAACCAGGTTGAGATTATATAACTGGACTTTGTTCTTGTTCCTTCTTCATTATCTTTGGCAAAGGAGGCTTATTAATTTATTGTTGTTAATTTTCAGGTGATTTTGAATTAGATTTTCTATGATCTTCAATTTTTACCGTCTTTTTTTCAAGTGTTTACTTTTTAACTTTTCTCAGATTTGATTTCTTTTAATTTTCTTCTGTTTTTATCTTAATTGAAATTATTGGTTATTCGATTACATCAGTTTTCACATTAACACTTTAATTAATTTTTTATTATAACTCATTTTTTCCTTTGTCTCTATCAATCGATCTGTTTTAAGCATAATGCCTTTGATACCTCTAGGATAAATCTTTTGATGTCTTTTAAGGATAATTAGGAATAAAGTGATTATTTTATTAGGAATGTTTAACCAATAAGTCTTATTACTTTTGCCACTCTTCAACTTTTCGAAATGATTACTGTTTAATATAATATTGCTGGTCTTGATTTAGAGGTCTAGATGAAAGCAATTCTTGGGGATTATTCACAGCACTGTTCTAATTATTTCTAGAATTAGATGCACTTTGTTTGAAAATTGTAAAAGAGTTATAAGTATAATTGTTCACAAATCTTGTGAATATGAATCATATATGATACTAAGCATCCTATTTAACCATCATTTGATATAGTTCGATTGGGTTCATGATTAATCGTAATAATTAAAATAATTATAATTGATCAGACTTTCCAGTTATTTTACTTTCCCCATTTTTTAATGGCTGTTATTATGTATTTAGCCTTAGGGTTGTCCCCCAGAGTGGTCAATAGGTTCATAACCTCGAACAACTAATCATGATAAAGGTACTCCATTTCATAACAATCATTTGCTATAAGTTACAGAATTTAGAATCATAATTATGTTGGATTAATTTAGCATATGCAAACCATAACTTAGGTTCAGAATGTTGATTATTAGCACTTGTTTTTCTGAATATAAAATACTAATATTCATTCTCTAATAAAGCAAATGCTCCGACCCAATCTCTATTTTTTACATAGTCTTCAAGTGTTGGAATATTTTTACTCAACTAATTTTACTGCTAATCTTCCTCCTCCTGGAGCAGGGACTTTTGATTGCTTAGCTTTACTAATAGATGAACCAGGATGTATCATGATCTTTTTTTAATTAATTTTAAATATATATTGTCTCTATTTAAGTAACCTTATTTACTTTCATTATAAATCCATTGTTATTACCTATATATATATCTCCTTTAACAGAATTCATCATATATTAGAAGTAAATTAAGTGCTCTTAATCATATTGCTTTAAATTTAAGTTTAATAAAAATTAATGCAAAAGCTATACTAATCCTTTGAAAGCGAAGCCTAAAATATCCAGAAATTAATAAGCAATTACCAAGAGAAGTTATAAGGAAAATTTTAGGGAATGATTGAGAAATCAGAAGCAAAAAAATAAAAACTTCTCGAGAAAATGCAAACAACTAAAGAACAACTATAAATTAGTATTGACAGAAACAATCCATCTAAAATATTTAAGCTTTAAAACAAGATTGAAAAATTAGAAGCTGAAATGTCGAAAGTTAATCGAAAAGATTAAATCGCTAATGATTTTCATTTAGTGTACGATGGACTATTTAATCAACTCTAAATTACTCAAAATCAGAACATAGAAAAACTTACATAAGCTTAGAGAGATGATAATTATTAAATATTATGTTCCATTAAAAGATAAGCAATAAACTTGTCAAATCAAGTCTATAAAAAGAAACACCTCGAACCTATTAGACAAATTTGCCATCATTGCAATACTGTAACTTTGTTATTCATTTGTTTAGCTTTTAAATTAATATCTTAAATTCGGTGTTGATAAAAAAATATAATAACCTGATATATTTGCAATTGATATTGAATAGGATAAACAATTTGTTGAAAAGAAGAAGTTCGAAGAAGAAAGAATCTTTTAAAAATAGGAAAGACAATAGTAATATCAAGATCAAAAGGCTCAAAGTAGGGTTGATAAAAAAAATAAAAAATAGAGGCAAGAATCTAATTTGTATCTAGAAAAAGAATAGAAAAGAAATCTTAAATAATAAGAATAATATGAAAATAAAAAATAATACAATTACAATAAATCTAATTATAAAAAATATCAAGAAGAACCCTATGATATCAAACAAAATTCTGAGGTTAATGTGATTAAATAATTTGATAATGTAAAAATTGAAGATCAAAAGTAAAACAACTAAAATGTCATATAATAAGTACAAAATAAATAAGAAACTGTAACAAATCTAGATGATTCTAACTTATGCTAAATTTGTTTTGAATTTCCTAAATAATATGTGGCTACACCATGTGGACATTTTGTATATTGCCAAAATTGTAAAGATCTGGCAGTAAAAGAGTGTTTAATTTGCAGAGAACCTGTATAATTGTTGATCAAGGTTTTTTAATGATAAATTTTAAATATCATCAAATTCATTGCTTTATTGAACTGAAATTTTATAAATGAGGAAGTTTAGTTTTTGCCTCAATTCTAGTGTCTTTCATCTTAAGAAATCTTCTTTTGTATTTCTTTTGAATAAAACCAAGTTTTTCATAAAATCGTTTTAAATGTGGACAATTATCTCCGCATTTTGCATGTACTTATTTCATTTTAACCATATAATCTCTAAACTCCTCTTGCGAAATGTTTTCGTTACCTATTTATGATAATAACATTACCTTGTTTTCCTAAAGCATTTCTTACTTATCTAATTAGTTCTCCCATGCCTCCAGATTTATTATTAACCATTTTATTATATAATTTATCAGCTTGATCTTGTTCAGGTTCCTCATCATCCAAAGTATCAAGTGATTTTTATGATTCAGCAGAGGCCGGTCTTTATTATTAGTTTGGAATTTCTTCCTAAACTTCTTACTATTAAATGAATTGCTATTAAGTTTATTGAAGCTTCTATTATTTATTAGTTTTAATTTATTGCTTTAATGAAACCCAATTTTTAATTTACTCAATTTTAGTTTTATCTAAGCCTAAATCATATAAATATTATAGGACTTAATCCATTGACATTTTACCATCATTATATGTACCCTCTGTTTATGTAGCTTTTTAATCAGTGCCTAATTTAGCAATTTTGGTTGTTCTTGTTCCATCAGCTGCAATAGTAGTTTCTTCAACAATTAAATTACCATTTTTATCAGCTCTAACCCTCTTGACACTTTTTTCTATCTTTCCATCAGCTCCAACCTTAGTTTCTTCAATAAATTCTTCTCCATTCTTGTTTTTCTTTTTCTTTACTATAATTTTATTTCCTTATGCATCCACAGTCTCTATTTCTGTTATTATATTTCCATCTTTATCAACTGTTTATTTGACGACTGTTTTCGAACCATCAGCATTAGTAGTGACAGTTTCTGTAATTTCAGCTCCATCCTTACCCTTTGTCACTTTTGTTTTTACAACTTTCTTATTTCCTTATTCATCTACAATGACTTCCTCTTTAACTTCTGCCCCTCCTTCTTTGTATATCTTCCTCTGTACATTTAATTTTTATCCATTCTCATAAACAACTTCATTTTCAATTAAATTACCTTCAGCATCTTATTATACATTCTTTTCTTAATTTACAATAGATCCGTCTTTGTTTTAAATTTACTTTTAGACTGTTTCTCTTCCAAAAGAGTCCTTAACTGTTTTTATCACTACTTTTTAACCTGTTTTTGCATCAATTCTTTCTTCTTCAGTGACCACGTTGCCTTTTGCATCTCTGTAAACCTTTTTCTTTACAACAGTTATATTTCCATTCACATCAACAATCTCTTCTTCAATTGCTTCAGTTCCATCTTAATTCTTAACTTTTCTTTAAATTGTTACAGATCCATCAGCATTTTAAATTTCAACTTCTTCTACCCCATCCTTAATTCTTGTTTTCTTTATTATTTTGTTTCCTTGTGCATCAAAAGCAACTTCTTCCACAACAGTAATCCCATTTTCCTAGTATATTTTTTATTCCTTTGTAGCAACCTTTCCATTTTTATCAATTATTTATTGTTCAATTATATCCTAACCATATTCATTCTTTCTCTTTGTAGTAATGACCTTATTTCCTTTTGCATCTATTCTTTCTTCAACTACAACTTCATTACCATCACTATCAATATAAACTTTTCTTTTCACTTTGGTTTTGTTTCCTTTTTCATCAATGAGCTCTTCCTCAATAATTTCATTTCCATCTGCATCTTTATACGCTTTTTATCTTTTGGTAATTTTGTTACCCTTTTCATCCACTGTCACTTCTTCTACTACATCTACTCCATCTTTATCCTTTACAGTTCTCTTTGCAACCTTTAACTTCTTGCCATCTGGCATAACATACTCTTCTTCCACATATTCAACTCCATTCTTATCCTTTTTTATTCGCACTTACTTAATTCTTTTTTGTTTTTATCCGTTCTCATCAACATATTCTTCTTCAACTTCAAATCTTTCCTCATCACCATCATTTCCTTATAACTTTCTTACCTTTTTTCCTGTTTTATCTTCAAACCATTCTCCTTGTTTTATTTCCTTTCCATCTTTAGCTACTGGTTTGGAAGGCAAATTTATTTTGGATCCTCCAATTGCGAATCCACCATGCGCCTCTAAGAAATCTTGAGTTTGTTTTGATTATTGAATTTGGTTTGGCTTATCTCGTTTTCTTAACTCTTCTCCTTATGCATTTACAACAACCTCTTCTTCCACTTCCATTTCTTCCTCAACCCATTCTCCATCACTCTTTTATCTTTTTACCATCTTTTTAACTTTTCTAATAACTATCTTTTCATCTGGATTTAAAAATTCTGGATCAAATAGAGCATCATAAAATGGTACTTTAGCTAATTTTTATTTCCTTGTCATTTCATCCTTTTTTACTCCTCTTGTTATAGCTCCAATGTCAGATCCACAAATTTATTTAAATATTGGGTCTCTTAATAAGTCATCCACCGCCATTAACTCTTTCATCTCTTAAACATTTAACTTTTCATTCAAGTTCACTTTAAACAAATTCTCTGCTTAACCCAATATAGCTTTCTTTTATTCCTCACTTAAATTTGGATTGTTTGATATGAACAGCTTGAATCTTTCAAAATTCCTATTCATTTCTTTTTCCAATGCTGCAATATTATCCAATAAGTTCTTAATCCTAAGCTTCATTTTTATGTTATCCTCCACCAATCTTTTTATTTTTTCAGAATCATTTTTATTTAACACAGCTTATTATTCTTATTGTTGTTTATCTTTTGCTTTCTTTTCTTCTTATTGCTTCTCCTCCAATTTCTTTTTTTCTAAAGTCACTTTTTATACTTAACCATTAAGAACTCCTACTTATTAAGCATAGGCGTCTCTCTCTATAAGAGTGTCTTTTATTCGTTTCTCCAATTATATCATTTTCTACTGAACTTCGTGATTTTCTTTTCTTTATTTGTCAAGCTTATCCTAATACTCTTACTCCATTTTTGTTCTATCTGTCTGCATAGAGATTTCTTGCATATAAACCAACACACCATTTTTCATTATTGCCTTACCAGCTTTGATATCAGCTAAAGCCTTTTCTTGAGCCTATTTCTACATTCCTTAGATTCCTTCAACAAAAGCCCCTTCCAAACTTTTCAATTAATTTTACTGTTGTTTTTATAATTCTTCAAATTGTTAAACTGCTTCATCTTCTGCATCATTTACTTCATGCTTCTTTTTGCCAAGATCCTTTAAGACTTCCTTCAAATTTGTTTCTGCCTTTGATTCTCCTACTGCTTACAAATCTATTTTCCTATTCTTCAAAAACTCAGTAATTTGTTAAGAGTCTTAGTCCAATTCTTCTTACATTCCCTTCAGTTCCATTTCCTTTTTAAGTAGATTTGCCTAATTTCTTGCATCTTTTATATCATCTCCTGTATCAGTTCCCTTATCAGCATAAGTCTTTCTCACAGTTTTCTAAAATACTCAATTTCCTTACTTTAACTATTGGCTATAGTTACACCATTTAATTTGCTAACTTATTTGTTTCCTAACTCTATTAGGCAGATTAATCCACTGATCTTATCTATAAAATAAATAAGTTACTTTCTTCTCGGCTAACCGATATTTTTTTACAAAGTCTCTAACATCTTATCTGCTTGAACTTCAAAATTAGTATTCAGTCTAATATTTCATTTATTTGTTACTTTAAGATATAATTTAAAATCATATTCTAACCATTATAAATTTTATTGAGAGATTATCTTAATTCAGATAACTTGGCACTTTCAAGCATCTCTGATATTTCATATAAAACGATCTAATAGATCTCATGAGTAGTTTTCATGATCTCCACTAATTTAGGTTTAGTAATCTCTTTTTATTTCTTTTTAAAATCATTATCAATTTTTGATAACAATTTGTCTAGTTTGGCTATTTTCACTAGGTCTAATTCACCATATTCTTTTCCAGCCCCAGTTGGATTGTCTATTTAAGAATATCGATAATCAGTTGCCATTTTTTATAAATAATATATAAAAATTCTTCTAAATGATGAAAATGATGACTGAAATAATTTTGGGAAGAATTAAGATAAATAATTAATAATTAAAGATGCTAGCTATTCTTGATGCTTAAACTCAAGTGTATAATAAACTCATAATATCCTATAGAATTTTAATATTTATATTTAACTAATCAAATTTTCCTATGTTAATCTATTTTTTCTCCCCATCTTTTTTCTAATCTTTCCAAATTTTAAAGAGTTTCATCGTATTTTCTCTTTAAAATTGAATACTCTTCAATCTTTTCTTAATATTCTCTTTATTTTCTGTTTAGCTCATTATTCAACGAATTAATCTTTTAAGTTAAGGCTAAGTTTTCTCTTTGAATGCTCTCTAATTATGATTACATATCTTATTATCTAAACATAGACCCTTAAGATTAAATAATTATAATTACTTCTACTATCCTCAACAGCATTCTTCTTTTGTAATTGCTCCTTTCTTGCTTCCTCTAAACCCAAATGCAATTATTCTGTTTCTTCCTTTCTTTTTTTTAACAAATCCATCAAATGGATTTATTCTTGTTTGGCCTAAGATAATTCATTTTTTAAACTATTAATAGTAGCTTACAATTAGGTAGTTGACATATTATTCTTAAGCATTTCCTCTTACATATTGTAATTGACACTTCTGATTTTTTCCATTTCCATTTTCAAAGATTCAATAAGATCTGTTTTCTATTATAAATCCTACTAATATTAATATTCCCTTTATTCAAAATCATAATATGAAAGGGCATTTCTTTTGTCTAAAATCTTCATCTATTATTCCATATTTTATTTTAATTCATTTATTTCATTTTCTTTAACTTCTATGGTTTCTTCTAATTGAATTCTTAGGTTTTTTGACTTTCTCTCCAAATCATTAATATTTTCTTATTATACTTTCTTTTAAACTTCGTATTAATCTTTAAATGCGCTCATCTCTTCAATTAAATCTATAACCTACTTTTCTTTTTCTTTAGTTTTAGATATTTGCATTCCTAAAGCTTCATTCAAATCATAAATCTAATTTTTTGTTTCTTACTTAGTTTACCTTAAATTAGTTTCTAAAATTTCAATCTCTTATCTAAATTAGAACTCTTATTATTTGTAGTTATCCAATTATTTGAGGAGTTATTATGTTGATATTTGGTACTATTAGAGTTACTGACTCTGTTAATCATTTTACCTTTATATTTATTGTAATTTTTCTGAAACCTTTTTATTTTCATTTATCATTCCATTTATTTCATTTCTTGATAACTCTAATTATTTCTCACTTGTAGTTAGTTCATCCTATATTTTATTCTTTTTTGAATCTAAAGTCTTGAATTCTGTTAATAATTTATCATAATCTGCCTTTGCAGATGTTAATTTATCATCTAATCCCTTTTATACAATTTAGTAATTTTAAACTGAAGACTAAAAATCTCTTTCAATTTCTTTTTTTTATTTGTTAGTTTGATTAAGATCTAGTTCCTTTTATTGCAAACTAACTCTCAATTACTCAAGCTAACTCTCTAAGTTATAGCATAGTTGTTGAAAATGTTCTTCAGACTCTGCTTTCTCTCTTAATGTTGATTTAACTTTTTCCTCTAATTGATTAATAACGGAATTCTTTTAATCCAATTATCTTGAATCTACTTGATTGTGTGCAACTTCAGCCTTGAGATTATCATTCTCAATTTATAATTAAAACAGTTTTAATTCTAATTATTCATTTTATTTTGATTGTTTTTAGACATTATTTACAGATGGGGATCTTAAAATTGAAGGGGATTTAGTCATATCTCTTTAGTAAAAACTTTTTTCTTAGACTGCCTGTTTGTATTTAAATTCAAGCGATTCATATTCAGTTTATAAATTTTGATATTTTGTTCTCAACTCTCTAACTTATTCATCTTGAGAAAATAATTATCTACAAACCATGTTTTCTGTTTTAGATTTTTCAGCCTTCTATAATTAATGTTTCAATTCTTCATTCTCCTTTTAATTTTGCTACAGACATTCCAAAACTCTATTAAACTCTTATTAGGAATAGAATGATCTTTCATCATCTTCCTTTCTCTTTTTTTCATCTTCCACTCCTTTCTATTCGTACTCTATCAATTTTTTATTAAGCTTGATTATTATTATTATATATATACTTTTTAATTTTCTTAGACTAAAGAGGCCATTTTAGTTTGTAGTTATTCTAAAATACCTTTCAGTTTATTGTAATCTTCAGTCAAAGTATTAATTTTTTATTCATTTTCAAAGTTATTATGAAGAGAGGATGTAGACTATTATGATTGAGTATCTGATAAAGCTATTTCTTCTAACTTTCTAAAATTAGACAACACATCAATCATTTTATCATTTAATGCATCAGGTAGTTGGCTAGCCCCCATTTGTTTTTAGACTGTTGAAATCAATTCTCTCAATGAACTTGATATTTTATTAATTTCAGTTTATAATCTTGTTTTTGATGAAAGTGAAACAGGTGTGGTCGTTTGTTTCTATTGTTGGATGTTGGAAGTAGGATAGGTTGAAAAACCTTATTAACTATTGAGTTCTTAGATTGGCGATCTACACAAGAAGTCCAATCCAATTTTAATATTTTCTTTAGATTCTAAGAATGGATTTAATTCTTTAGGTTGATTTCTTTTTTCAGTGTTAGAATTCAAATCTTTATTTTCTTTGTTTGACTCGAAATTATATGTTTTTGCAAAATCATATTTTCCAAGATCATATTAATTTATTTAAGAAAATAATTATTTAGTTGTGTCATAGGGTTTGTAATCACCATATTGATTTTAATTTTTGTTTTCTACATATGGTGGTTTATAATCTAAAGTTTTTTATTTGTAATGATATGAGTCAAGCAATCTTTTAGGCGATGCAGGTTAAATTGGAAGATTTGCTAGGTCTATTATTAAATAATTACGTGAAGTCAAGACTTATTTATTTGCTTCATATGTGGGAGACTACATATATGGTGAAGCCATATATGTTTAAACTCTTGCTTGTGATTATGTTTTCGTTCCATATACTAGTTACCTATCCGGTGAATTGACCATCATAGGTGTATATTCTTTTGATACAGAGCATGGTCTAGCCATAGTGACTGTTGTTTGTTGCTTTGGAAGAGGCTTCATTTTCAATATTTTTCTGTTAATTAATTTAAATTTAAACAATTAAACATTCTTTATAGATTATTTATAAATTTTCAAAACATACTCTCAGGACTATTTTATATGTTTATGCTTGCTTAATGAAAGAGCTTTTAATCTTTAAAATTGTTTCTGATTTTCTTTATAGGATCATGCTCTTTATCGAAAGGATCACTCATCGAATATTTTTCTCCTTCTTCTTTCAACTATTTTTCATTGATTGAAATCTTGTATTTTTATGCAAATCCTTCTCCCTAATCTGAATAGTAATTAAAAAAGTCCCTTAATAAGAACGTAAGCGAAACCTAGGAGATTACTCTATCAAATTAATCCTTCAATTATTTGTATAATTTATCTCCATTATAAACCTTTAATAAATTCACAATACTATACAAAAAAGACATCTACTTCGAAGCTGCTTTCTCTTTTACCTTCGATATTTCTTTTAATCATTATTGTAGTAGTCTATGATTTAGAGGTTTTATATTATTTATCCTAAAGATTGGGCATTTGATACTTTTGTTATAAGAAATGTAGCCACATTATTAATATAGCGTAAGAGGAAAAACAATTTTTATTTATTATTCCTTATTTCTTGCCCCATAGCTTTAATAAGATTCCACCCTAGTATTTAATATTTAGCAATACCTATTAAACTTTCTCATTTAAGCCAGCATATGCATTCAATAACTTTGTGTTGATCACACCTAAAAGATTGTTAAAGCACATATCAATTTCTATTTTATTAGTCTGATCTTGGATCTTCATGACAGCAATTCTGGCAAATTCAACCAATTCATTAATTTTGAACTTATTTTAATCCACCGCTTCGATTTCTTATCTCAAATATTTAAGCGCTATCCTTTCGTCAACATAAGAATTAGTGAGAAATGTGAAATCCACATCCGATTCCTTTGTTCCAAATCCATTTAATTATGACCCAAAGATGCAATATTTAATCTCAGCGTTAAATGGATCATAATCAAGTTATTTGAGGAAATGAATTAAGCTTTTAAGTGAATTTAAAAATTTTTTCTTTTTGTCATCAGTCATCTCATTTTACTTCAATATTTCTAGTAGAACTTTGTCTTAATCTTTAGATATCATTTAGTATACAATATAATTTATTTAATAATTTAATATTGTGATAAAGTCAAGAGGCTTTTTCTACTTCTTGTGTATTTTCAATTTTTTCTTAATAGAAATCATGCTATTATAGTTATGCAATTAATTTACTAATAACTGAGCTTCTTTAAAATCCTCTAACTTCATCCCATCTAATTCATGTTATAAGAAAACTTATAAAGCCCTCTGATTTTATTATTGAATAAATGGAATTGAGCAAAAATTTGAACATGTGCAAATCTTTTTTTTTGTGAATTTGCAATCTACATGAAATATGGGGGAAGTTTGTGGTTAATTTAATTTTATTGCTGTAGCCTTGATTTATGGACAAAATGGGTCTTCATAAGCTTATTGAATGAATTAATGAATCATAATTAATTTAATTAATGAAATTTGCAAATGATAATCAATTTGTTAGAATTACTTAGAATGTCTGACAGAAAAAAATATGATGACTACATTCTATTTCGCATTTGCACTGCTAAGCAGAAGTATGCATACTTCTTGTTGACTGGGTAATATTAATTCGTTGAGAAAAGGACAAAATGCTATACTCTAAATAACTAGCATCAATAATTATTAGTATATACGTAATAAGGAAGCTATAGGATTTATGTTTAAATAATATGGATCTATATAATTCATCAAATATAAACATTTTATATTCTTTAATTCAATTTTAATTCTGAAAGAAATCACTTTGGTATTTGATATCTTTATCCGTAATAAAAATATTTATTTATTAAATAAATAAATCTCTTGTTATTTTTGAGAAGATTTATCAAAACATGATGAATTTTTCAACAATTTCTGATAAATTATTGATCAATATTCAACTTTTTCATTTACCAAATAGAGCTACTCTATTTAATAAGGATATTAATGGAAAATCAGATAAAACAAGATCAATATGTGAAAGTTAATTAGGAAATTTGGTAATTTCTTCTGAATTAAAATAACGTATAAGGCTTTCTTATGTTTTAATTGGTTTAATCTATAGAAAACCTAATCTTGGAAACCAAATGTTAATGAGATAAAGATTAAAATCACATTGGCTAGATAACAAGTGTAGGTTATAAAATAAAATAGAATTCTTTCTATTTCATATTTAAATAATCTTAACATCTAAAATAATTTGTCCTTTGATTTAATTCTCTTTGAAAATTACATCAAGAATCAATAATAAGAACAGTCCCCACTTTTAAACTAGAATGCGTCGTGTTGGAAAGTAAATTAGTTTGGGTATAAATAGTTTGTAATTATGTGATTAGTGATGTTTTAACTCCTTTTGTTTTTAAATTCTAAAAACCACAGCAATATTTTATTATATAAATGAATAAATAAAAATTAGCATAAGAAAAATAATATAGAGAACAAGCAAAATACAAAACCCTTTTCAGTGTAAGCAATTTTGATATATTCAGCAAGAGCCTCCAAATCCATTCGGAGAATAAGATGTTGAAAAAATGAAACATCAATATGCACAAATATTGAAGGAATAGGTATAGAATATTACATATTAATCAGATTTTAGACTCTTAAAGACATAAAGAATAACAAAAAACTAGAGATAGACAAGAAACGCAAAAATAAATCTAATATGAAAGTCCTTTTGGAAAGTATGGCATGAATTTATCCTAGAGATCGATTAATCCATCTGTAAAAACTTAATAAAGAACTACTCAAACCAATTTAAGACATCGATGAATTTGTGAGGAAAAAGAACTAAACTGATATTTCAAGACCTAAAACTATTTTAAAGAATTAATCAACCGAAAGAAGTAATTAATAGCACTCAAATGATAACTCTTTGGAGTAAGCACCTTAATATAATTTTGACTCTCCAAATTAATAGGAATATATTTAAAATAGAAATTAAACTTAAATTCTTCCCACATAATAAACTTAAAGAAATAGAGATTATTAATCTTCTTAATCTCTTGGTTTACCAGAACCCATTTTATCAAATAATAGTAATTTATTAAAGAACAATAATAAAAATATCCATTTTCCCATATAATTACCACCTAAAACACCAGGAATAGTTTATGATAAACAAAATAACCCCATATTATCTGATTACTTGAGCATTTATGATTAATAATTTAGTAGACTACATAAATCAGAAAAAAGTGACTTTATAAAAGAATTGAATCAACTTAGATCTTAGTTCTTTGTTTAATAAAAGCCTCAAGTTCAGCCATTTAAATAAATTGTTAATTTATAATAATAATCACCTCCAAAGATTACTTCGGATATTGGGATTTAGGATGATTAATATAGGTTAGAATAACTGGAAAGAGAAAGGTAAGAAGAATAATTTAGATATTAAGAATATTTGCGTTAACTAGAAGAGGAGAAGAGAAGGCAACAAGAAGAATTTGAAAAATAACTAAGGGAGAAGATTGAAAGAGAATTAGAAGAACAAAAAAGATTAAAATAACAGGAAATTGAAATTTAAACTGAAAAATTAGTAACTGACACAGGAATTTAACATGTTGATCAAAATGCAGTAACAGCAGCTGAATATATGAAGACTCTGAAATCACTTTCAGGAAGCGTCATTGATATGAAAAATTAATTTATTTAAGGGCAACAAAAGTTAAATTATGAGTTAATTTAACTGAGAGATAAAGCACAAAGAGATATTGAAGAAAAGTTAAGGATTTAAAAAGAATTAAAGGAATTAGAATAGAGAAATTAAGCAATTAAAGTTTGGGAAGGAGAAAAATAAAGATAATTAATGTAAGCTTTGGAAAAAAATGCTCCGATTACTCAATATAAATCAGTTTTTATGGATCCTAAATAAATCAACCCGACTCTTAAGAAAGTTATAAGATTTAAAGATTAAACGTAAGGATATGAATATGAAGAACCGAATGTAATATTTTCAAAATCTAATCTGATGCCATTGAATGGAGGATATGATCAGAAACACTTGCATAATTTAAAGGCTAATGAGCCTGTTTTACCAGAAGAATTAGAAATTTTTAAGTAAGAAGTTGCACCTCAATTAAAATATTCAAATCAGATTACTAAGAAAATTAGAATGGATGACTTGTATGATTAGTTTTACGATTATAAATATCCAAAACAGCTTGAACATCCTGGTTAAGAAAGACTTGAAAGATCAAAACATGAAACTCAAATTAAAAATGATCCAAATTAAATATTGTTAGAAAATGATAGAAGGCTACATGAACTCGGAATTATAGATCCAAAAGGAGATAACTAATAGATTTAAGAATTATATGATTATTTATGAAAAAATATATTTTAGATTAAATGTTTAGTTATGTTTTTAAGTTAATTAATTTAAAAATGTTGAAATTTTATAAAATAGAAATTACTTTTCATCATTCTAATTATATTTTTGGATTTGCAAGTATAAGGATATTATTTTCTAAGGCTTTTATTTTTTCATTGTAGGCATTCTGATCAAACATGATTTTTTTTGATTATTGCTCATATTCTTAGATTTATTATTCTATTTATTCAATAACTTTTAATAATTTGTCTCTTTCGGAAGTTAAGGTTAACTTTTTGGTCACTATTTGAAATTTATAGGTGTCATTGGTTTTTCTCCTAGTTTGTAAGTCTACCAAAATTTCTTTAACTTTTTTAAGATTTTTATTTAAAATAAATTCAGTTTCTTCTCGACTTTCTATACCATGAATTTATGGAATTTGTTAAAATTTTGCTAAAATATATAAAATACTGAATTTTTTTCTTAATAATTGCATAGAAGATTCCATATCTTTGTAATCACATTATTAAATAAGATTATTCTTTCCATCCAGAAATTATTAAGAACTTGGACATTGGCATTGTGAATTTGAGAATGTATTAATAAAGCTAGGTTCTTTATTTGATGAAAAATACCCAAAGGATTAACAATTTTTACATTGCACCAAGCTTTATAAATTAATTTTCATAAGCTCTTCTATATTTTTTAATATAATTTCAGTAAATTCACTTAAGATTTTCAAAACTTAAAACTCAAATTTCATTTTTATTACATTAGTGTATTCTTGATTAGTTTAGGAAACATACAACAAATTTAATCTACTCGTTTCAAGATAGCGGATCAATTTTTCTATTTATTCTAGAGATGTTAACTTTCTTTCTTAAACTTTATGATTAAAATCTATTATTGATTATTGAAATCTAACTACAGAATTCTAATTGGGAGGAATTTGAAAGGCCTTTAACTCTAGTAAAGTTGACACTTTTCCTGCAAATGAATCACTAATCTTCAAAATTTTTTCATGTATATTTAATCCTTATGTTAAAGTGACTATTGATTGAAATTACATATTATAGGATTTCATTTGTGATAAACAATATTAGTTTTTATTATCAAAAATTATTAATGTTGTAATTTTTTAGTATAGTTTTTGGGTGATAAAACAACTTTGAGAGAACCCTTCCTCAAAATTTTATTTATCCAAAAAAATAAACACTTAACATAACTCTCCTTCCAAATTTATGCTCTGATACAGGAGTTCAATATCAATTAACTGTTTAAATTCCTTACCATATACCTAAAACACTTTATAATTTCTTAGTGTATTTATTGAAAATATTGGTTTCTTTTTAATAGATAGTTTGAATATATTTGGGAGAATCTCAGCAACTTTTTGAATATTACTATCGTTAAGGAAAAAAATAAAGAGTAGGCAATGATGTTCAAAACACTAGCAAACGTCAAGACCACATTTACACATTAAAAATAGTTTAATATTATGTAAAAATATATTGTTTTCTTATTAATTTTATTCTATTTGATTTTTTAGATAAATTCGATGACATAAGCTTATATCAACTTTTAATATGCAAACATAATTCAATCCTTTTTACATTTTAATTCAAACCTTCGCTTCTCTAGCCTTAACACGTCCATCTCTAACTCATTCTATTCTTGATCTATTCTCTAATCTTAAGTTTATAATTCATTTTCATCATTGACAAGATTTTCAATCTTTTGAAAAATGTGTTACAGGTAATTTAATAGTTGTTACTTCTCAATCTCCAACTCTTTTTTTTTTTAAGTTATTTTTCTTTTTTATACCTCTTTTTCTTTGTTTTATTACATTAGCATCTAAATATTTTCTTAAATCTTTAGAATCTGTTGTTAGTTTTTGATTAATGTGAATTTTTCTTCAAATTAAGATTACATTAATTGATTTTTTTTTTTATCAAATTTTGTATCATCTAAATCTAAGTATTCATCAGTGCTCGAATAAATAGTATTTGCTATTTTCTCTCTAAAAGTTCCCGCATTATCTACTTGATTGAAATATATACATTCCAATTCAAAATACTATTCTAATTCCACCATTTCTTACGATGACTGTTTCAGCTCTATTTCAGTTTAGAGATTCAAAATTATGATAATAAGTATCTTTTAAAATTTTTTTAAGAATTTATAGCAATCCATAATTTTTTTTTTCATAATTTCTATTCTACCGTAATTTGTAACAATAAATATTTTACTTACTTTATTTTTTGTAAAGCAATTACCAAACCAATCTATTTTTTATGAATTCGGCATTTAGTTCTCATCTACAAGTTCGAAAGGTGGAGTGTCTATAACATTGAATGAACTATTGTTAGAATTTTAAAGTTCTTTGTTCTTATGAACTGACTTCTGAGTAAACTCATTATATTTTTATTAGCAATCATTATTTTCAGATAATTTGTTATAAATATATGTTTTACCAACTCCACCCATTCCTATAAGCATTATATTTTTATTTTATTTCTCGATTATTTTTGATGGAGATGGAGAACTCAGATTTAGATTTGAATTTTGTGGCTGAATTTTGCTGGCATCCAATTTTTCTAAATCATGTTTGTCCATTTGTATTATTATTGATTATTCTTTTTGGATTTCAGAATATTGTAGATAGGATAAGTTTGTTTGCAATTTTTTTATAATTGTATTCATTGAGAAAAATTCTAACTATGATTTATATCTTAATTATATTTCTTACTTATTTTCTTGAAACTTGCAAGAATTGCAATTATTTTGTAAGTTGTTGAAAAATTCGATTTTTTTTGGATACTTTTGACTGTTTTAATAGAATATAGTTTTGCAGATGGAACAACATTTTATCATGAACTAGAATCTCTTACAATAAATTTCGATCTATTAAAAGATATTTTATGTAAAATTCTGTATTAGCTTTATAATTTCAATATTAAACTTAAAATAAAGAGCATTTCTATGCTTTTTATCATCTCTATTATTACATTTTGGACATGAGTATACGACTTAATTTCGAAGATCAATCAACAATTTAAAATACAAATCAATATTACCACATGAAGGGGTTTGATAGAACTTTTTTTTTTCATTTATTAAGTCTTTAACCATTTCCTAACATGTTTCACATTATTTGATTGTTGGAAGGTTATATTAGATTTATTTACTAACATAATTTTAAGAGTCAAGAGTTTTTTTGAGTGTTTCTTTTAATTGGAATGATTGAATTTTCTAGAAATTAAGACCAAGTTAATTTAAGATCCCATTATCTTTTTATGTAATATTTTCTTCTAAACTATTAAGAAAAAATAAACTTGTAATGTCTTTAAATTAATCATTTTGTTACAATCTTTTCACGTAGCTAAATTGATTAAAATCATTTTTGCATGTCTTCAAATCCACTAAAACTACAATTTATCTTAAATTCCCTTCTAAACAACAATTTCCCAAATACAACTTAAAATCATCAGGGGAGGGCAGAAGTTTTCCATTTGAAATAAATAATCTACTCTGATAATATCTAAAATCTGAAAATATCATCAATTTTTCAAATGAAAAGTTTAATACATCCTTGAATTGTTATTATACTATTTATTAATTTTCTTCACTAAGGAAAAACAAGATCATGACACTCTAATCTTCTTGACTCTTTTAAGGATTGATACAACAGACTCCCATTTGATTAAAAATTATAAATATTATTATATTTAGATGCAACTGACTGTCTTTAATACAAAAAAAATTTTTATTCTATTTCTTTGAACTAAATTGTTTTTAGATAAAACTTCTCATAAAAATTAAAATTATAATTAAATAAGCTCTAAATCAACTAATTATACAGGCAGCGCAGCTATTTTTTTAATTTTATTTCTTCTTTGCTTCAATATTCATGTCTTTATCTATTTTATTCTATTACTATTGTTATTGTTCCTTGCTTTATAAATTTAGATCTTGAATTTTTTTTTCTTATAATTTTAGAGTGTTCTTCATTTCTATCATTATTTTTAACATTTCTTGCTATTCCACAGCTTAAACTTATTCGTACTTCAACTAATTATTTTACTATTACAAAGATTTTTATTCATTTGATTTTTAAACAATATGTTCTGAACCATCTTCATTGCGATAAATTATCTATGGTACAATTTTTGGCTTTTGGTCTGAAGGTTACATGATTTATGTTGAAGCATTCTCTAGATTATTCAATTATTTTTAAGCCTCATATTATAATTTACTCCAAAATAAATCTTGTTTGTTTTTTTTGGATTCCACCCCATTTTTATGCATACTTAAAAGGTCTAAAACTCCTGTATTTTTTAGTTCATCTAAAATATCAGTAGATAGAATAGGTAAATTATCCCAAACTAAAACAGCTCCACAGCCTTTTAATTTTTATTTATTTTATTGGAGTGAGTACTTTTAATTAATTTCGGTCTGTTATTTTAGTCTGATACATTCTACTGTTGTTTTAGTGATATTTATTTTGAATTTTTTTGCCTATGGTTTAAATTCAATATTATCTGAATCAGGAAAGTTGCCACATGATGTCTATCCTCCACACCCAGAAACTTTTAGCCAAATTATTTTGCAATTTGGACATTATTTTATAAAATTATAAATATGAGCTGGGTAATTAGTCATTTTATTTTGAGCCCTCCTTATCACATTATCCAACTAAATCAAAACCTTGTGTTTCAATTTTGTGTGAGTTAAATATGCTGTTTCATAGCTTACATCGCCTTATTCAAGTAACTTTAAGCAATCATAACCATGTCTTTATTCAAATTTTTCTACTGTTTCATTGGCTTCCTTTTTCAAAGCTAAAATCAACTCATGCATCAATTCAGCTACATCGCTTGTTTTTTCATTTTAAGAATCAATAAAATGAATGGCTGCCTGACATTGAGCTCCAAATTCATCCTCTAGTTCTTAAGTTTTGATTTCAATTTCCTTATTTAAGGTTATAAATGTTGCAAATTAGTTTTCAAATTCTGTTTTTGTTAATTCAATTTTTTGCTTTATTGTTCTTATCAAAATTTAATCTATTGTTTTGCAAATTGACTCCCCTGTTGTTTATGAGCCAGAGTATATAACATTTTTTAAACCCAAAGGAGTAATAACTTCTTTTACAACGGATTTTTTTAACTCTTCAAGACCGATTAACTGTTTTGCAGGATCATTTTCAGCATTGTCCCAATGTGTAATAACAACTGTAATCATCTCACGATACCTACTTAATAATTTCATATTTTCTGTTATATCCTTTCTCATATTTTCAAATCTCTCATATTTTGTTAAGATAAGAATGCCATTAAGTGGTTTTCCTGTTATTGCAGCAAATATCCCTGCCATATGCACAATAACTTCTTTTTCACTTCCAAAGCCGGGAGTATCCATTATATAAAAGCCCCTTCCATAACTAGAAGATTTCTAAAATAGGCTTCTCGTACAAGAGAACCCTCCTGAATAAGTGTTTTAGGTTTCTCGACATATTTTATTGTAAAGGGTGTTTTTCCGGAACCAACTCTACTTATTAATACAACTGAAGGTCTGTCTTATAACATTATTATTAGATGAGAGAAAAAATAGTAGCAATTTATATAGGGAAGCTGAAAAAAATATTCTATTATTGAGCTATTTATTTTATTTTTATTAACATAAACATGAAAACTGAGATGAATTTTATTTAGATTGATGTATATGTTTGATAGTATATTTTCCCTATGGTCAAACTTAAAATTAATGTATATTAGTTAGGATAGCTCATAATTATAAAATCCTTGACCTTTTCCAAATTGATTAGATAAATAATATATTTTTCTAAACAAAAATCCCCAATATGACTTGTAGTCTGTTTGAGCAAATGATAGGGAAAGTAAGTCCTTGCAAGAACGTAATTAATTTGACTCCTATGACAGAACGAATTATATAAAGTAACTTCCAACAAATGCAAGTCTCAGAGATAAAAATAGTTAACAAGAGCACAGAATAAATTATGAAGTCAAAAGTGAGTTAAAGATAGTCAGAGGAAGAAAAAGATTGATTCTATCATGCAGGGAATGGGTTTGGTAACCCCCCCCTAAACTGAGAGAGTTATAACAATTCTCTCTATGTTATATCTCTCTCGTTTATACAAGAAGGCAAAAAATCCCCGGCGGCGAATTCCGGGTTTGGGTTTGGGTTTGGGTTTGGGTTTGGGTTTGGGATTGGGTTTGGGTTTGGGTTTGGGGTTGGGTTTGGGGTTTGGGGTGT